GGTAGGGTCCCTCACCACCTCAAGAGCCCCTCCATCTGGCCTCGCTCTCTCAGCCAGATGTGGAGCCGCTCGGTTGGCAACCCCAAATTCCACCACCTCGACATGGCGATCCACACTCACGCACCGCAGCCCCACTTTCACTTCACATCACAGAGCTGCGTGTAAACAAGGAGGCCAGATGCATACAAAGTTTGCAAAATTTAAAACAACGATAAACTAAGTCTTCAAATCAGGAATAACATGTATAATAAACAATTGTTATGGTGCTTGTCTGCAGATTTTTTTAGCCATAACTTCTATCAGTGATGGTAAGAATGCATTTAGAGATGATACGATTGCGTTGTTGTGTCTGCTTAACGCTGACTACGCAGTGAATCCGTCATGCTGCTGTCTTGTGGGCTCGAGTGAAAACAACACCAGAGGCCTGGTTGTGCATTTGTCTTCTCTTTAAAGCCAACGGGGAACAAACCGAGTCAGCTCTGGCAGTGAGAGGAAACATTGCAGTGGTGTTTCAGATGACCTTTGACCTTAGTTTAGCGGGTTTGGCTCCTTGCCAGACAAGCCACTCAGTGCTGTGTGTACGGGCTGAGGAATGCGCCGCCGGGCTGCAGCGAGCTCATTAAACAGAGAGTGAGGGGTGAAGGCCCGTTGTTTGCACTGGTGCACTCCTCAGGCCCTGCAGCGCTTTGTGTGCCCATAGATCTCCAGTCCCTGCACTGTCCTGGGACACTGCTGTCACCGGGACAGTCTGTGTGTGGACACTGGCCATGTTTTCTCTGCAGCAGCAGCAGCAGCACACAAAGATAACCTTCAATATGCTGCAGATACAGAGCTCGCCGTCAACATTTCATGGTTGCTTTCCTTCGAAGGCCTACAGTTTGAGCATATCTGTGAAAAAGGGTCTGTACAGTAACCTTGGAGCACAAGTCAGCAGTTTAAAGATCTTGTTCCAGTTTTCAGCAGCGTGCATGCAGCTTTTCTGAGTAAAAAGTTCCCTTTTTTTCTCTCCCCTGCCTTTGCTTTGTTTTGGCACTGAGCCCCTGATGGAGAGGGAGGACAGGGGCGGGGGGGGAGGCCAGAGATCAGACACAAATCATCCCGTGGTACTCTGCACGTGAGAACAGTCAGGTGGTCACTTCCCTGCAGACGTGACTCTGGATCAAATCTAATTGGAGGTTTACTATTAAATCCTCTCCTGCAGAGACATGTTGTTTTTTGCAGAGGGATGGCTACTTTTAAAACAATAACACTTTGAAATGAGAGTTTTTAGTCAAATCCCAAGAGTATTGTGTCCACAGGACATAGAAACCATGGCTTTTGCACTGTGTTTGAACTTGTTGACACACAAGTAGAAACTGTTATACACCACAGTAACAGGCTTGCATCGGGACACTTGTCATGACTGGAATATCAAAGACTGTCCTATTTTCAACCCAGACACATTTGATGATTTTCAGAACCACTTGTAGATTCATGTTCATCTGGTGGGCTTGCATGGCTGTTTGAAGCCGTCTGATAAACATAGCGTGACTCGGTTTAGGAATAACAAACGTGAGTGGAGGAGGGTCCTAACCCTGCTCCAAATAGACTGTGTGCTCTTGAAGAAAAGCAGCGAGTGTGTCTCGCGGCGGGGGGAACATTGGAGGAGCTGTCAGAGACACACTGCCAGGTTAAACCAAGAAACCTACTTTATTGATATGCATGAGAAGCCTTTTTGTCACAAAGCATTTAGCATGAAATGCACGGCTCAAGACGAAGAGAAGCCCAGACTTGTTGAAACTTCAGTGACAGAAATGTTGAAGTGGATCGTTATCAGCAATTACATAAATAACCTGTTTACGTCAATTCAAAAGCTACAGTTGGAAAGTATAGATAAGAGTGGAGAGATTTTGATTTAGGTTTTCACATTTGAAACTCGTGCCATGTGACATACAAAAAATAAATAACATAGAATAAATAGTCAGATGTTATTCCATATTTAACCTAATAATTTAACATTTTAGACGAGCTTAGGAAGAGAAAATTCATCCCACTCTCACATGATCGGACTGCGATAATAACTCCAGACCGATCTTCACACATTAGAGCATCTGTGCACATTTATATCCTCTGCATGCCAGGTCAAATATGCGGTGAGCATACAGGTGGAGCCTTCAATGAAGTCGGTACAAACAGGTTTTTCTTGGAGGGGAAAGGTGGGAAGTCAGGCAGAGTATTCGGGGAACGCCTTGTTTTTGTTTTTCATCATAAGAGAGGGGGGAGCGGGGTGCAAGATGGTGGCCCATTGGCTCAAGTTTCCCTGTGAATGGTGTGTGTGGAGCGCTGCCTGGTGCAGCTGAGCACACTGCGCTCAAAGGGCCCTTTTTTCAACCGCAGAGAAAGTCAAGCCGCTAGCTCGGACCCCGCTCCCTTTCCAAAAAAACACTCCCCTCCCCCCGCTGCTGAGACCCCCAGCTCCTTCCTGCCCGCTTCCCCTGGCCGCTGTCCAAGTGCTTCATGTGGCTGGACAGGGGCAGGTTGGAGGTGGGCCCTCGCCCCTGACTTCAGAAGACACTTGTTTTCCACTGGGACGAGGGTGTGTTGGTGTTGGCAGGGTGGAGCAGAGGGGTGGAAGGGTTCAGCGGATGAGGGGGGAGACAGAAATGCCTCCTGGGAGAGGAGGAAATAAAAGAACCAGAGCACTTTCACACGCCCCTTCATGGGAACGCCTGTGTGCACCTGTAGGGAGGTAGATGTTTAAAGGGCGCCTTTGATAATCTGGTGCATTTTTACCATTTAAATCCATAAAATATTTAAGATGCAACTATCATTTAGGACTTCAATTTGTAGCGCTAAATATTTATTGCCTACAGGCCGCCTCTGGGTGACCTCTGAATGAAACAGACGGAGCTTGTGAGAGGGTCTCAATCTATGTGGAAAACACAGACGACGCCCTTCCTGAAAAAGACAAAAAAAAGACAGGGATGTGTGTGTGTGTGTGTGTGTGTGTGTGTGTGTGTGTGTGTGTGTGTGTGTGTGTGTGTGTGTGTGTGTGTGTGTGTGTGTGTGTGTGTGTGTGTGTGTGTGTGTGTGTGTGTGTGTGTGTGTGTGTGTGTGTGTGTGTGTGTGTGTGTGTGTGTGTGTGTGTGTGTGTGTGTGTGTGTGTGTGTGTGTGTGTGTGTGTGTGTGTCTGATTAGGTGCATTGTGGTTGCAGCGATGGCCGGTGGAGACCTTGCATTGTTGGAGTTTGTTTACCGTTCAGACAGAGTTAGCCAAAGTAACGGGAGAAAAAGGGGGAAGGCTAGCTCGGAACAAAGAGACGGTTCATGGACTAGCATGACTGATGGAGGATTGAAAGGCCTTTATGGACACATGTGAATGAACCAAGGACAGACAGGGAAGGTAATCTACTGATAAGAAATGTTGTGGATTAAAAACAGTCTTTTGGAATTATACACAATAACCGTTGAGTGTCCGCACTGAGACTTACTCTGCCTTGTCGTCACTATCGCTGAATAAAACGCCCGATGCTGCATCCAGCGAGCTGTTTACTTCCAGGGTTGTTGGCCTGCAGGACTTTGGCAGCGATGCAGAGTTTTCCGTGGCCACAGTTTGTGTCTTGAGTTCAACCAGCAGAACAGATGAGAAACTTCTCATGGCTGTCATTTTGGTCAATAATGATTTTTGCACCCGGTGACTGCGGGTTAAAGATCGCTCCCACAGACTTCGGGTGGAACAGCGTGTCCATTTGGTAAATCAATCAAACACAACTTTTATAAGAGGCTATAAAAGCAGCTGAGATTGGTAATGCATGACTACAGTTTGCAGTTATATAGAAGTCAGCATGTTGCACTGAGGTGTTATGCATTACTAATAGTGAGCAGTTGTGCAATGCCAGTAGGCCTATGTTATTTGTGAAAATGTAGTCACAGGGAGGCCAAACTCTAAAAGGTTAGATAAAAACAGGGAAACTAAGGCTGTGGTTGGCCTTTTGAATGTGTGTTACATGTGGGTAGCTCTTTTTGAGGAGGAACAATATAAAAAGTTGATTTACCTTAGTAAGCTCTGGCTTTATGGTATGTAATATAATATACAAAAATGTCCTCTCTCATGCTGAAAGGAACTGATTCCTCCCTGGGATTTGAAAGAGGTTTTCTGGCCCCTTTTTGAGCTTTAAACATGTGAAACCAGCACGACTCTGCACCCATCATCTCTTTAAACATGCAACGTCTCAATTCCAAAATCACAACAGCAACTTAATCCGACCCTGTAGTATTCAGTCTTTGCTTCAGTATGTTTCCCAGTCACAGTTCAGGAGGATCAGTATATGTTTCTGCCCTTCAGTGACTTGTGGATAAACTCCTGTCGGTGTGTTTGTGTAGGTCACATGTGTCAAACTCAAGGCCCGGAGGCCAAATCAGGCCCGTGGTGGATTTAATTTCGGCCCGCAGGATAATTTTTAATTACTATTAGATCTGGCCCGCCGGTATTTTTGCACGCACACCTTCACTCAATCCTGAGGGTTTCCTCAGCTCAGAGCCTGTCCCCAAACATTGATGAACTTGCACCCAAGATGAGATGCCAAGTATCTGGCTTGAACTAGCATCACAGAGCAGCACACTGAGTTTAAATGAATGTTTCCTTCTGCACTTTTTCTCTCACGACGACAGGGCATGTTTGGTTTTTTTGAAGCTGTTGTTGGCCTGTGGAAAAATGTAATCATAAGAAATGACTCCGGAAAAGCTGCAGATAGAGCCATAAGAAATTAATGCAACTGATTATTTAATGTTGTTTTTATAGGCAATCATTTAAGCTTTGTTAGTTCCAGGTTTAATATGAGCAATAAGTTCATTTCAATACGTTCTGCAATAAACATTGAACCAGTCCAGCCCTCGACTAGTACCCATTTTTTCATTTTGGCCCACTGTGTATTTGAGTTTGACACCCCTGGTGTAGGTGCTTGCTCACTTTTTCTGCTGGTGGATGTCCACTGACTCACCCTGTGCTTGTGTGTTTGCAGACGTGCCAAACTACGGCTGTACTTGGACCAGTTGAAGAAGCTGGTGCCTTTGGGTCCAGACAGCACAAGACACACCACACTGAGCTTGCTGAAAAGGGCCAAGATGCACATCAAGGTATTAATAAAACACAGCTGTATGAAAACAAAAATGCTCCGAACCTGTCTTATTGTTTCATTTTGGATCTGTTTGATGAGTTAGCCTTTGTTTGACAGATTACTGACAACAATTTTGATAACTGTTTGGTCAAATGGAGCATCAATGCCAAACATTTGCTGGCTCCATCTGGATACATTTTAGGATTTGTGCTGTTTTTCTATCATTTTAAATCAAATATGTTTGGTTCTGAGCTGTTTTCAGATAAAAACAGCATTTAAAGAAAGTCTGTGGGTTATGGTGAAATATCAATCGAATTTTTTACAATTTTTGGACTAAAAAAACAATCAATAAATCCCAAAATCCAACCATTTTTCGTTTGAAGCTCTAGTGTAGAGTGATTACAAAGTGGTTGTAGTTTTTGTCTTCCTTGTTTTTTTTTTAAACGTTTTCTTATCTTTTAATCAGAGCCGTTAAGGGCATGTCAGAAATAAATACCCCCAAGATCTAAAGGAAAACAAAGAAGTCAACAAAGAGCAAGACGCAGGACATAATGGCTGATCTGTAGATATGTGGAAGGAGATAATTACATGTTTAAGGCCTCTTTCTGCATGGTTCATTAACTGTTGCAGGCCGTTTACACACACACACACGCACGCACACACACACACACACACACACACACACACACACACACACACACACACACACACACACACACACACAGATACAATGATGCAACAGGAGCTGTGACAAAGAGTCTTGAAACACTTTAGTGCCTGCAGAATATTATTAGAATCCTATCGTTGCCCTGCAGAGGATGAACTTGCATCTAAGGACTGTACTGATCTCACTGTTTACCAGCAGCAACACTGTGGTCGGTGGAAAATCCAGACGTGGCGCGTTTTAACCCTTCATTTCCTGTTTACCATGTCCTCTCTGCTCAGACGATCTGCGCTAATTCTCGTCAACGTTGTGTCTTCTCATATCAAAAGGGGCCACATGTGTTTGTCTTCGCTTTCATTAACCACTGAAAGCTTTCATATGCCAAGGAGTGCAAAATATAATCCCACATTGACTCAAACTTAGAAATGTCATACTTAGTTTGAGTCATTCAGTCACTTCCTTATTGTTGTTAAATATTCTCTTTGGCAGGAGATGATAGAAAAACACTAGTTTTAGGAGTAAAAATAGAGAGGAAAGGTGGATATTGTTGTGTCCAGAACAGACTCTGATTGGTGCTTTGCATGCTTATGTCCCTGCAGAAGCTGGAGGAGCTGGACAAGAAGGCTTTAAACACGAAGGAGCAGCTGCAGAGAGAGCACCGCTACCTCAAACGCCGCCTGGAGCAGCTTTCTGTCTCCGGATCCTCGGAGCGCATCCGCACCGACAGCATGGGCTCCACCATCTCCACCGACTCTGAGCAAGGTACACTGTTTTTAAAAAAGGCAACCAGTCGCACTCTCCCTACACACTAAATAACCTTGTTTGTCCCAAATGTTGATAGCAGGGGTTTAAAAACAAAAGTTTTATCATGAAAGAATATTACGTGAATTCTTTTAAAATGTCAATTTAGTGGCCTTCGATGGATAGGAGACTAAATCATATAATATTAATAATACATTTGATTTTTAGGCGCCTTTCATGACACCCAAGGACACCGTACAATTTGTTAAAAAAATAAATAAAAATAAAACGCTAATAGGCAACAGAACATGATAAAAACACAAACAGGAAATCATGGAGGAGACAGTCAAGTGGACACAAATGAAACATATAATGGGGAGCACTACAGTGAGTAAGCAGATTTGAACAGGTGGGTTTTTAATTGGGATTTGAATATGGTGATTGTGGCTGACTGTCGGATGTGCGGGGGGAGGGAGTTCCAGAGTCTGGGAGCAGTGCAGCTAAAAGCCCGAGCACCCATGGTGACGAGGCGTGGGGTGGGGACGGTCAGCAGACCAGCAGAGGAGGAGCGGAGTGAGCGAGAGGGGGTGTACTCCTGAAGAAGGTCAGCCAGATAGGGGGGGGGGGGGGGGGGGGTGGCAGGTTATGTAGGGCTTTGTAAGTGAGCAGTAGGTTTTTGAAGTTGATACGGGATTGAACAGGGAGCCAGTGGAGTTGGATGAGGATGGGGGGTGATGTGTTCGGAGGCCTTGGTGCCGGTGATGATCCGGGCTGCGGAGTTCTGTATGATTTGTAGTTTATTGATGAGCTTGGTGGGTATGCCTGAGAGGATGGCGTTACAGTAGTCGATGCGGGACGTGACAAATGCATTGACCAGGACTTCAGTGTTTGATTGAGAAAGGGATGGGCGGAGTCTGGAGATGTTGCGTATGTGGAAGAAGACAGTCCGGGTGATGTTATTTATGTGAGGTGAAAATGAGAGGGAGCTGTCCAGGATGACACCAAGGCTCTTAACTTGGCCAGAGAAGGGGATGGAGTAGCCATCAATGATGAGGTTGGAGGCAGGGGAGGATGAGGTTTTGGAGAGGGTGGTTTTGGTGCCAACCAGCAGGGCTTCGGTTTTGCTGCCGTTGAGTTTTAGGAAGTTCCTGCTCATCCAGCTCCTGATGTCCTGGAGGCAGTTGGTGAGAGAGGTTGGGGGGAGGGCAGTGTTGGGTTTGCTGGAAATGTAGACCTGGGTATCGTCGGCGTAACAGTGGAAATGGACATTATGATGACGGAGGATAGTGCCAAGGGGGAGTAGGTAGATAATAAACAGGAGTGGACCCAATACTGACCCCTGAGGAACACCATGTGAGACAGTGGAGCAGCTTGACCGGTGGGTGCTGAGACGGACATATTGTTTTCTGTCTGTGAGGTAGGATGAAAACCATGAGAGTGCAGTACCAGTGATCCCAATGTCTGCCAAACGTTTGATAAGCAGTGCGTGTGAGATGGTGTCAAAGGCAGCTGTGAAGTCAAGGAGGATTAGGATGGTGAGCAGTCCAGATTCAGCTGCACGGAGGAGGTCGTTGGTGATTTTTACCAGCGCTGTTTCGGTGCTGTGCTTTGAGCGGAAACCCGATTGGAAGGGTTCATGAAGGTTGTTTTTGTCCAGGTGTTGTTGAAGTTGGTCAGCAACCACTCTTTCAAGGGTTTTTGAGATGAAGGAGAGGTTAGAGATGGGCCTGTAGTTATTCAGGTCATCTCGGTCAGCTCCAGGTTTTTTGAGTGTTGGTGTTATTGCAGCAGTTTTGAGGTTTGGCAGTACAGTTCCAGTTGCGAGGGACGAGTTAAGGATTCTTGTGATCAAGGGGTAAGTAGAGGGCACACAGGTTTTAACGAGGGGAGTGGTTCGAGCTGACAGGTAGTAGGTTTGGATTTACGGATAAGCTCAGTGATGGAGAACTCAGTAGCTGCCGAGAAATTGGACAGGGTGGGGATTAGCTGGTGACTGGTGGAGCTCAGGCACTGTTGGTCGTCTTTGGAGGTGCTAGATGCAGCCAGTTGCAGGTGGATGGTGTTGATTTTGCTATTGAAGAAATTCAGAAAGTCATTGCAGTCATCAGATGAGATGTCTGTGGGGAGTGTTGTGGGAGGTTGAAGTAGGTGTCTGACGGTTGAGAAGAGGTTTCTCGTGTTACCTTTTCCAGAACTGATGATGTTGGAGTAGTAGGAGGACTTAGCGGTGGTGAGGGCGTTCTTGTAAAGGCAGAGATGTTCTTTGTAGAGCTGAATGTGGATTAAGAGTCCAGTCTTTTTGCACAGACGTTCAAGACGCCGGCCAGTGGTTTTTAGCTGGTGGAGGGCAGCAGTGTACCAGGGAGCAGTGTACACAAAAGAGACTATGCGAGACTTCAGAGGAGCAAGCGCATCCAGGGAAGATGTGAGACAGTTGTTGTAGTGACTCACCAGTTCAGCAGCGGTTGAGGAGGAGGATAGGGGTGGACTGGGCACGGAGGCAATAAGGGAGTTAAGGTCTCTGGGGTCAATGCGTTTGATGTTTCTGAAGGTGATGGTCCGCAGTGCTCTTGTTTTAGATATGGGGACATTTACCTCAAAAAGCACAGATTTATGGTCAGAGATGGGGAACTCAGCATCAGTGAGGTTAAAAGGAGTGCCCATTTAACACAATCAGTTTATATAAACAATCCCTATACAATAATATCAACTCACAACAAGCAACTCATTCGACAATTGTATTACTGGGCTCTGAAGGAAGGAGGTGTGCTTTATCAGAAATGGTGACAGCAGTGAAATGAGAATTTCAAAATAAAGGCGTGTTTGCTAGTAGTTTTTTTAATTCTCCCATCAGTAATGACATGTGCGTGCAAAGACATGTACAAAGAAATGTGTACCATATTCTGAAAAGCCTTTTCTGACAATATAAATGTAGATTTATTCTAGATATTATTACGTGACATTAGATTTGTGTACTTTATCATGTGGATAGTCCTGGGCATTGTTGTGGTCACAGCTTTTTGTAACTATGACAATAATGTAAATAAAATGTAGATCACTTCCAAATTTGATGCAAATCAATAACCACGGAGGTATGTCTCGGACTGACGTTCACATGCTCACAGACTGTATGCCCTGCAGCTAAATACCCGCTCAGCACAGCTCTATTAATGCCTTTATTTACATGTAATAGTCAGCTGTTTGCATTCCTCTCGCTGTCCACCGATAAACTCTGAGCCAGACTGTGATCCCTGCACGATTTGCCCCGGCCTTGTTTGCAGGTGATGCCCCAGGGGTTAAAGGTTAAATATTGATTTTCTTCTATAGCTACTGATGGTGGGAGATCTCATGTCATGTGGGATTGCGGGAACCAGTGCAGATCATAGCAGCTTAAAGAACTTGTTACGTCTCATCTGTCAAAATTACAAAAGAGTAATCTTTCAGGTTCAGGTACTATTTGAATGTCATTACCCTGAAACAGCAGCCAATATCAACTAAAGGAGCCAGTATACTTCCTTAAAAGTGCTTCTTGGATAGAAAATCGGCAGCTCAAGACTTCCCACTTTTCTGACATCACAATAAAATCTAGGGAGGTCTGTGTTCGGCCAACTTTATGAGCACCATGAATGGCTTCTAGGAGAGTCTATTTTAAAAAGGTTTGCCGTTAACCTCATATTTAAACCGTTAATGGTGAACTCCTCTCTTTCTGTCTATATATACTTTTTTCCTTTCAATGCAGTCGCACTACAGGTTGTATCATTTAGTTGTTTTCCAGCATACCCAGAGTTCAAAGGTGCAATGTGCTGCTCACTGGTGTCACGTAAAAGCTCAGTCTGGTCTGTTACAGTGTGTTTACTAATCCTGGATGAGGTAAACACACATGCGGTTGTTTATCAATGGAGGGGGATAAGCTTTGGGAGCACAAAGATCTGTGTGGTAATGGCTGCCTAAATCTGGGTTTAATCCGTGGGCGCTGCAGGCGGCCTCATAAATATTCCCACAGTTTTGGTGGAAATAAACAGTTTCCTCTCACTTTTATCTGAAACTGAAAAGTGCCAAATGTAACCATGTGTGTTTTTCTTTTTTTCGCTTGCAGACGTGGACATCGAGGGCATGGAGTTCACTCCCGGCGAGGTGGACAGCGTGGACAGCATCAGCGACGGCGAGGAGGAGGAGGACCACTACAGCCTCCAGAGCAGCTCCAGCGACACCAGTTACACAGCCACACATTCCCACAGACTGCAGCCGCACCACTGTTAGGACGCCGAGCGGACATCCACCTCCCAACCAGCTTCCTCCCCCACGCTTCCCCCCCCCCTCACCTATACCTTCCCCGACCATTTTCCGCCCGCAAACCTCCATCAGACCGGTCCACAGCGGAGATGAACCCCCCCTTCTCCTGGCCCCGGCTCTACAGGAAATGCCACTCAAAAAGCCTTCCTGACCCCCCTGACCACTGACCCTACCTCACCCTACTGTATCCTGCCTGAACTCGCACCACCCCGCCCCCCCCCTTCACACCCCCTGCCCTCCCACTGCCATCACACCCCCTTACCTAGTGTTGCCACAGGCTCATAGAGAGCAGAGCAGAGTTTGTGGGTTTTATTGGGGACTTCTGTGGTGTGGTGGACAGCTTTGACTTGTTAATCGTGTGTGTGTGTGTGTGTGTGTGTGTGTGTGTGTGTGTGTGTGTGTGTGTGTGTGTGTGTGTGTGTGTGTGTGTGTGTGGTGTGTGTGTGTGGTGTGTGTGTGTGTGTTGTGTGTGTTGTGTGTGTGTGTGTGTGTGTGTGTGTTGTGTGTGTGTGTGTGTTGTGTGGGTTGTGTGTGTGTGTGTGTGTGTGCGAATATGTAAGAGAGAAAGAACAAGCGAGGGAGTTTAGGAGGGTTAAAAAACAAAATATAGACTTCCTGTAATCTCTATAAGGCCATAGCAACCCCAGACAGGCACCGTGTTTGTGATGTAAAAGGTAAAGCACTTCTGCATTCTCTGCAATATTTGCAACACGCAAAGGTATTTACATCACACAGTATCTTCCCTTTACACAATATAAGATTTACCGGAGCAGCTATTGCAGGCGTCACGCACTTTCCTTGAAACGATGAAAAATGGAGAAGGTTAGAGTAATAGTTTGACATTTTGGGGAAATGTATAGCTTTCGTTTTGAGCCGTTTCTCCTACAATTCCAGTCTTTATGCTAAGCTAAGCGACCGCTGGCTGTAGCTTCACATTTAGCAAACAGACGTATGGTATCGATCTTCTCATCTAACTAAGCTTCTTTTTTCCCAAAATGTAAAACTATTCCTTTATTTGTTCCCCATTTTCATGTCAAAGTGCTGCGTCTGTGTCACTAAAAATAGGACGTTTTCAGTAGCTACGTCTGCACACAAATGCATGCATCTTCAAAACAGGGCTGATTTCTGGCCAAAGACAATCTGAAAAACGTACAGAGCTGTAGCAGAGAATAATTATTGTATATAGACGCACAGTTACTGTCTCCCTGTGGTCGGGTTGCCTCACCACTACTCCACACTACTGACCACTACACTATACCACCCTATGGTGTGGATGGACTACTAAGTCAATTGAAAAAAGGAGTTGCCTCATTACTAAAAACTCTATTCCTTAAAGATTGATTCAAATCTTGTGATTCCTTCTCAGTAGCGAATTGATGTAGCAATAAATACGAGAGGCAGGTTGTTCCTCTGAGTGTTTAAACAATTCTGGAGGACCATGAGGCGTCACGGAGACTTTTACCTGTTCAACGGCCAGTGGGTGTTAACTGAGAGCGGACCAGCGGAAAAAGGAGCAATTCTCCTTTTTCTTGTTCACTAATGGATCCCTCTCTGTGCTCACAACGCCATTTACCCAGAATTCCCATTCCTCTACAGCTTTGTTGCTTTTTCAACAGTATTCAGGTGTGTCCGGATGTTTGTCTGTCTTTCTGATTAACAAGTCAAAGCTGTGAATTTGGAGAGAAAAAATGTAAAAGATAAAAAAAAAGGGCCAGCTCTAAGGACGTGTTTTCTGTAGAGGCGTTTGCTTTAGCTTATAACTAATCACATTCAGTTTCTTTAACAAAGACTAATAGTTATTTTTCTCTGCTATCTGTTACTTGTCTCCAGGGCTTGTAATTGATTCACGATAGTCACTATTGACGGAAGGGGCGCTTCTGTCGCTCTCTGACCATTTAATAATCATTAGGCCTCAGTCTGGCAGTCTTTAGAGCTTGGCATTCAAACACTTGAAAACAAAAAAGACCTGTCCACCATGGCAGGTCTGCCAAAAAACTATAAAAAAACTACAAAAGACTCAAGAACACAAAAAACAAAAGAAGCAACATGTCACTCAAAGTGATGTTAGCCAGTGTAGTCTATATTTCTTGTATTACATTTTGTATTATATTTTCCTAAATGTTCTCTTGTAATGAAAAGACAAAAAAGAGCAAGTATATCTATCTATATATAAATGTAAAATATAAATATATATGAGAGACAGACGGACGTGAGGTCAGGCTTGTTGAAGGGAGAGTGGGGGCAGGGGAGCTGATACACTGGCCCCTCTCCCTTGGGTGACTCTCCTGCTGTCATTCTGTGCCTTGGTGAGCCTTCGACCTCCCCCCCCCCCCCCCCCCCCCCCACCTCCTCCTCCTCACCCTCGCTCCCTACTCAGGTCACACTCCCCCTTCTCTTTGTCCCACCCTCCCTCTGGTGGGAGATTTCCACCATTTACCATGCCAAAACACTTCCATGAGCAATGGGCACTTGAAGAGAAGATCTCATTATAAATACATTTGAAAAAAACCCCTCTCTCTACTGTTGTTTTAGGCACCCCCCCCCCCCCCCCCCCCCCCCCAAAGACCCTGACGCCCGCTCGTCTGCCAGCGCTGCCTCTGTCACAGAACATGTTTTCAAAACCACACACTGGTAAACTCCCATGGCAGCTTCCAGTCACCCCCAATAACCACCAACGGGGCTCAAAACTTCTGGGCTTGAAGCAAGTTTTTATTTTGTTTTTGTTAATTTACTTTTGTTCTTTGTTGACTATTTGTTCGTTCAATGGGAGTCACTGGGATGGGAGTGATAAAATAATCCAATCGATGGCAGCTTAAAGGTGTAATCCTCCGCGCTCCCAGTGGTCCGTCCCAGTAAAAGTGTTACCCGCTGATCAGGGGACCTCTTGAGACACAGCAATATTACCATCTCGTGCTTTCTGGGGGTGGGCGGGGGGGTTTAAAGGCAAGCAGGCAGTTTGGCTTTTGACTCTGTGGTGCATTTTATGGTGACCAACTCTACATTTTGTTTTGATGACCTCCTATCTGCACTCTCTCCATACACTGCAGGAGGGCAACAAAAAAAACTAGAGTTTAAAAAACGTTTGAAAAGCTGTTTTTTTTTTATATTTGTCATCAAGAGTTTACATTTATGTCAATGGATTTGTACATGACTGTATCAGAAATGTCAGAAATGAACAACGAAGCGAACCAGATGAATGCATAAAGTGATTCTCTTGCACAGAACCTCCCAGCGGAAACCTGACCGAGTGAATGGGACGAGGGCCAGATATGAGATTATAATAAATGGCATTATTGAAAAATGTACATAGCACACTCAGAAGGGCTTTGAACAGCTGACTGGACGGCGACGCGGTAACATTTAGTCTGAATGCTGGATGGATAGTGTTTATGGACAATCTTTTAATGATGTGCCTTAAAAAAAGTTATTTTCAGAGATGGTACAAATAAATGAAGATGGTTCAATCAGGTAGAAGCCCCTTTAAGAGGAAACAGAATATGTTACTGCCTCTTTCTTTATAAAATAAGGTTCATATTTATGGGACTCTTCATTAAAACTCCTTTTGAGATTAAAGCACGATTTAAGAGTCATCAGAGCGAGCACAGGCGTGGTTTGATATTTGCTTTCATGTTGCTGTTGCAGAGATTTACTTCAGCGTGTTGGGTTTTTTCTAAGAGCACAAAAGCACAGTGTGATATTTGGGGAAGTCAGCAGGCAGAGAGAGAGAGAGAGGGTGGGAGGTGGGATGAAATCAGAAACAGAACCACCATCCTATTGCTCAGCGGTGGTTCTTACATAAACAGACACTTCCATTAAATATGATTCCTGCCAAAAAAAATTGTCACTTTTTAAACCTTCCATGCAGAATGATCTGTAATGTGATTTCAGGCGACTAGCTTTAAGTACTTGTAGGCTTTAGGTCAGCATCCCGCTATCCAGACCCCCAGCCTTTTTGTCTTTTCTCCTTTTTATTTTGTTCATCTTCTGTACCCAGAGGCTTGCTGGGATTTGTAGTGGAGGGGGGAGGGGGGGGGGGAGTTAGTTGTGGGCTGACATACTGTGCAGAGAAGGGAGAGTTCTGTGCCAGAGACCTGTGAATATGTTCCTTTTTAGCGAATGTGTAATATGCATTCAGAAGATGTTATATATAAGTTCCTTTTTTTTGTTTTGTGTGAGTACACATGTACCTGGTGCTGGCTACATTTTGGCAAACACATGAAGGTATTGTGCATTCTCTCATTGTAATATAATTAAAATGTTTTATACATACGCGGCCTCATCATTGCCTGGTGAATGATTTATGCAGCGCTGTGACAACAAAGCAGCGGGAATATGCAGATCTGTGTTCAGATGTTAAAGGGCTTCCTGTTTGTGCAGCTGTGAAACTGATCTGGAATAGTAACTGGTTTGAAAGGTCAGAGTTCATCTTTTTGCCACAGCAGAGAAAGTGATAAACTCAAGAGAGGCACATTTAAATCAATAACTTATCACATTTTAATAAAGCATAATTTCACAATGAAAAAACAAGACATCAGACTCTCAACTTGCAAGGTTGGTTTAAAATGTTTTTGAATGAGTAACAAAATATATTATATTTTTTAATAAAAAATCTAAACCATTTAGTTTTTACATTTCTTACTCTGTACTTATATCTCTAGATATACTCCGTATCACAAATGCATAATTCTAAATAAGCATTCATACATCACATGATTATATATATAACATAATATTATTTAAAACTATTATAGTTCAAGTTTTGAAGCAGCAAAGTCCAGAAATGTCCATCTAGAAAAAGGGAATGCAATCACTGAAATCTTTCGTCATATTCAGTACTACTTCAGCTTCATACACAGGAAATGATATAAAAAGGGTTCCTTAACGACCTCAGTGTCAAACAGAGACATCACAAAGTCAATCTGAACACAGAAAACCTTCTCACTATGACTTTATATAGGTCACTTTGGTTTCTTGTGATTATCAGAGCTTCGGTACCAGTAGCTTTTAAACCAAGTGTTTTATTGTTATGTGCAGTTTTACAGAGGACTCTGCATGCCGACACTCATACAACACACTGTGTGATGTGTTTGAAAGTGACACGAAGAGTCTCAACCCCAGAAAATGTTAAATAAGTAAGAAATCATTAAGAAATCCCTTTGAATATTCCACGATTCCTTATCCTTGTCCTTTAGTTGTTTAAGCTTAACTAAAGTTACACAGTCACAGTATCAGAGGATGAACCTATAACAATAATAATATATTACTTCAAGTCCAAAGTGTGCAACTGTTTGAGAAGAGTTTTATCGTTTTACATGAAAATAAGATTAATAAATTAAAATAGATAAATTACATACATGGCAAGACAAGAAAATGTGCATTTATAAACATGACGTAGTTACAGCATTAACAGGTGCTGCTGATCACAATCCGAACAATTTCCCACAGAGACGATATGTTTCAGACGAAGGCTCGGGACCTGAGACGCAACGTAGACAGAAAGGTCACGGTAGCTGCTTCATACTTCAAGAACACACAAAAGAACCACCGATCAGCGAGATCCCAGAACCCCTCAGTCCAGTGGAGGAGATGAAAAGGCGTGGTGTTGAGTTCATGTCACCTGCACAGCGCTCCACACTGCGGCCCCTCAGACGTACTGCGGGGGTTTCTGTGGGACCGACGCAGCTGAAGCCAGGCTCTTGGCCCCCCCCTTGGCCTTCACTGGGTCCCTGAGAGGCCGCTGGGGCGTCTCTCCTGAGGGCCCAGAGAGAGAGGGAGAACGCTCAGTTAGTTTATTTAAGCCCCTTTCAGACATGAAATGCATAACATTGCTGTCCACATCAAGCTGCTAAGGCAGGGGTGTCCAAACTGCGACCTGGGGGCCAAATGCGGCTCGTGGACCATTTTGAATCGGCCCTCAGCCAATTAAAAAAGAATAATGAAATATGGCCCACAAATGAAACTTGAGCTTGTCTTATATTGTACTTCTTAAATATAAATGTACAAAAATATCACACAGTAGTATTCATGTATTAATAAGACCACTTTTCAAATAAAATTCAGTCAATTAGAGTTGGAAACATGTTCTAACATATCTTAGTTGATAAGAACAAAGCCCATAACAAGCTTGAAATACACCCTTCCTATTTCTCCTTATTATAATCAATCTGAGGTTTCTGTTTTAAGGGATGAGCTGCCAACACTCACAAGCATCATGTACCTACATTTCAATGATTTTGCTAACTTATAACTGAACTTATGAGGCACTCTAGTGAGCGGCCCAGCCCTTCATATCTTTTTCTGTATGTGGCCCTCGGTGAAAAAAGTTTGGACACCCCTGTGTTAAAGTGTCCAGACATAGAGGACCTTTACTACGCGACTTTGCATCTACTTGTTCAGTACAAATATTTTTATCCTCAAATACTTCCCGGTAAGATTGTACCATAACATTTATTCGCACTGCATTTGGATTAGTTTTTTGTAAGCCCCAAACCAGTGGAAGCCCCTGCCTGACGATGTGAGGAGCTGCAGCACTTTCAAATAAACTCACCAAGTCTGTTAAAAGCTCTGGACCTTGAATCCTACCTAGTGGTCACGATGACTTTAAACTGCCAAGCATACGTTTGTGATGTGCTGTTGTGTGCAGCTTTGTTTGTGTGTTTGGTGACTTTGTTCTTGCTCAACATATCAGTGTTTGTACTATTTGTTATTGTGCGTTTTTTGTTTTGACATGCCCAGCGACTAGAGATGCCAATTAGCTTAAAGGTGGGTAATGACATTTATTTCAGAAACACTTTTTGTTATATTCCATGGATGCTCTTAACATCCCGATAGCAATGAATAAATTAAATGCTTTGACAATAAATACATACAAAAATGTCATCTGTGGAAGCCGTGGCGCTGTCAAAAGCACGACCAATCATCTGAGCCTGCCCGGCTAAAATAACCGGATGGCCTAACTGCCTGTCAGCCTTCCATCTGTGCACAAACTCATCCCGTGCCCTCATTGGTCATGTGCGCGTTCGTGTGTGTTGGAGGAGGGGCTCTGTAAGGAAGTCTGAAGGAAGAGGCAGATTTTTTCCGGTTGTGTGTTTTCAAATTCTAGCGCACTCGAGCTGGTTTCTCCAAAATTACATACCCCGCCTTTAAGGCTATAATCTGGTACGGTGCATAAAATATTGACATTTATAATTCAAACATAACATAGTTCCCTTTATATCAATAGATTTAGCGTAACTTGCTATTGAAGATTTAAATTTGAAAATATGAGAAGGGAGACAGCTGGTCCGATTATTTCTGCTGTTTCCCTTCTCATATTTTCGGCTCTATGAAACCTGATGTACTTATATGATTCTGTTTTCTTCAAGGTTGTGTCTTCCTGGTCGAATGTACTTATTGTAAGTCGCTTTGGATAAAAGCGTCAGCTAAATGCAATGTAATGTAATGTTTACAAGATCTAGCCTAATTTGCCCTGGTCACACTGTGAGGGGAAATGTTTTTATGAAGTGCTCTCACATAAAAAGCTTCTCTAACAAATGTAAAATCATCTCTTTTACTAAAGTGGCTTTGTCTCCCAACAGCAGATAAATACAGTGATATGACTCCAGGTAAACAAGATGTCTGAAAGAGGCTTCATATATCATATAAAAGGGAAAATGCTTGGGATAAAGTCTTGAAGTGAGCACACCCACATTTGTATCAGCTGCAGACTGCCTCGCACTGGATTCAGTGCTGGCTTTTTGTGCCTGACCCAACTGTGAACCCTTAAAACCTAAAATACCTCACGTAAGAACAACAAAACTAATCACAATACAACCGAGCGGCTTCCTAAACCTTCCAAAGACGGAGAGAGAGGCGAGCCGAGCCGCTTCCTCCAGACAGAGCTGCCGATTCAGACAATAACTGCAGCGAGCCGATACAAAGCACACCAAATGCTTTACCTTTCAACATCATATCATCTAAATGACAACAAATACATTCAAAAAGGTGCAAACTTACTGGCTTCAAATGTCATAAGAAACATAAAAACCAGAATCACTACATGCCTCTGTGTCCTTATCCAACTTATGTGCACCATGCAGGTTTGAGTGGGCGGTGATATCAGCCCATACTAAAAATGAAATGACTTGTAACTGTCACACCTGTTTTAACACGTTTCCTTTTACTCACTAAAGTCGAGTTGTTTATGTGTCTGAATCAGTCTCAGTCAACGTTAAATAAAACTGATTTCAGGGCTTTTATGAAAGCCCCTAAACAAAGTTCAAATCCACCGTAAGGTACTTTCACAATATAAAAAAACACTCAGCGTTCCCATGGTCTATGTTTGTAGTGACAGATTTAGATGTTTATTTTCCTCTGGTGGAATAAAACAGACATCGTGGTCCAACGCGAGGGGCGGGGACTGAGGGGGACGTCAGGTGATGTTGATACAAGGGATTCATTGTGTTAAAGCAGGTTCAAAAATACTATTGGTCTTACGTGAGGCTGTGAATAGGTGTTTGTTTATTGTGATATATATTATTTTTCACAAAAGGTACAGTAAGTGTAGCTGGTATGCGTGGATCAACTTGGAGGTTTAAATTACTTTGACATTACTTTATATATTTCCAGGCTTTAAAAAGGTGTCATTCTGAAGAAACCTATGTTGAACAAAAGTGCATAGTCAGTTGAAATCAGGCCTTCATACATTGACATTTAGGAGAATTAAATAACTTGTAAGAGCTGACTTTAACTTATGAGATCTCTCTGGCATTTCTTATTGTGGCAGACATTTCTTACTTATAACCTTGTCTCTTGCAATTATCTATCCATCTCAGCCTTATTTTACACCATTTGTATTCCCCTCCTCTTCTCTGCACCCCTCTCACAATCTGCTGCTCAAACCCTAAGCTGAAATATAAAAGCACCTTTCTTCTTTACTATGTTAACTTCATGATAACTTGAAGTGTCGGTTATGGTGAGTAACTGGCTAAGGTTTGCTGCTGCTGTCTGATCAGCGACACAGCAGGAACCACATGAACCTCACAAAACAACACCTGATATTAACAGCAGTGTTTCCCCTACCATTGACTTGGAGGGGCGCTGCGCCCCGCCAACGGAGCCCCGCGCCCCCCTGAAATTCAAGGTGTTTTAAAAAAAAAAAAAAATTATAATTTTCTTTTTTTTTTTAATATATATAGCACAAAATTGCAAATAATCTATAACTACTGTCACTTTTCACATTGAACATGTGCTCTTTTATTAAATAAACGAAACACTTTCATTTTAAGTTGTGAGTTTATTATCTTTGACCCTAAGAAACGGATGCATTAATCAATAACAATAATCCACAGCTCCTCTCCCTGCTCAGACAGCACCCCCCCCCCCCCAAAGCAGTCAACCTAGGGGAAATACTGAACAGTACTAAGAACAGAACCTGTATTTTGAGATTCATCGTTTTTCTACACACACACAACAGAAAAACTCATGTGTGCTATTCACTGTGGGAGTTTTATTATGACTACCTGTTTGTCTGGAATCTTTAGTGAAATTATTTCACAGTTTTGCATCAGCCTTTACTCGGGGCCTTGCTAGCAGTGGAGTGGAGCAGTAATGCTAATTAACATGAAGAACAAGGCTGCTGAGCTGCATGTGGATCTATAACATGAACCTTTTATCCCACAGTCTATCTAATCCATAAATGTGAAAAGTAAAAACAGCATAAACTTGGTTAGAGTTTTAATTATTATCATCTCAAATTACTGTGAAGTAATTTCACATTAAAATGTTGTTCTCAAAGTCCTGCGAGAAGCTTCCAACAGTGACCCTGATCCTGAGGCAACTGTGCTATTTGATTTAAAGTGCTGGGACAATAATAATTAATATAACAACACCTTCTATATTAATAAAGGACACAAGTATCTCTCAATTCCTCAAAACACAACTCTAATCAAACTAAACCGGCCTCCTTCATTTAGAAAAACATCAGAATGAATTCATCTCTATGAAACCTTTCTAAGAATTCTCAAAAGGCAATTTCATTCATTCTAAAAACAAAGACCAGGTGCTTTTTCTCAAATGAATGCATTATGCTTTCACACCATAAAGTTCAACCAGGCAGTCTCAGAGGAACGTGGAGGTCCTCTCTGTACCGCAGCTCTTATGATTGACTGTACTGCCATACCATGGCTAAATGCAGTAATTGACACCATGTCTAAGTACAAGGGTTTGCCTATACTGTACAACATAAGATGTGTACAAATCACAAATTCAATGTGGTAAGAAGAGTCTCAACCCCATTCACTAATTCAAAGATGCAAAACTTGATATAGCATACAAAGGAAGCTCGGCGCAAGTTCAACCAGGAAGACCTTCTTTACTCTTCATTTACTATTTCCATGTTACTACTCTCTCTCCTCTCAATAAGTGATCGGGGGCGTCACTCCCCACCAATCACTTCGCTCTATTCTCACAAGCCTATCATAGCGCTCCGCTAAACCTTTTAAATCTGCTCTCCCCTCTGACAGCTGTCAGTTCAGTCAGACAACTCACGTGTTTCTTTGACATGTTTATTAGAAGCAGCATATAGTTGAGTTTGGCGTCTAGGCTCGGGCCTCATCACTCCGTAGATATACATAGCACGATGAGTGATGATCAAATAACTAACCCCCAGAGCCTACAGGTGGAAGCTGGGGTGGAAGCTGGGGTGGTGGTGGGGCAGCAAGCAGCAGCGACGTAGAAGTAGCTGCAGCAATAGCAGCAGCAAGCAAAGCATGGAGAGAGATCTGGCAGGTTAAATAGAGCGGTGTATTAAGGAGACTCTGTTTGGTTGGTTGTAGAGTGGCAAGGGGCGTTATGTATGAATGCAGCATAAGTGCTCGAGTTGACAGCCTGAACTAGTTCGCAGGCTTCGCCCCATTTCAGGTGACTCGACGCAACCCTCCTCCACCCCTTTTCACCTCAGGTCCCTCTGAATCCAGGGTCAAGCTAAGCCACTCCCCTTCAGACCGACCCCAACTATCCATTCACCACCACCACTGTCTAGACCCCGGGGGGTTTCATCGGATCGGTTCTCCCCTCCCGAATGATACTCCTGCAAAACAGGGCCTAATCGCCAAAACTCCATTACATTCATTTGTGTATTCCTTGCAATAAATATGTATTCTATTCTTACATCAAAACCGTCTCTCCTGATTGAACTAGTAGCTGCATTGTTCTTAGATTATAATCAATGTAGAGGGGAAAGAGTTTTACTCCATAGGTTAATTTAGCTACCTTGCCATTTTAAAGTTGAAGTTTTAGCGCATAAACTGTATATACATGTCGAATGACAATCACCACAATCTCTCACAGGGTTCATTTTTATATCAAACAAATAGGGGTCATAAGGATTTACTAAACTAAAGACTATCTACACAACGCTAGATCAACTGCTGAGTCATCTTTTCTCCTAGTTTCTGACTATTTAAGACAAAGAGGTTCTGCACACACACAAGGGGAGACGGGCACTACATCAGCTACTCGCTCTACTCTGTGAGGCTCATACTGGGCATCATGTGACACCCTGGGCAGGCCGGGGGGGTACATGATGCCTCACTGCGAGCAGACTTACCACAACGCTCAGCCTGATCCCTGCGGTGCCATCACACAGGGGCAGAGGGGCAACAATGGAGAACGTCCTTTCAGACAACAGTACGCTGAATCAGCACAACACACCTCGCTCGTTAGGGAACGCTGCTAAACAACGCATCGCTCCATCATCTAATGGCTTCCCGGGATTTAAATCCACCTCTCTGTGTCTTCAGACAGATGATGGTTTGTGAAAGAGTTGATGATTTGCATGCATTTGTCTTCTTTGAAATAAAAAATAAATAAATGTTAAATACCTTTTTAGAGTTTGATGTAACGTTTTTCCAAATTAAATGTTTCCGGGTTTTATTCTCAATTGTGTGGCTATGCCTTTGATGGGCTAAGCAGTTCATTGGTTGCTAGAGTGTCTGAATCTTTTGCAACCAAAAAACTTTAATTTATTTTCTTTGTTGGTAACGTAACTGTTTCACACCGGAGACGTAAATGAAGCTGAACAGATTCTGAGGTTTTTTCATCATCTCTGAATGTTTTTTGACAATTAACTGACCAAACAATGGATTGAATCAAGGTCATTATCATTATTTTTGTAAATAATTTAAAATGTTTGATATTTTCATCAGTTCAGTGAAGTCTCTCTCATATTCCTCTTGCAGGGACAGGCTTTTTCTGCCTTTCAGATTGCTCCTCAGTATTTTGTTTATGCAGCACAGAGAGCCTGAATTGTTTTGGTCTGAGTCTAAATTCAGACGTGTTTGTCACTGTAGTTGCCATGGTTTCATATCCCTTTGCAGTCACATGGTGTTTACGAGCGAAAAGGACCTCAAGGCTGCTCAAATTAACCTGTTTCTTAGGAAACCATGTAGGGGTAGATTACTAGGCAATGCTGATAACTTTCCAATTCCAGAGTATGGGCTTCAAACTCCTGAGGCTGAACGATTGAATTTCGATGTCAGAGGCGAGCCAACTCAATTACTACTGGATTCATGAAAACACACCTTGAGCATGTTTAGCCATGAAACCAAAGTAAAGGGAACATATAAATAACACCATCAATACGTAAAATAAAGTGTGTACAACGGGCCTGATGTTTTAAGGGAAAGTTTGTCCTCTCCAGAAATAGCAACAGTTACAAATAAACTGTTTTGTTTCCCTCTTCTTTCTGCCATGACGTACCCTGTATGTTGGAGAGCGCGTACTCCAGCCCTTTCATGGCCTTCACCTGGTTGCTCTTGAATCGGGCCAGTCCGAACTCCTGGGAAAGAGAGAACAGGAAACGGCTTTGCATGAGGGAGCCGTCGAACAAAAACACACTTAGCTAACAGCCCTCTCTCTCCGTCTCTCCGGGGGTTTCAAAGCAAGCCGGGCATCTTCAACATCTAACAATAACAATTTTATCTGGACATATTTTGGCACCGTTTTCACTTCTTCCTTTGAATCTCCCACTTGTTTTTTGTGTTGGCATTTGCACACAGGCTCCCACGCCTCTACTGCTCATACTCTACTACACATACCAACAAATCAAACTGAAGCCTTCTTGATGCTGTATATCACCATCTAAATATACACAAACTAATGTATTTACTTAAACAAATATATATTTCTACAATCTAGGATGGATAATAGTTAGTCATTGTAAATAAATGTAGCATGCTTTGCTACTTGCTTACTGCTATTACACATCTACAGTGACAAATGCATTTCTAGGAAAGTAACGGCTATTTTCTTAAAATACGAATATCAGAATCAGATTCAGAAACAGGTTTATTACCAGGTAGGTTGACACGTAGGAGGAATTTGACTTGGTGTCATGGTGCATACATAAAAGTAAAACAACAACAGCAAAAAACAGATAGAGAACTATTTTAAGAAGATTATAATAACATTAAAAATGATAAAAAATATAGTTAAATATAACAGTAAATTATGGAATAAAATTCGGCAGTAATAAAAACAGAAAACAGATATTGTGTGCAATATGATGAAAATGTACCATTCACTGAGGACAGTTTAACATGTTGATAAAAGCATGGGTTATTATTGCAAAAAGAGAATAAAGGTACCTGAATAGGTCTGGAGACGCCATAAACGTTTGAGGATATCCACGCCTCCCGTCTTATCTGGGTGGAGGCCGGCTGCTCCGCGGAGTCTTGGAAAATACAACGCTCCTCCACTGACTGAGAGCGGGGAAAATAAAAAAACAGCAAATTATTAAAAGGACAAGGCTATGGAACTGTCCTAATAATCCACACAGTACAGAAAATAAAGTAAAATAATTTCATAAATGCTTTTCTTCCACAGACCTAAAAGGTGATTTATTTTACAAAAAAAGAATGAAAAAAATAAATCCACTTTTCCTGCATGATTTTCACCACTATGTGAATGAGGACATCTCTGTTAGGCCACAGTACATTTAGCTAACAATACATCAAAGTAATGAGTACAGGAAATAACTAAATGGGAACATTAATGTATTTTCCATAAAGATTTGGATGCTTTGATCAGAAAATGTCTTTGATCACAACCAGTCAGCTATCTTAACATCCGGTTGAGTTTCATACTGCAGGAGATTAAGAACATGAGCAGCATTAATCCCTCCTGCATTAGCGTACAGTGTGCAGCAGTGAGAGTGTGGAAATAGCACACTTTAAAGGCTGCATAATGTACAAGTCATGTCAAGGCCCTTCTTCTCTGTGTTCAAACGCTCGCCTCCTTTGAAGATCAGGCCGGTTGAATTAATATTTCCTCCTCCCTTGAGGGGTAAGCAGCCACACCTGACTGGTAAATCAGGTAGTTTACAGTACAAAGCAAGGAGAAACCGCAACACTAAGCTCTTTTTTTTCTCTAATATAGATCTCAATTCTTGTAGATCTCAGTTGTTGCTAGAATTGAACACACTGTTGAATGTTTAGTGTGTGTGTGCAATACTGAACTTGTAATGGTCCTAAATCACTGAAGCTATGTGAAAACGTTAACCCTTGGAGATAGAAAACATTTATTTTGGCCACTTGGGGGCGGTTGTGATCACAACACTGATATATCATCACCTTTTAAGTTCAAATCACTTACTTGTTATTAGCAAAACGCTGCTTAGTCTCAACCAACTGGGCATTATTTATTTTTAAAACCCAAAAGGCTCTTACTGTTTTTCATCCTCACTTAGAGACTGTACATTCCTTCATATGTTATTGCTGGCCCTTATTAGGGCTGCTCGATTATGGCAAAAATCATAATCTCGATTATTTGGGTCAATAAATGATGTGATATCAATTATTGACCCAAATAATCGAGACTATGATTTTTTTAAATGATTATTAAAAACGATTATCCATTTACTTTGAAAACATCAATTTATTGGAGAAATTTGTTTTGAACAGTATGTTTTGAACAGTTGATTAACGTTAAGTATAATTCAACTGAAAAACCCCCAAAAAAAACAATTATTAAAAAATAAATAAAAAAATAATAATAATAATACAAAAATAATCGTTTTATTTCGATTACGTTGTTTTCGTAATCGTTGCAAGCTACAGTATAATCGTAATTGCGATTCAAATACGATTAATTGAGCAGCCCTTATGGAACATCCACATGATTAGATTACGTTGCAGGTACCTGCTGTTTTTGCTGAGCTTGGCAAATACAGTTTTTATCACTGTGCACTGCCAACCTGTAGAAACATGCAGAACAAACTTAAGCTTACGTCACTTATATCCTTAGGCAAATTGTGTTTTTAACGTTGGTCAAATGAAGTAACGGAATGAAGGATGTCCTGAGGGGAACATATAATAGACCTTTTAGCTGCTAAACGCTTCACTTTGCTCACCAGCTTGTAGCTAGCTGTGTCTATTTGGTGCTGAGCATGTGCAGCTGGTTTATGAGAGATTTGTAGCTGTAAAAAGCTGAGGCACATAGATCAGGCTGTGAGAACAATGTCAATTATCAACTTTTCCAAGAAAGAAATGGTCTGAACACAGAATCAGGCCCCTCACCATGAGCGTTGTATGGTTGAGGTTCCAGGTGTAGGTGGTCAGCTTCCTGTTGACGGGGTCCACGATGGAGTCCTCGATGATGTACACACAGCGAGACATGCCGGAGGGGAAGATCCGCTCCGCCCAGCGAGGAAGCCGATTGGTCTTCATCAGGAGGCGTCTGGAGAGCAGCCGGTGGTCCGCGGTCACCTCCCGGTACACAACGTCCTCTGTGAGGACATGGGTGCTGAGGGACACAAAAACACACAGCCATGTGTCATTAGGTCTGTCTTTAAAAATAGTCAGGTGCACATACAGCTCTGGAAACAATTAAGAGATTTTATCAACAATCTTGCCCAAGTATGTAAGAAGGGGATATTTTAAAGGCCAATATGAATATAATGGATGCTCAGAGAAAACAAAAACAGTTTGAATGTACAATGTGAACCTATCTAACCTTTAACTGTCAGGTTTCATGTCTGCTTTAAATGATTTTCAGTTCTGTTTAAAAACAGAGTTCTACTTTTCCAAGCTGTCAATCAAAAGAAAAAGTGTATTTGTGTGTTTTTTCTGTTATGGTAAAGTTTTATTTTCCCCAAAATGTCACTGGGATGTTTAGATATTGTAGAGAAAATATCTTTCAAGACTGTTAGATCAAGTCATAAGGAAAGTAAAACAGAATGATCACACAACTATGAAACTATGAATACGCTAAACTTAGCTTTACTTCTCTGATGTGTGTTCTCGGTTCTGGATCTGAATCATGACTGAGGGCTGATCTAAACTTTAATTGTATTATGATGTTACTTGCAAATTACTCTAGCAGGTGAAATTTCACATGCAAAAGTTGTGCGGTTTCCTTTTTTTTCATATCTAGGAAACATTAAGCAAGTATTATGTTGTAGATAATTGGTTTAATTCCAGGCACTGTACTGCTAAAACTATAATATCTTAAAATTGGTGTTGACTTTTGACACCCATCACATCCTTTACAATGGTCATTTCTAATTAAAACTGATCATGAACATATAACAGTACCTGAATGGGTTAGGGTATCTCTGCCAGAAAGCAGCGACAACATGGTCCCACGTGCTCCTGATGTCTGCATTACTACAAAAATACTTGACCATTTTCTTCCCGCTGCTGTACAGGATTCAGATCCCTGAGGTCCCTGGATGCGACTACACGAGGAAATAATACCTCAGGTGCTGAATCCATCCAAAACCTGACACAGCCCTGCAAAGAGGAACAGAAACAGCTTTACCAAATGATAAACCTCCAGCAAGCCGGAAATAAACAAAGGTACCAAAAGAATGTATCTTCTTACACGTTAAAAACACACGTTTGACAATCAAGGGATATTGTCTTGTCATGATATGCAATATTATTTTATAATAGACAATAAAAAATGTCCAATATCCATATCTCTCTCTAGTAGCTATCTTAACAGTATACTTTGGTATATGTTGCCCCTAAATGCAATGCTGCATATTAAGGAGCAGGCCTGCTTTATGGCACTGTTGGAATATTATTATGGTTTTTGATTTAATGTGATTATCTACCTTCATGTATTATATATATCTAATTGGGACCGCCAATTTTCTGTATATTTTCTTCATGTCATTGCAGCCCTATTTACGTTATAAAACTATTGATATTGTTAATAGGGATTGTATTAATATCTTCTTCTCCTATATATGTATAAAACTGTCTCTATATATGTATTCGGTTATTACATTACTAATAGAGTTATTATTCCAGCAATACAGCCATGCACATTTACTAATATACCAAATATATTCAGTATCACCAATTTGTATATACATCTTACAGGGACGAAATGCTGTGTTTGTTGTCCATTGTTGACTATAAACATGTATTTTCATACATTCATGAAGTAGATTATGTTGATTTGTCATTTTCACTTCCACAGCACAATGTTTTAGCTTCTTAAATAAAGGGTTATAATGATAAAGAAAATCCTTTAACTTGCACCAAATCACAGTAAAGTGGAGGCATCCTTTGCTACATTTCTTTACAAATCCTGTGAAGTACTTTCACGAAATGGTTGATCTTTCAACTACTAAACAATAACTTAAACATCTGAGTATCTGAGTGTCACTGTAAGTTGTGCAACCTGCACACGTCACCTTGACTTTACATTGAGCCATACCATTAGCCGGGGCCAGAGCCATATCTACATGGCGCTGGCCGGGGCTTGCTCCTAGCTAGGTGGCTAATGTTAAAGCTAACAATATGTGAACTCCTTAGATATCTTACATATAGCTAGCTCCTTAAAACTGACTTAAATTACTATAGTTTGGCATATTACGGTTTGATACTATTTGACAGTTTATAGCTATATCAGTTAATAACACAATCATGACTTTGTTGAGGATTTGACAGCTAGCTTAGTATAAGGTTAATTAAGTGTAGCTAGCCCGGTAGGATCTAAAGTTTCTCAGGCTGTCAGGAAATAAGAGAAGACTTACCTGAAATCACTGTTAGTGAAATATGAGGCTCATAAATATCCAAAGAGAGCCTGCTTCATGAGTGTTTTGCCTTCTAAAATAACTAGCGATAGTTAATTAGATCCATTGTCCCATAGAGAGTTCAGATCAGAATAATGTGAAAGAACTACGTACATAGTTCTTCTTCTGCTTCGTGTAAAAACCTTTATATATACAGTCTATGGTCAAAACGAGCAGCACACAGTATGATTATTGCACCCTCTGCTGTACCGGAGGGGAAATCACTTTTTTGCGTTTAATGGTGAATAGCAAAACCAACTTTTAAGCGTATTTTGCCATCTACCGTAAGGGAGTGTGTAGTGCAGGATCTAGTCTGTTCTTATTTCTGGATATTTGTTTTAGAAAAATGTGTCTATTTAACTGTTTTTCGTATCCCCTACAAAGTACACTATTTCCCTGCTGGGTTAGGGTTATAAGAAGAAGATATTGTAAAAACACTTGTTGAAACTCATCACAGAAGTGACAGTCCATTTTTTTTTTTTTATCTGTTCAGAAAAATCCAAGGCATCTGGAGTCAGGTTACTTTAATATGTCCTTTAGAAATAATGGAATTTAGCCTGTGTATCTTTCCAACTTTACCAAACTTCAGTTTTTTTTAATCAATGAGTTTTAGGTAGGTATTAGAAAATCTTTAATAGCAACACCATTTTTGACGCTAATAAACATTTATATCTGGCTCTTGAAGGCTCTGAAGTGAATATACATTCATTTATTTATTTATTTATTCTTTCTTGTGTTTACCTATTCCTGTATTTATTTCCATTGTTGTTATGAATTGCTGTATTTATTTCCACATTTATTAATTTAGTTTTTTTCCACATTTATTTATTCTTGTATTTTTTTATTCCTGTATTTATGCATTTGTCTATTTTTTTACTCATGTCATGTTCTGTCCTCCATAACTGTGTGCTCGTTGTGGTTATAAAGGTACACATTCACTCAAAATCACATCACAGCAAGACCTATAGTTAGACGTTCATTAAAATAAAAACACATTGGTGCTCCAGAGGTCTGCATTGGATTTTCATGCAGGTGCTCAAGGTTCAACACTCAGGGCTGGGACATATGTTGTCTCCTATGCTGATGTTAAATCTGGAAAAATGGTCCCCACCACTTTTTCGACAAAGTGAGGCCCATGTAAATCTTACACTATCCCAGTAATTATTTCACTGACAAACCCAGTTAGCATTAAAGTTATCCTATAATACTCTTTTTAATCAATATAGTTCTCAGCAGTGTTCGAATTACCCATTTGCTTTCGGGGGAGCCATATTTATTTATTTTTTGGCAATCATATAGGCAGACCTGAAATATGTATATGTGTCTTGCATTAGATCAACATTGATTGCCAATACCTTGTTTGGTATGACATATTTTTTTCTCATCTCCGAAATCTCGATTGCCTTTTCGTGTGCCTGGCTCTTATGGTGCTTATAAATCTTTTCCCACAGGTTATTCTGTTGATCACTGCTGACTTTTCCCTGACTCCATTCGTGTGAAAGGTGCACTCCGGTGGATTTTTCAGCCAGCGGCAGGGAGATCATTCAATATACTTTTCGTCTCTTTGCAAATCTCACATCCACATTTTTTTTGCCGCCGTAACCATAGCAACGTAAGGTAAAGAATGCAGCGCCGCGAGAAATATTCACAAATATTCAGAAACTGTAATGAACAATGACTATTTATTTCAAGAACTTTTATGCGCAAATGCGGCGCAATTTAGCGCGCCACAGTTTCGCCGCTGCGAGACTCCGGCGCTCGCATTTCACGCCCGTTAAAATTGTTATGACATCATAAAGTGGCCAAAATCTGATCAGCTCATTTTCAGACAGGTTTGTGGATCAGGACAAAGAGTGAGCAAATATTTGTTCCTGAAACTTTCAGAATCTCTTTACACAGAGGGGACACATGTTTATGTATAAAATACATGAAAAAGTGGATTTTGCATAATAGGTGACCTTTAAAAAGAGAAAGATCGATAAGCCTCGGAAATGAAAGGAGCCATAAGATCCGGGTCTCTTCAAAGAGGCCTAATGCCCACGAACCTCCTGTCTGACCCGCAGAGGGGTGCATGTGAGGCGCTAATGAACCCGCCCTGTCATGTCTTCATGCCTCCTGTGGTAAAGGTTTCCTGTGTTGCGTTTAAGAATGTGTGTAAAAACCAACTCCTGCCGCGACCACTAGATTCCTCCTTCTCATCTCTGGAAATGCTGATTGATTCAAAGACTGCACGAACAGCCTGGGGGCGCAAATAAAACCTCTGTCAGTACCGGACACACACGCACACACACGTCTGACACACGTGTCTCTAATTTAGGGGACTGTGCGTCGCTTGGTCATTGACAGAAAAGTGGTTTCCTTTCGGAGGAAATGATGGAGAAGGAAAGTTTCTGACGCTCTCCGTTTAGTTGGGACTATCCGCAGGAAAACAGGGGATCATTTTTCGCTTTTCGGCGTCTGCTCGTCCTCATCATAACGCACACAGACTGTAAATCTGAAGAATCTGTACATGGATTTGGGATTTATCAGGTCTGCGACACTGAAATGTCTCAGGATTGGAAATGCAGCTCCACGCCTGTCTGTTGCTTTTTATTATCACAACAGGTAAGCAAATCTGCCAGACGAGTTTAGTATGTAGGCAACTCTTTTTGTTATGACTGGACTTTGTATTGGACACACTTTTAAGATAAAACTGTTGTTTCTTTTCTGTGACTTTTGCAATAGTGCTGCTGTATTGACAGAAAAAGGTTTGTTGGTGTTTGTTTCAAGCTCAGACTCGTAGGTTTCATCAAAATGTTGAAACGATTAACAAACAAGGGGGAATCTCTTTGATATGTTGTCAACATTTAATTGTTTTCACAAATTTTCTCAAATCTCTCTTAATTTTGCTTTTACCTTTTTTTAATCCCCCAAATTATTTGTATTATTTGTATTTTAAAAGTCTTCAACTAACTAACAACTACTATTTTCTATACTAAATATTCTGCTGATTCTTGTCTCAATTAATCGTTTGTTATATAACATTTCATATATTGATACAGAGAAAAACATATATTTGAGATACTATCAAAAATATTTAGCAATTATATTTCTGTCTATTGACTTTTTTTCTAGCTTTTGACAGCCTCACGTCCATGCATTTCTTTTAAAACTTGAATTTGTATGCCAAAGTGATACCCTCTCTTACCATCACCTTGTTTTTGTTATCTTTCCCCAGATAAAACATTGGCCTCGTTGCACCAACACTGTGGGGGAAATGTCCGCGTGGACAAAGAGCCTGCTGGTCACATCAACCTCACATTACCTGGACTTATTACTGACACCAACCAGTCTGAAAAAACCCTACCACCTTCAAACTGCACTTGGACGATAAATGTTCCTCTGGGTGTGACGGTACTATTAAAGTTAGTATGGTTGGAGAGTGGTTCGAGCATATCAGTGCAATGTGTTTTGAACGAGGAAGACAAAGTCCTCAAGAGCGGGGAGACAGCTCTGCTCTCTCTATGTGACGGAAACAAAGCCAGCTTCACTTGGACAGGAGCAGGACACTCTTCAAATGCATTTCAGCTCTTCTATTATGGTGAGAAACCATTACTCAATTATCTAGTTTGAATTATTGGGTCAGAAAGGCCCCTTTCCTGCACCCTCATCACGAGAATTTGATCTAATTGTTGTAATTACATTTGGGTCAGGCTTTAGAGTTTTAGAGTTATTGTTTTTTGTTGGGGTAATTTTATTGTCTAAATGAGTAAAGGGAAAATATCTGTTACAGAAGAACACTATCTTGATGCTTTGATTGTATAATGTTAAATGATGGAAACCCATTGTGCTTTTAGCTGTAAATCTACGGAAAGTTCTTATCACGCTCGCTGTGGTGTGGGAGAGAGAGATATGTTGTGTTGTGATTTCCACTCTGTCTCTCCTCACCCTGTCCCTCTCTGTTTTGTGTTTGTTCCTGGTCATTCAGTCCAGGAAAATGGGAGGAATTCCTCGGAGGACAACACCAGCCCACATTCAGACCTTTTGAGTTGGTCTGAGTCAGGAACCAGCTTCACAAGCACAGCTCCGATTGGTCAAGATGTGGTGAGCGGAACAGAAGGGGGCAGAGGTCGTCTCTACGAAGGTCTGGAGCAGAGTTATGGGCCTCAGTCTGCGTCTAGTCCCTCCTCTCAGGACCAGGGGCTGCTGCGCCCCACCTCACCCCTGCAGGGACTCACTGTGGCTGGGAGAGGCGATAGGGAAACGCTCCCTCTTCCTGAGGAAGAACCGAACAATGGAGCGGATACATCTGGAGCCGCTCACCTCGCTGATGGCAAAATGTCTGCCAGAGAGTGGACACACCCCTATTTTGAGCAAGCTCTAAGCACAGATACACTGTTTCACACATCACACACACCAGAAAGAAAATTACATTACGAGCTCCCTCGTACAGAGATGGCACTGACACGTAGCTCTGACACTTTGCATGGCACTGATAAACACAAATATACAGCCACATCTAAACTATCTACACCCACACAAGATCATCTACGCTCCAGGGTCCCATCTTTCACCTCCTCCCCCCCTGAGCAACATTCACGAACAACTTGGGAGATTAGCACCATCCCAATCCCACGTGGTGGAGCTGTAAGTGGGGCATCTGTAGAGAAACTACCCCATTCCTGGAGGAGCCAGCGAAGCACAGACAGAATTCACTCTGATTTGACCTCCACTGTCACCTTTGATCCTTTAACATCTTCCACCGACCTTCAGCAGGATGACTCAAGCAGCACACACTCTCACACTGACCCCACTGCGTCATTATCATCCTTACAGGAACCAAGCAGAACTCATTCATCCACCACCCACACAACTGAGCCCGACACCTCTGTTGGTTCTGTGGAGGCTGCTTCATTTCATCTAAACAGTACTGACTCATCTACATCAGCTGTGTCATATGTTACAAGTCAAACGGTTGCGTTCGAGGCCTCCGATACATTTGAAAACACAGAGATGCTTGACAATCTTACTTCTTCCACAGAGAGTAAAACCAACTCTCCACAAAGCACAGAGAGCTTCACACACTCGCCATCTCCTGATACATCCTCCCCATTGACCTGGACAAACAAAGAAGAACAAACAGCGACACAAAGAAATGAAGTAAATACAGAAATGGCTACTAACTCTCTCTCCTCATCGCCTGACTTTACCAAAGTCGAGGATGGGACTTTGGGTTTCACAGATTTTTCTTCTACACCCAGAGAAGATCTGACGTTGAGAGATGTAGTTACTGACACGGAAACGTACACCCTGCCTTCCACTAATGCACTCCTACATGACGACTCGCCCACAAATTCACAGACTCCCGTCCCTGTGTTGTCCTCCAGTACATCCATACACTCATCAACACCTTCAAACACCCTCCAAACACACACTACATTTCCTGTTAGTTCACATTCAACACACACACCCCTGTCTTTGCCCTCCATTACCACTGACTCCGCTGCACACACACTCCTCATCAACCACAAAACCACGCCTATACCCTCACAAACATCTTCACACACAACTCATGCACAGAACCAGCCTTTACCGTCTTCCACTGATGTCCCAGTCACACATAAACAGCTTAACAACTACCTTACTACTACCCAAACTTCTCTGGTCTCACTCACAACTGTAAAAGCAGATGATGGAAAAGAGAGGTAGAAGTACAGAATGAGTCTTGGCAGTGGGTTTACAGCAGCACAACTACACAAACTCCCACAACTCAAGCTCCATCCTGGACAGCACCATATGACAGCAAGGAAAACCATGTGGTATTCACACCTTCTGTTTTAACCTCCGTGCCCAATTTAAGCTCCACAACCAGTCGGACACCCAAGTTCTACATTGTGCCGGACCAACCTGCAGCCATCAAAGGTATGATAAAGATTTGTGTGGGATTTATAGACTAGTTAGGATGTTTTGAAGCGGGGATTTATGAGTTACTTATTCATGGTCAATGTTGGCCAGTAACGGATTACAAAAAAGTAACTATTATCAGCCAAGATTGCATTTGACAAGATCTGATTTTGATTTCTTGATGAGAGTTTGATTATGTCTTGAAACTATAGCAACATTATTCTCTTGTGCTGCAAAAGCAAAGTATGCAATGTCACTTTTCATATTGAAAATACGGCAGTGATGCACTGTGGTAGCTTACCTGGTAGAGTGGGAATTTATCACTGTATCTCTTGTTTGAAAACCCTTTAGCTGCATGTGATCCTCTCTCTCGCCCTTTCTTGTCGGTTTTATCATTGAAGGCAAAAAAATCCCCCCAAAAGTTTTTTGTTTTTTTTAAAACCTTCAGGGTTCAAGTTCAGATTGACAAAAGTCACATCATCTGTACATAATGACCATCAGTTAGTACCAAATACAATCCCACTTCAAAACATCCAAACTATCTAGTAAATAATATGTTTTGGTGTCTACATTTGTTGTCATTTTGTTTGTTGCTTGTTATGTCCAGTCGAGTCGATTGAGCTGCTGCTTCAGATCCTTGTAGAAGATTCCAGATCGGCTTTTACTTCTGGTTTGGAGGAAGACACAGCTGCCTGGGTGAGACTTATTCACACACACACCAGCAGGCATAAAACCACAAATGAATCCATAAGACAGCTTTAGAGTCGTCTTTAGTAGCTGCTACAAAGTTATCCCTCCCTGTTTTGTCCAGGTGGATCCATACCTACGGAAAGTCCCGGGGTTCAGCAGGCTGCTGGGAGTCTGGAGTAGGTGAGGTGTTTAAGAGGGCACATGTACTTAAACTAAACTGCATTTAGTCCTAGTGTGTGCCTATGTATAAGCATTGAATTCAAGTCACAAGTTTTAACCACATTGACATTTTAACACCCTATAAATCAGTTGCTTATTTACACATCCAAAATATGTGTAACTTCCTTAATTTAATGTCTTGTTCCTGTAAATCAAATTAATTCCTCTTTTAGCTCCTAATTCCTAAGGAGAGAAATATTTAGTTGGCAGCTATCTGCCGTTCAAACATACTGTACATCCAGAACAGCAATTAGTGTCGTAAAACAACCTTCAGGGTTTCTCAGAGATGGAAAGGTTTTACATTTTCTGAAAATTGGATGACTCCAATACAGTGGAAACCCACGAGAGGCACAAACTGTGGTGAGGTTGTGTAAAAAGAGGTGCTGAAGGTGAATGTGTTGCTGTTTTAGTGGCCATGCAGTGCAGAGTGTGGTGGAGTTTGAAACCAGCGGAGCTCTGCAGTGGCTCGGCATGACAGGACCCTCATCACTGTTGGAACGAACAGGACTATCTGAAGCTCTCAGCGAGGGGAGGACCTTCAGATCATCCAAGATTACCAACATCACACTGGGAGGTAAGCCTGGGTTGAGATGCCCACATACACTTTAAAGAGGCATGTTTATGCTTTTTGGGGGTTTTCCCTTTCTTGTCGAGTGTTCTATAGGTTTTTGTGCATGCAAATGGTCTGCAAAGGATAAAGCCCCAAAGTTCCCTCTTGAGGAAGTTCCAGTCTCTCTAAGCGGTTGACCAATCACAACAGAGCCGGCTGGCTATCCAATCAGAGCAGACTGGGCTCTGTTTTCAGACATAGGGTGAAAAGAGGGGCTGCAGCACAGGCATTATGAGTAGAATAAAGACCTTTTTGAACAATAGAGCATGTATACTCATGTCACAGTAGAGGCACAAAATACAAATATGAACCTGAAAATGAGCATAGTAGGGTCCCTTTTAACAAAGATGGCTAACCCTTAGGCCGCCCTGTGCATGTTGTTCACCTTTCTTCCTTGGCTTTCCTTTTATTTTTTTACTTTGACTCTTTTAATTTGAAAACATTTGATAATGTTGCTCTGTTAATGAAGGTTAAAAGTCCAGGTTAGCAGTCGGTCACAGTATATTCATTTATCTGAGAAGAAATTCCACCCTTAACATGCTTATTTAATTACCCCAGTTACAGATGGACTCATGTAAACATCGTAACTCGGTTAGGCTCGCAGTCCAGTTCTGAGAAATCTGATTAACATGTCTGGCTCATTGGTATTACTATGTAACTTGTTATTTTGGCATGTTATCATCTTACTGTACTCATTTTACATGTATTTATATGTTTGCAAACCTGTTCCGAGTCTTTGTGGATTGCTTTACTTTTTTTTTAAAAGGTGGACTTCATATTTAAGACAATTTTTTTTTTTTAGATTTACCTCCTTAGTAGCTTATGTATTGAAATTGGCTTACTCTTGCTCCCTTTTCAGACTGTTCAGGACACGATTACCTCTGTCCTTAGACAGTTGCATTGCATAGGTGAAATCCCCCAAAACTAATGTGGGAAAACTAGAAGTCATTATAGTCTTCGTTAATGAATCCAACACTGCCACATAAAGGGGAGGGAAGCACTGAGACTGACTAACACAATGTTGTTTTTATGTAGATATATAATGAAAATGTGGTAAACATCCGCCTCACTGTTTAACACAGGTCTGCAGGGTGATGTGTGTGACTGGTTACTACAATGTCCAGCAGGCTACAAGTGTGTGATTCAGCCTGGCACCTCAAACTATAGCTGTTCTTCAGTCTGCCACTTCGACTACTGCCACCACCACGGAATCTGTACTCACCACCCGGGACAACTTCCAGTTTGCCGGTAGGAGCACATAGAGGCACTCAATCATGTTGTATCTTTCCGTCTATCCAATAATGTTTTGTGCATGTAATTATCCTTTTCCTTGTGTGTCAGCTGCCTCGTAGGAGTGGACTTTTGGTACATGGGTCAGAGGTGTGATCTGAGGATGACTCGAGCACGTCTCGTGGGCGTATGTCTTGCCATCTTATTCGTCATGGTAACGATGATTGGTATTCTGGCTCTCGTTGCAGTGCGGCGCTACAGAGCCATTCTGATCCAGGCCAAAGTGGATCAGACTCGGAGCAGGTATGCCCACATATAATTACTGTGTTTGTGTTAGTGTGTGGTGAACAGTCCCTAAATTACCAAAGGAAAGAATCAATAAATATATTCTAAGGATAATATTATTAACAATAACAATGATATTTACTTTAAAAAAGCAGTTTGGAAAGCGCTGTGACAGCTGTTGCCGGTTTCCATAGACATTGCATGGCAGCTACGCCGCAGGCACTAACTCTCCCTCTGCTCTGATGTGTTTTCAGTGTAAGGCCAGACAAAAACAAGACAAAATTAGGCGTAGTTAAAGTAAACAGATCCAAAAAAAAAACAAGTCTATAAAAAGACAAAGAATAAAAGCAATAAAAATACCACATCACATAAAAGCAAGGCTATACAAATGGGAAGAACATACCACACACACACACACACACACGTTTGTTAAACATAGACGACAATACCACAATAGACACTTTGGAGATAAATCATGTGTTGTGACACTTAATATAGTATATGGCCATAATTGCATAAACATAAATTGTAATTGCAGTTGTGTCCACTAGGTGTCATAGTCTGGCTGCAGAACCACAGACTGTGATGAACGTTTTGCTGAAGACTTTGGAAAATGTTGAGACATCCAGACTTAATCCAAATGCTGCTGTCAGCCCTCATTTTGTACCATGATGCATTCACTGTCATCACGTCAAGTCTGTTAGGGTGCTGGGCCAGGAAGGGATACATGTGATTTTGACCTGGAAAACTATTCTTCTAAACCATTTCTTTTGTGCCGCCTGAAATTTGCAGTTTAAGTTAATTTATCGCATTAAATTAGGGCACAACATTCAACATTGGTGCAGTGTCCAAATCAGAGTAGGTAGATGTATGTGTCAACATTGAAATACAATTCTGAGTTTACTACTGTTGGGCTGCAGACATACCGACATCGTCTTTGTTATGTTCAGATCCTTGTCGCAAATAAATGTGAATTAATGCAAAATTATATTGCAAATAATACAATTGCAGTTAGACCTTTTTTTCAAACTGTTGAGGCCTACATCAAATACATTTAAATCAAATATAAAAATGTTGGCCTATGAAATGTACATAGTTGACTGGATTGGACATTTTTGTGTCCCTTGATAGCCCTGTGTGGACTTGATAAATTGGAGGTATAAAAGCGTTTTTGAAGAGTTGACTTCGGGTTTCAGCCTTGTGTTGTGTAAAGACACTTATGTTGTCATCTGAGTGGGGCTGCATGGGCGTTTTGTTTACCTGAACTGAGATACTTTACTACGTCCTATTACTGAGATTAACGTCTAATAGTGGGTACAGATTTAGACGGAGAGAGTTCAGACTCTGTGAGGTTAAGCCTTAAATCAACAGTATCTCATTAACAGTAGGGAGAGAGCTTCCTATCCAGAGAAAGTTTGACCCTTCGATCTGAGCTTTACTTCCTCCAGCAGCTCCAGTCGGAGAGCACATTCAGCTGACTGTCGTTTGAACATCTCCCCAACATTGATTCTATTTTTTTCTTCAACACTTTATTGAGTCATATACTAGAAATCAATGAAACAACCCACCAATTAGACTGTTGACCCTCAATTGTCTCTCAATAGATGAACATGTGTCACTGGGCTGTGCGTAGAGACGTATTGGATGGTTTTTAGCAATAAAAGTATTTTTCTTCCAAAGTGAAGGTGATGTTTGACCATGTAATGGTCGAGGCGGGACTTGAGACAGTTAATCGTCTTGGATGTGACAACGCTTTCTGGCAGATCATTCCACAAGTCAACCACACGCAGGCTGAAAAAGATGCAGCGGATAGCCAGTCTTGAGTTGTTTCTTCAACTTGAGGCAGTGTCCACGAGTCCTGGTGTTATAATCCCGTTGTAATGGGCATGATGTTTTGTAGATGTTGTCATGGTGGACACAGTAGCATTACATGGTACTCAGATCTTTTAAAGTAGTAATACCAGTTCAGAAATACTCTGTTGCAAGTAAAGGACCTGCATTCAAAATATCTCAAGTATATTATATAATATATATATAATTAAAAGTATGAAAGTATTAGCATTAAAATATACTTAAAGTAGTCAAAGTAATTTTTCTACACAACAACCTGTTTTATAGTAATATATGATATTGGGGTATGATTGATGTGTTCATCATTTTAATGTTATAGTTGTTTTTTAACATACTGACAGGTATTTTTTTAATTCTAACAAGTGGTCAATAAAGTGTATTTTAATCTTTTTAAATGATATCTTGTATTGTCAATCATCTTTTCAATGTAACTAAAGTTATCAAGTAAATGTAATGGTAGTTTCCTCAGAAGGAGTAGCTGTATAAAGAAGCAAGAAAATGGAAATACTAAAGCAAAAAGTTCCCAAAAATGACTACAGTACTGAGTAAATGTACTTAGTTGCTGTCCAACACTGTATAAGTATGACAAATGTTTGTTTTACTTAAACCCAGATCAAATTGAAGCAGAAACAATAAATGAATACAATATATAAGTGTACCCTATAATATTAATCTTATTATTTTTGTATGCAGCTATCGCAGGTTCAACCATTTTGACGAGCTGTCAGGGCGGTTCTGGTTGCGCTCTTGGGCCGGATCAGCTGACTCACTGGATAATCCCGCTTTCACACGCTCCAATGAGCTGCTGCACCTGCGGGCGCTCGACCGCCCCTGCTGTTACCACGACGACACGCTGTCCCTGGCCTCCACCTCTGCCAGCCATGGGACACGCATCAATACAATCTACCCACACAGGTACACACACACACACACACACACACACACACACACACACACACACACACACACACACACACACACACACACACACACACACACTCTCTCTCTCTCTCTCTCTCTCTCTCTCTCTCTCTCTCTCTCTCTCTCTCACACACAGACAAAGTCAAATATCACACTTGAATGGTCCATATACCTTAACAGTATCACAAAGTTATGGATTATGCTGGAATAAAAGGTCTGTCTGTCCTCCTCAAACTGATCTAAATGTCTTACAATAAAAACCTGTTATTTTAGTTCAAGTAATGGTGCGCTAGATTTCATTGCCTGTTATGGGATGTTGCCCCTTTTTAAGCATTAGTAATCATTGTGATTCTCCAACAAGAGCTGTCATTAATTGCCTTTTTATCCAGTTTAAAATCACATTTCTGCGATACACTTTTTAGATCTTGATTGTTTCTACCTATCTGTCTGTTAGGTTTGTTGTCTTTAGTGAAACCATGCCGAAGATATTTCTAGAAAACCCAAATTAGACATAAAGAAAAACTGATCAGGATGTAAAATAGCATTTGTAAACGTAAGCACTTTTAAAGTAATATGTGTAATGCCAGGTCAATTGCTTAAAATAAATAGAGGGCAACATTTCACCCCTTCAACCGAGTCCAGACAACTTAAATGTGCATTCACAAGTAATTAATTTAGCATTGACACCATTTGAATATGGAATCATTCATATAGCACCTTTCTAGTCCTCTCAAAGCGCTTTTACACTACACGCCAACATTAACCCACTCATACACTGATGGCAGGGCTGCCACAGTACCAAACTGCTCTACTGATCTAATGCTCATAGACACACTCACACACCTTTTGAGACAATTTGGGGTTCAGCATCTGGCACAAGGACACAGGTATAATATACAACGATAATCTATAGTTAACAATGTTCTAGGATGTATAGAAATCTGATTTTAAAATGAAATATAAAGATGGAAATATTGACACACAAAGCATACAAATTATGTTTTGTCTGTGTATTCCCTGTAGCTCTCAGTATGGTTGGAGAGGAAGTGAGATGAGCATGGGGGATGGGGTGTTGGACTCGGGTAAGGCCAGTGACCTCTCTGTGTGTAGCTGGCCTGTGGAGCCCATCCAGTGGACTCCATTCCCACTTCTGCAGCAGCTGGCCTCCCACAGGACGCCCGCAGTGAGTGTTTCACTTTGTTTGTGAAACATAGAGATAGAGATGTGTAATTCAATATATTTAATGATGTGTTGTTTTCACCAGGTGAGAGTGTCAAGGCCGCGGTCCTACTGTGAGGGCATGGAGCTGGTGGACCTGGGGAAGAGCTGGACTGCTTGACAGCATAATGAAGAAACAACTCAAATGTTGACACTTGACACTGGTATTTTGCAGCTCATTCTTGCATATTAGGTCTTAAATGTTGTAAAGGTTCTTGTTGTGTTGAGAAAAACGTTCAAAAGAATAAGTGTATATGTGTATATAAGTGTATATTTCGTCAGATTGTTACCTGCTAAATGTTTACTACCAGTTTGAAGCGGCAAGCTGTTTCCTATATGCAAACTCTGATAAGATGTCTAATTGTCTATGGTGCAGAGTCTTATACAATGCTTTAATAAACACAAATCTTACTCAGGGCAACAATAAATGTGTTATTTGTTTTTTTGGCAGTTAAAATGTCCGTTCTTTTGCATTTAAACATACTGTGCTTTCTACTCTGAGGTCATTGCATGACAAAGATTTTTATTCGTGAAGTACAAACATGTACACATTTTTCAAGCACAAGGGCAGTGGAAGTGCTCTATACAATGCATTAAAAACATTTCACAGATAGTAAAGTATAAACCATTCAAACGCAAATAAAGAATACAAAATATTTAAATTAAATATTTGTACTCAAAATATATACAAGTTTGTTCTCGGCGGACATTGATTAAGTGTACTACTAACCCAGGTTGTTCTTTGTACATCGTTTAATAATTCAGTTTTAAAGTACACTCGGAACTAAGGTGTGGCCCACATTATTACTGAACCTAATCATGGTGCCCTGTCTGATAATTGATCATGCTAATTTAATCATATTCTGATAAAGCAAATAAAAAATAAACAAATTACACTAGTTGAAATAAATCTATTTTTAAAAGGGGTATGGGAAAATGATTTGATCTTATATACTCTATTGTTATAAATGACCTATGGGAGAGAATATTTTGCTTATAATGGCCAATGTTTTTCCTCTGGCTCCCGAGCTGGCCATGGTTCAACCTCCATGTTGTACATAATAAATAAATGATGATACTCCACGATTAGTTTGAACTCTGGTAATGGGTGAACAGAATATCAAATCAAACGAGAGGGCTTATATGTTTAAAGACATGAAGGGGTCTATGTGGGCCTAAACCACTGTAAAGTCTTTGTAAATTCAACTTAATTAAATAACACACTGCTTAATCAGAGGCCGGGGAATTAGTTTGATGTGTGAACTTGTATTTGTCAGTCTGGAACTTGTATCTTCTAATATTACTTGACAAAGTATTACACATACCTTTGTTCCTCTCTCTGACTCACTTGAGCACACTCACACACACACACACACACACACACACTTACTCACACAAGCCACACCTCTTGATGCTGTGTGTGAACCTCTGCTGGAATGTGATGCCATAAATGACCGGGACAAACTGGTAGAGAGTGAAACAGGCAAATACTGCATTGCACTCCTATAATTGGCATTGTCCTCGGAAATAAATAAGGAAATGAATGAAACGGGTAGAGGGGAAATGTGGTGAATGAAGGAAGAGAGTGAACGTTTGTTAAAGGGAGAGAGGGCGCCAGAGATAGGGATGAGTGAGAAGTGGACAGAAGCTACCTGCTAGCTTCTTCCATATACGGTCTTAGTCAGAGCCAAGAGCCAGGCCTGTGAATTTCCCTGACTGTGTGAGTGAGCAATGCAGGAAGTGTGTTCATAAGTGTGTGCATGTGTGTGTTTGTGTGTTGTAATGCATACATGATTCACGCACGCCACATAATAATGAAATTGCTTGAGGACTTTCATGAGAGGAAACATTGGAAAATATCTGTCAGGGAGGAGTCACTTATTTCAAAATTAAAACAAAAAACAAGTTAAGAAATGTTGGTGATACCATTTTATGTAGCTTTGTTTGAGAGAAGGTACAATGTAATTTACTAAGTACAAATTCCAATGCAGCCAGAATTATCCATAAGTCTATTTTTCATCTTTAGTCCATAGACAAAGGGTCACAAAAGGCGTTCTAAAACATATCAGAAAATAATCAAGAACAGTACCTGCAGGTTTTGAAAAGTTGATACAATTGTTCAAAGAAGAAAGCAGAAGTGAAATATAGACACAAAGAAAGATGATACAAAAAGGCAGAACATATACAGCCGCATCAAATGATTTGTAGTGCTGACAAAGAGTGTATTAATCATTCATCAGTACATACATGTACATCTCTGGGAATTAAGGATGCAGAAATTAAACCTAAAGCAACATGCACATTTGCTCACAGACACACTCACACATACATCCTTAAAAAGGGAGTTTCATTCATTTCCTCAGACTGGTCACATGACATGAGCAGTGCATTCTTCCTCCCATGTGACCAGCTCCAATATCTCCTTATATGGACGTCATCCAAAGGAACTCTTAAAGGGATGGTTGTCCTGCCCAGTGTGTGTGTGTGTGTGTGTGTGTGTGTGTGTGTGTGTGTGTGTGGTGTGTGCATGCGTGTGTGTGGTGTGTGAGTGGTGTGTGCGTGCGTGCGTGTGTGTGGTGTGTGAGTGGTGTGTGTGTGTGCGTGTGTGTTGTGTCTGTCTGAAGCAGGATAACGCCAATTCCCTGATGAGCTCACTCAACCCCCTACTATCTTATCCTTGGATGATCTTACACAAGGCCAGTTGTGTGTGTTTGTAGGTCTGTGTGGTCACTTCCTGCATTCATCTGCATGTAGTAAAACACTATGAAAACTACTTCCTGTCTCCTTTGCTGTACTGGCTCCTATATATCCTTATTAGGAACACATAGAGCCAGTGAGAAGTCACTACTTGTAAGTGTATGGGTCTTTGTCCAGTGCCCTTATTGAGTTAAAGCAGCACCCTGACCCACCCACTCTGAGTCTCCGGTCAACTTATGAGATGAGCTTTGCATGACAACTTGAGTGTGTTATCAAAAAATAAACATGAAAACGTATTGCAGGTTGGAGACACACAAGTCTTTGGGGACATATTTGGATGAGTGTATACAAATATGCTTGTCTGAGTAGGTGCCATTCCTTATTAACAATTGTATCAGGCCTCACAATATTTTCATTTGACACCAAATATAGTCACATTCCAGAAATACACACTTATGTATCGCAACTCATTGAGGCAGGCACGGTTAATCTGCCCCCGACCACTTAAACATTACAAGTGATGAGCATAAGAGATTTACAGCCTACTGAGTGTTTGCTGTAAACATGCCTGACCACATGTATCAGTATCACTCTGCTCTGCATGTGTGTGTGTGCGTGTGTGTGTGTGTGTGTGTGTGTGTGTGTGTGTGTGTGTGTGTGTGTGTGTGTGTGTGTGTGTGTGTGTGTGTGTGTGTGTGTGTGTGTGTGTGTGTGTGTGTGTGTGTGTGTGTGTGTGTGTGTGTGTGTGTGTGTGGTGTGACACACTGGTATGCCAGGGCAGACGTGTTAATCAGGGTGTTGACGGTGCTGTCAGTGACCCTGAGATTATGATGTCCTGGCACTGCTTACCACAAGTGTCTGCCATGAATATGCAAATGCTTCAGCCTAGTTCTGTTGCATTCCCTTATGTGCTTCAATTGAATTAGATGAATCATTGATGTTCTGCGTTTTTCCTCCAATGCACGAGAGGCTACAACAGAAGACAATAAGATGGTTATATGCAAAATGTGGTGGAGAGTTTGTGTAATCAGGATATGTAGGCCCCCTCCCTGTCATGGGTGGATTACTAGGAAAACAGGCCCAATACATTGTTTTGCAAGTCCCTAAAACAGGCAAGACCTGAGATAAAGTTTCATTTAGTCTTTGGGCTTGGGTGGAAGGTATCGATCATTTGCAAGTCAAAAGGTTCTCGTCCAAGTGTCATAGTGAATTTGCATTTTATTTGTAATTTTATCAAGCAGAGTCTAAAATCAGGGCTCCCCTGGCCTACCTACACACAAATTGTCACTCCAAGATGCACGTATTATGCTGTCAGGAAGAGACACAAAATGACTATACAGAGACACAAAGAGGGGTAAAATAACTTTACAGTCTAACTGTATTGCTCCTTTTTAGGAGAGGTGGTGGGCCCTTTTAGCATGTCTGTGCCCAGGGGCTCACAAATCTATTAATCTCCCCATGTCCCCAATGTGGATAATGTATCAGGGATTACAACTATAAAACGCTAGACTTAATAACATAAAGGTGTTCTAATTAGTTCAATAGAAAATAACATTGAAGCTAATTGTTTCATACTCAAGGACTCTGCAGTGATTTCTAGCACAAGTGCATTGCCTCATCATCCCACTTGCTGTTATCATTGTAATGACATATGGGGAAATACAAACGTATGTTATTGAACTGTACTGCTCGACCCCAGATTGATAGTATTGATAGTAGGGTTTAGGTTCGTGTTCCTGTTGCTTGTCCCATCTTCTCTTGTCAAAGTGCAGGAGCGATATCTGCATGCGCCACACCCAGTGGAGGCGGACGGACCAATCAGATGGCACCGTGCGGAAAGTTGTCCTTATATGGAAAGGGGCTGCAGCGCCGGCTCTGATAAAACCCTGCACATCATTGGCCTCTATTGCAGTCAAACTCAGACATCCTACCGGAGTGTAACCCTCATTCACAGACTTCCCAAAGCCGATAACCCTTCCTCAAACAGGTAAGTCAATATGCAAGCTTATTTTGAGTGCTTTTTACCTACGTTCAAGTTTTGCTTTAGCCAGCAAACTTAATTTAGTTAGCCGGTTAAGTTATGTGTGAGTTATCTGGGTGACTTCCCTCAATTTAAAGCATTATATATCGTTGAAGCTTCTAGTTGACATTTGCTGCATTACGTTGCCTTTCATTCATTGTGATTCTGATTAAACACTGGTTGAGTTTGAGGAGATGCCACCAGTAACTGTTAACTATAGAAATATGTTGGCAATGCTGTCATTTATCCTCAGCAGATGGTGTGAAATGACCCGGTTACGACGTGCTGTCACCAGTTTAACAAATCAGGCTGCCTTCATCGTCTCGGTGACATGCACGCCTTGGCACGGTGTCTGGTGTCTCCGATTTCAAACAGACAGTCTGATGGCAGATTAGACGGATTAAACCTAAAAGACTTAGTTTGAATGGGCTCATGGGCGTTTAGAAATGGTAAAAAACGGTTGATGTGATATTTCGTTAAAGATCACGTTACACCTAATGTCAGTAGTTTTGTCACATTATCTTTTGATGGGCACGACACAAAGATGCACCTGATGAGACTGACAACACGGAAGTTCATTCACGTCGACAATTAAACGGATGTATTAAAATTAAAACATGTGGGCATGGTTAATTCAGTTATGGTGATCCCGGTGTAAGGGAGTGGTCGGTGTCATCTGGGTGTAACGACACACACGGGGCTGCCACCGCCGTCTCTGAGCTGTACTCACTTTTGCCTTATATGGCCAGACCCAGAGAGAATCAGCCTTTTGTTTCAGCCCTGGATCTGGACTGGACCTGCGCCACTGCGACATCCAGCGTCCAGTCTCCATAATGACGAGGCTTTAAACAGCCTTGATGTTTCCAGATGTAACTGACTGTCACACAGCATCAGTTTAAACGTTTAAACCCATCGGCCTATGTTCCAGCTACTGAGATTTAGACTTTTTTAAAGAGTTGTTAACTAGACAAACATTTGAAGACATTTCAGAGTCGCAAAAAACTCCTTATCATACTATAATTATTTGGGCACATGGGACTACTGTTAGAAAAAAAGAGAAACACAACCATTTTCTATAATATCAAAAACATCTGGATTTGTATATTGCAGAAATGTAATGGGACTGCTTTTAGATACACACTTTCCTGCATTGTCTGTTCATATTTCAAGACTCCTTGTTATACTAAATGTAGTCATTGTTTCCATATTGATTTAAATATTCTCCCCCTTTCACCCCTCCTCTTCAGAAAATGGAAGACGAAATCGCCGCCCTCGTTGTTGACAACGGCTCCGGTATGTGCAAAGCTGGCTTTGCAGGAGATGATGCTCCCCGTGCTGTGTTCCCCTCCATTGTTGGGCGTCCCAGACATCAGGTACAGTTTCTGAGTTGTCTTTTAAATCATTAATGACAAACGCTTTGAAATATTGTCTGCATTGCCTTTCATTGTGCTGTTTGTAACTTGGTTTTTGGTTCTCTTTCCCAGGGTGTGATGGTTGGTATGGGCCAGAAGGACAGCTATGTTGGTGATGAAGCCCAGAGCAAAAGAGGTATCCTAACTCTGAAGTATCCCATTGAGCACGGTATCGTGACCAACTGGGACGACATGGAGAAGATCTGGCATCACACCTTCTACAATGAGCTGAGAGTTGCCCCAGAGGAGCACCCAGTCCTGCTCACAGAGGCGCCCCTGAACCCCAAGGCCAACAGAGAAAAGATGACCCAGGTAAGGAGCGCCGACATACACTGACAAATCCCCTCGGGAAACTCTCTGCTCGCCTACATGTTTCCATCCTCTGCTCAAACTGTCAATTTCCTCCTGCTCCTTAAATCTCCAGGTTTCTTCTATCCTGTGCTGATATTTTCATCTCTGTGGAGGCTTCAGGTTTCTATCTCTGGCAATGTAATGCATCAGGAATGTTGTTGTCTTTGCAGCATGGTCTTTTAAATTAGGTGTGTGTTTTTTAGACTTTCTAAAGTAGATGGCAAGCCTCCAACTACACGGGTGCCTGCATGATTCAACAGATTATGTTTGCGCAGATTGCTGCACTATCTGTAAGAGTAAACGTGACTAAACTTAAGTACAGGTTTATTGAAGTGACTAGTTTTTAATATGGTGTTTCTACTCAAAACAAAACCAGGCCAGTGTGCAGTGCCTTTCTGTACTAACCCATTCTAGCTTACTCCAGGTTATTATGACTCCTTGGTTCAATGACTCATCTCTCGTTTCCTCTTTTCCAGATCATGTTCGAGACCTTCAACACCCCTGCCATGTATGTGGCCATCCAGGCTGTGCTGTCCCTGTACGCCTCTGGTCGTACCACTGGTATCGTCATGGACTCTGGTGATGGTGTGACCCACACAGTGCCCATCTATGAAGGCTACGCCCTGCCCCACGCCATCCTCAGGCTGGATCTGGCTGGCAGAGACCTCACGGACTACCTCATGAAGATCCTGACTGAGAGGGGCTACAGCTTCACCACCACAGGTTAGACTACAAACACTGAAATCAAACTAAATGTATACAAAAAAAATGAATATTAGATTCCTTAAATGATAGTTGCCGAGCGAAGAGTTTACTAATGTTGCGGCTCTACTTTTCTTGTCTTATAGCTGAGCGTGAAATTGTGCGTGACATCAAGGAGAAGCTTTGCTACGTTGCACTGGACTTTGAGCAAGAAATGGGCACTGCTGCCTCCTCCTCTTCCCTGGAGAAGAGCTACGAGCTGCCCGACGGACAGGTCATCACCATCGGAAACGAGAGGTTCCGTTGCCCTGAGGCCCTCTTCCAGCCCTCTTTCCTTGGTAAGAGAAATTACAAAGAATCTGCTAAAATATACTTGTATATTCAGTTTGTAGAAGCAAGAACTGGGCTTTAATTTAAGTATGTTGAACACAAACTTACTTTCTTCTTTCACACCGTCTCACAGGAATGGAGTCTTGCGGTATCCATGAAACTACCTTCAACAGCATCATGAAGTGTGACGTCGACATCCGTAAGGACCTGTACGCCAACACTGTGATGTCTGGAGGTACCACCATGTACCCTGGCATCGCTGACCGTATGCAGAAGGAAATCACTGCCCTGGCACCCACCACCATGAAGATCAAGGTATAACTCCTCCTCATTGCCCTTTACTCGCATCCTCCCACAGGCAAAGAATGTTGTAGAAAGCTATTTACCCCAGCTGCCATTTAGTGTACAAACATGGCTAATGCAATATTCAAGCCCTATTGCTTGTTTTTTAACTTGTCCTACCTGTAGTGGTGCCAAAGCACAAGATGACAGCCTCAATTGTCTTTAACTGTACACTTCAAGTATTTGCAGGATATAAGTTGGTTTACAAACGGATGCTTTAACACGTTGCCACCATGTTTTCTGCAGATCATTGCTCCCCCAGAGAGGAAGTACTCTGTATGGATCGGTGGCTCCATCCTGGCCTCCCTGTCCACTTTCCAGCAGATGTGGATCAGCAAGCAGGAGTACGATGAGTCCGGCCCCAGCATTGTCCACAGGAAGTGCTTCTAAACAGACTTGTCAGTCCCCTCCCCAAAACACACACTGCTACAAACCCAAACGACTGGCTCTGCATACACTCCTGCACCAACACACTGGTGTGTGCTGAGCCCACAACACTCTCTTCCAGTTTTTCCCTCATCACTATGGCTATGACACCAAGCCCCCTGATGGGGAGAAACTCTGCAGGAAGTTCAGAGCGTCCCATGCGGTGTGAATGTGTGGAACATGATGTCCATTCTTGTGTTTGTGTATGTCATTCCAGATGTGTTTGTTCACCACCTTATTTGCCTCTATGAAGGTTTCTTCTCTGGTGGGGCTCACTGCCCAACAGACCTGTAGTATTGCTTATGTAAATTATGCGATCTTTTGTTTTTGTACTTTCAGCCTTAAACAATACTTGGTCCAGTTTGTTTTTGTCATTATGCAAAAGACAAAGCTTCTACCTTGTATGAAGGTTTGTGCAAGCCTCTGTTGTACACAACAACCCAATAAATCGCACATGTCTGAAATTCTGTTGAGTGTGCCTGGTCTTTATTAGCTCAGCTTGGTTCACAAAGAGAACTTAAATCGCTCGTATATTACTTCTGTTTGTTAAGCTTCACACGGCATTTGTCTTAAAAAATTAAAGTTTCCACTGTGTAAAAGAGTAGATTCAAGGATCATTGAGTCATTCTAGCAACACAGGATTGAAGTTACAGTCTGTATGACACGATGAAACAAAATAATGGATTTTATTAAATCATGTTTATCAAGTCAAAAACGGTAATTGAAGCAAAAGCTATATACTTCGTGTCTAAAGAAACTCAAGCTTCAATATTGTGTTCACTTTGTTTGTCACAAGGGCAAATGTCTCTTTACAAAATTGAACTTGACTAGAAAAACAGTTTTGGAAGAACTTTGAATCTTGCCTATTTGTGAATTTTTCCAACAAAGTATTTTGATTTGTCTTAACTTCCGAGACTCATTACACAATTTTAATGTCTTCATTCATAACTGTTAGAAGTTCCAGTCATTTATACAATTCAAAGTTTAAATAACATTTGGGAAATATTTGTTCACAAATCTAAGGATCAAATTGTCACAAATAGCCCTGCTGTAAAGAAGTCAATGATGGTCCAGTTCCATTTGAGATTTATTAGTATCATCTTTAATTAATAAACATTTGATTTTCCATACCCAACTTGACTATGCTAAATCATTTGTTAGTCACTATCGTCTTATAGTGTAAAAGGAAAACAACATTCAACTACAGGAACAAAAAAAAACTTGCACCTTTCACACCTTAAGGTCAGCATAAAATACATAAAGGAACTCCCTTATTCGGGATGAGCATTTCAACATTTATTAGAATTTGTTGAAGCTGTATATTAAATATATTGTTAGGATGTCATGTTAGATAAAATTATTTGGGAGTCCTACAGTACATGTTCTTGGTTTTACCAGGTCCGAGTGCAAATGTAAAGACTTGTATAAGAACTTCACTATTAACTGCTTAGCCCTGAGGTAATTTTCCATCTCGTTAGCAGTTTCTCACCTTAAAAAAACAAACAGACTACAACTCAATTCAATCCTCTTCTCTGGATAGTGACGTGATTATTAGGGAAGGAACGCAAAGGAATGAAGAGGTTAAACAAAATGTCTTAATGCACCTGTTATGTCTAAAGACCAATACAAACCAGAAAACACACAAGGGTTGTTATTCGAGTGTCCGACACAGGAAAATCCTGAGTTAAACTTGTTTAAGCTTCATTTTTTCTCAAAAGGTATTAGGCCCCTAGAATTCCCCTTCATTATATAAAAATGTTTTCAAATATTTTGATCTGTAAATATTGATCATAAAAACTGCTTAAATATTATTATTTTTCTAAATGTATTAGTTATTTACGTTTATGTTTTAATTTAGTTATTTCGGTCACCTTCTGCATGTCATGTTGGAATGTTGCACTGTTTCTTACTATCATAAGATGTACATGTGTTCAATAAGTACTATTAAAAAAATTAAATAAGAGGAATTACTATAATTCTGTAAGATATTTCTATATAAAAAAATGAACAGATGCAATTTTTTTTAGTTCCCTGGAAACTTTATTGAACTTTTTTTCAAATACATCAGAAACAGGCCCACCCCAGCAGTGTTCATTAAATTAATTCAAACTAAGGGCAATTGTGAACAGAAAAAATAAAATAAAACAAAATCAGAAATTAAAGTGAGTGGAAGAAACAGCTGGGCTTTTTGAATTCGGCTACATTTAATTGATAATTTGTATAGTTAAGAAAACTAATAAATCCTGGAGAAATGTTGAGGAAGAGGCCTTTGTGGATGAAGTATTTTTGCAAAAATACTTACTCATTCCTAATTCTGTTTTAATTAAAAAAGTAAATGAAAATGGGATTCGACCGACAGGAAGTGTGTCCCTCACTGTAAGAGGTCCGTCTGTGTGCAGCAGTGAACGTTCTCCGCCCTGTCAGCGGCCGGGTGTCACACCGCCTGTGGTTCACTGTGGAGCGGCTTCCTCGGAACATGAACCCAGCTGGATGAACATCTAAAATAAAATTTAAAATCCTGGTGATCATGAGTAGGATCGTGAGAGGGATATCAGAGGACATGCACCGACAAATTATACAAGTGGGTTCCCCGACAAACCTCTAAAAACCCGCATGAATAGTTAACGGTAACGCTGAGGAACTCAACTAACGCTAGCTAATGTTAACGCTAACTCTATGGGCTGGACCAGGGTACACCCACATTTCTGCTTTTTAATACACAGTTCAAATTAAACCTACATAGATAGCTTAGAAAAAAGACGTGTGATTTGGTGCAATTCTTGATTGTTAAATAATACAGATGTTGTAAATGTGAGGAGAAAGACAGTGAACACTTGGGCTGGTGCTAACAATGATAGTAATATCTGTGCCTTGCTGCAAAGTGCCTTGTATCTGGGTTCACAGGCTTTATATTTGAAATATATTTTATACTTTAAATCGTGTTGATTTGGCGTAGTAATGTCATCACAAATGTGTGGTTTACCTTATTATAACTATAACGTTATATGAGATGGCAAAATTGATACATTTCATTGTCATTTATAACATATTCTCAAACACAATTTTGAGGGAAAAGTTTATGAATTAAAATAACCAAAAATGAATAGCTGACTTTGCCAAGTAAAGCAAATTAAACACTCACACATTTCTTAGATGGACATTATCTAAAAATCCAGTGTTGCCATTAAGCAGTACCATGCATTGATTTGCAGCATTGAAAATAAAGATACCATGGGCATATCATCCAGGCATAATCTAGTGTGTTAATAACAGTTTATTTCTCTATCCTCAACTTAAAACACGAAATACCAATAATTAGTTATTGCTACCATATGAGAGAAGCAGCGGGTCCATCTTGGTCATTATTTTTAAAGGTTGACTGTAGAGCAATGTTGATAAATTGATAGACTAGTCGATGAATGTACAGAAAGGAAAACAAATATTGATATTGTTTTTGTTTGTCATTTATTTTGAGTGGAGGTAGTGGAACAATAGATATTTGGGGAAATGTTGACTCTTGTTTTAATTTCATAGACTAATTGAAATAAAAGTTGTTACACAGAGGGTCTAAAAGCACTAAACTGTGACATTGTTTACTGTCTGTCTCAGGCTGTATTTGACGAGGACACAATGTCCTCTACCTCCGTGGGAATGTCAGATTTGTCTGATGAGATCCTGCTTTGCATTCTCCGCCATGTTCCAGTGTGTGACCTGATGAAGAATGTGGCCAACGTCTGCCACAAGTTACACACACTGTGCCATGATAAGACCCTGCTCACAAACGTCAGCTTGTCTGAGGAGTATCAGGTAAGACTCTTATTTTAGTAAAAGAACTATCACAGTTTTCTATGAATCTTCGATCTTGTGCATTTGTGAGGATCTTTCTGTATATTTAGATTAAAAACAAAATCGAATCAACACAGTGGAATACTTTCAACAGATGGAAATTTGATTAAAATGCTCTTTGTTTTCTCCAGGCTGACGATGTTTTGGTCCGCTACATATTGAAGCAGCTAGCCAATCACATGCAGTCTTTGAGCTTGAATGGCTGCTACTGGCTGTCTGGCTCTACGATGGAGCTTCTGGCTCGCTGCAGAGGAGTGACACACCTGGATGTCACCGGCTGTCGCATAACTTCCCTGCGTCTCTCCCGTCTCCTCTCCTCCCTTTCTCTGCTCAGATCCCTCGCTTTTGATGTGACGCCGGGCTTCAACTCTGCTCAGCTCAGTTCAGAGGCGGTGGATTCTCTGAGCCGCCTGTCGGAGCTCAGACAGACACTGCTGACACCGAGTTATGGTGTGGTGCCATGCTGCGCCCAACTACGCAAGTAAGAATCTGTGCGATTACTGAGGTTTCACATGAGGCTTTTGTCCAGAATAACTTCCTATTTGACACTCAACGCAATATTGATTTATATATACACTTTTATGTGATCATCTGGATACAAGTTATAATGTTTATGCACCATGTTGTTTCTTAAGAAATGTAAAATGTACAGAATGGAGCAGAACAATTGACTAACAAGACTCTCATATTGATTGGTTGAGTTTAGAAACCATACACTGTTTGAGCTTAAAGGTAGGGTAGGTAAGAATGGAGAAAGCAGCTCGAGTGCGCTAGGATTTGAAAGTACGCAGCCAAAAAAAATCTGCCCCTTCCTTCAGACTTCCTTACAGAGCCCCTCCTCCAACACACATGAATGTGCACATGACCAATGAGGGCACGAGATAAGTTTGTGCACAGATGGAAGGCTGACAGGCAGGTAGGCCATCCAGTTATTTTAGCCGGGCCGGCTCAGATGATTGGTCGTGCTTTTTACAACGCCACGGCTTCCACAGATGACATTTTATTATTTATTGTCAAAGCATTTAATGTAGTCATTGCTATCGGGATTCCATGGAATATAACAAAAAGATTTTCTGAAGTGAATTAGCTACCCCACCTTTAAGGCATTCATCTTCTTTTTCCTGTCTTATGGCTTTGTTTTACTGCTGCTGTTTTACTTCACTGCTACAATGTTGAATGTTTGTTCACTGCAGGCTGATGCTTCAGTTTGACATCTCAGACGTGACTAGAGAAGGTATCGGTGTTTGCTGCCAGTTGATGATGGGTCAGAGCAGTGTGCCACATTACCAACAGCTGGAGGAGTTCACTGCCAGGCTGGCTCCAGGAGAGGTGAGCTTTGGTTTGTTCCCATGTGTCTGCAGCATACACTGGGTACTACACCCTGCATATTGTAAATCTAGTTTTTAATTTAAAATTGATTCAACCAGGAGCTTCATTGAGTTTAAACATCTCCTTTAGAAGAGACTCCCTACCAGCCTACAAAGCACTTTGAATTGCCTTGTGTTGAAAAGGTGCTATATAAATAAACTTGCCTTGCCTACCAAGACAGCAACAGCACATTAAACACACTTTTAGACATATAACAATTAAAGACAATATAATTCACACAATCACACAAGGGCAAAGAGCTCAGTCAAAACACGTAGGGAGACCCAACTAGACCCAAATCAGTCTGCAGCGAATCCAATCTGCAGAAGCAGCATCGCTATCATTTCAAGGCTGACATCGGGGACAGATAGCAGCAGGTAATACAAATACAGTATTATTAATTATGTGGCCAACGCAGCCATTGTGTGAGCAATTGTCTGAGAGAAGAGAGCGCTGCTGGACCCGTCGTACCAATAGTGCTTAAATGAGTATTGAAACGGTTAAAAAAATATTCAGAATCTATATTAGTCGAGTAATTGAAAGATGGGTTCATCAACTTTTGCTATGAGTTTGTAAACATCTTGACTTTATGAGTGTATCTGTGTGTTCCCCTCAGGTAAACCAGACGTTGCTCCTGCTCTATCTGGCCGTGTTCAGCGTTCACGTTCCAAAACGTCTGAGAGTTTTCCTTGTGTCGATTCCTGGTCCGAACCCCGCCCACTGGCCTGCTGCCCCCTCCCTGGCTCAGAGCCTCGGGCAGGGGGGCGACCTGGAGGCCCTGCAGCTCCCTCGCTCCTGGCTGGATTCCTTTTCCCTGAAGCGAGCCCTGGAGGGAAACAGCCCAAAGCACCTGAGCTTCAGCCGCTGCCCGGCGCTGTGGACGCAGGTGTTCCAGTCGCTGCTGGAGGGAGGAGTCAGAGACGCCAAGCAGCTGACCAGCCTGAACCTCAGCGGGATCAACAAGGTCCTCTACTCAGAGTGCAGGAGTGTGGAGGATCAGCTGGTTCCTGAGACTATGAGCCGCCTGGCAGCTGGTTGTTCCAACATTAGACAGTTAAACCTGATGCACACACACTACCATCACGAGAGCTCACCTGGGCAGGGTGGAGAAACACACCTGTGTGCCAGCTTGGCCAAACTCACACATCTGCGCTCTCTCACACTGCCTGCCTGCGCCCTGTCAGACAGCTTAAACACACATCAAGTCTCTATAAACAACACTCCCTCCCCTTTGTTCCTGGGGTTAAAGAAGAATCCACGGGTGGGGCTCCAGAACTACAAGCCTGATTTAGAGTCCTCTCTTTCAGAGGATAGCACCTCGGGGCTCTCTCTGCTGTTAGCTGGCTGCCCTTTTCTAGAAACCTTAGAAGTCATCGGTCCCGGTTTTGTCTCCGCGCTGCCTCGGCTCGAGCCCTGCACTCGTGCCAGTGTGGAGCCTCGTGGCATGTGTGAGTGGGCGCGAGGAGTCGGCGACGCACACTTAGCAGCACTTGAGGCTTTGCCTAGATTGCGCCGTCTGAGTCTGGCGGGGCTTCCTGGGGTCCTGAAAGGGACAGGGCTGGTACAGCTGACCCAGCAGTGCAGAGACCTCAGGGTTTTATCCCTCGCCAACATGGGCTCACTAAAGACCATGAACTACTCCCCTGCCTTGCTGGATTCACTTAAACAGTGCACACAGCTACAGGAACTCAGGTTAGAAGATGTGTACCCTTCATTTACTGTGACACTGTGCCACAAATTGATTATTTGCATATCAATAACTAAACACGTTACCTTGAGTTCTCGCAGCCTACACAGTAGACACAGAGTCTAGAAACAGAGAATATTCTTGACTGAATTCATAAATGGGATCTGCGTAAAACAATAGCACAACTCAATTAAAATGCATGTTTTGGGGAAATAGCACTAGATAAATGTTTTGGGAAATGTTGTAAATGGTTGTTTTAATAGAGGTTTGCTTATGTTAAACGTGGCCCCAACATATATATATATATATTATATTCACTACAGTATTAAGGGCAACAAACCAGTTAGTCCAATCACATTTAATGAAAGGAGTTCATGTGTTTGCTCAGCTCATTGTTCTGATTAATTGAACGTTGGTTGTCTGTGTGTTGTAGGTTAGAGCAGCCCTACCTGAATGCCAACGAGTCATTCTTCGAGGCTCTGTCCTGCTGCTCTCGTCTGCAGCGTCTCTGCCTTATCTCACGCAGCGGCACCTTCGACCCGTTGGCAGTAGAAAACTTCATGGAGCGATGCCGCCACGTCATCATGTGCCATATGTTCATGGGCGGCACTTTGGTGGCATGTCGCACACTGCAGAAAGTTCTTCTGAACAGGTTAGTGCTTGTGTGTGAGGACAAACTGTACGTCTGCATTAGAGGGATCTTTGAAGCGGGGTTGTATGAGGCCTGCACGACCCTAGTTACAAAAATGACAGGAGCTAAGGCACGGAGGCAAAGCAGTGTACTAGTGTGGACGGTGGGACGCAGCAAAACCTATTTTAGCCACCTAAAACAGGAATTTAAGCTTAAATGTGCACTATATTCAGAATATTTTCACTGCTTTACCTTGCCATCAGGTCGCTCTATACAATGGTGGACTGTTGCAGTTATCTTTGCTCTTCAATGCAACCAGAGACCTTTAACATAAACATTACATTTATAGTTGGAGTCGGGTGGCTTTGAAGAGAGCATACAGCAGATAACAGGTTCAGTTTCTCAGAGTTCTGTCTAACAGCTATGGCGGGAATTTATTTATCAAATGTGGATAGAGAATCAAACCATTCAGCTGTCTTTGTTGTATTTTATTTCTTGTAAGAAAGTTCAGTCAGTCATACAGAGAGCATACAGTCTGCAGAGTGAAAGACGAAGGATAGAGTCTGGGTTGCATATTTAACACAGAGAGAGGACAAAGGGAGGGGTGACGCTTGGTGATAATGAAAGGAGCATTCTGGAAGTTAGGGAGGTAGGGAGGCCATATCAGTTCTCAGTTCACCTGAGTTGAAGGTCATGCACATAGTGTAACTAACAACATTGCAACACATATTCTTAATAAGGAATTTTCCCAAGCTTAGCTAAGAAGTGTGATAAGTATATATAGATAAACATTAGCAAATAAGAATCACACAATGATTTTATTTAAGTAAGTAAGTAAGTGAGTATAATATTGTTCTATTACACAGCAAGTTAAAGTGCTGAAAATATTCTAAATATAGCATTCCGGTAATGTGATATCGGATTGAGGTGGGTTAAAATATGTTATTCAGCAGACACCATCTGCAACAGTGCTGGTTGGTTTCTCCAAACTGGGGGCATGCTGACCTTCATCTACTGTAGATATGGCTCTAAGTACCTCCTCCAACCTCGGGTTGAAAAAAACAAAACAACTATATCCCTTTTAAATGTCAAAACAGGATCTCAAATTGAACTTTTCTTGTGTCTTTTCTTAGATTTTCAGTGGAGCGTTCGGCCCTGAGCGTGGTCATCTATCCATTACAGCATGAGGACCTGACTTTAGTCATCAGAGATATCCCGCTCACACTGCTGGACAGAATCACTTTGTTCCAGAGTCACGTGGCCCAACCACCACATCTATCACCATTGTGACATCTCCAGAAAGCTTCAGTGTGATTGGTGCTCAAGAGCTACGAGGCTCAGACCACTTTTATTCTGCAGGAAATAAAATTCAACAATGTAAAGACTTGACAGTCGTCTGCACAGTGATACTAGATTGTGTGATTTGTTACATTAATAACTGTTGCCAGCTCCGCTACAAAAAAATCTTCAACTGTAATCGTTTACACTTACATGACAGAGTAAAGATGGTCTTTGCAGAGAAATGTACTTGCAGGGAGTTTTTAGTTTATTGTTCCAAGACATTTAACACTGAGTGCCATTGTCTCATTCAAAAACAATGTCTGTTAATTCACCACTCTGCTACTTTGAAAATAAGTGCCAAAAATACAAATGAAGGGATGTATTTCTTCAGATACTTTTACAGGAAATCTGAATCGAATTATGTTGTAATAAACTCCATATACATTATTTGTAATTGTTGTGTGTGTACCATTTATATGTTCATGGTTTTTTTTCATTATATAAAAAGATATTTAAAAAACTGAACATGGTCCCACATGTTCTCACTCAGTTGTGGTTAAAAAAACAAATAAGGTGCTATGTACATCAATCTTTTTGGTTCTGGAGGTGGAATTTGCCAAAAAGTGTTGTTCATATATCCAAGTGATGTGTTTATTCATGTAAACATACCCTGATAAGAACACTCGAGTCTCTGAGAGACATTTTAGGACTGCAGGCCACTGACACTTTGGTCCAATTGAATACAATTTATTCTACACTGGGCCACCGTAGAGGACACGTTATCATCCAGCATACAAGAGAGCACTTTTTCAAACATGAGGGCACAATGTCCCTCCTCAGTCCACCACGAGACCCTTTTCGGTTGTACTTCTATTCCCGATCACACAGCTGGGCGGTGTCTATGAGCCACAGTCCGGGGTAGAGCGGCTTTGTGAACGTGGTTTCTTCTCTGTGCAGCAGCTGCAGCGTTGACTCACAGACACAATAGAAGGTCAGATTCCCAGCCTTGTGATCGAGGAACACGCCAACTCTGGAGGACTGAGGCTCTGGCACTGCTTTCTCCTCATCATTGTGTCTGAAACATGTATCATTCCCGTTTATGTCTAAACTCCAGGATTTGTCGTTGCAGCCAAACGCACATTCTGAATAATAGTCCGATCTGCCTAGGTCTCTGTAGGCCACTGCTATTTCAACAGACCCCTGAAACTCCACCTCCCAGTAACACCGCCCAGACAGACCCTCCCTACACAGCACCTGATAGAGGTGAGAGAATCTGTCCGGGTGTTCAGGATACTCCTGGACCAAATCTGTGAGCACTGCCTTTCTGTCCCCCTCAGACAGAACCATCTCTCTGTACAATGTGTTGGGGTCCAGGGTCAGGTGACAGTAATCTGAGTGACAGTAGGAAGAAGTAGACGGATGGTCAACATTTCCTTTATACACTTCAAACTGATGTGTGACTGTGTTTTATTTCAGGCATATATATATATATATATCAGGATTTGTGAAGGATTACAGTATTAGTAAAGAGAGACTGTTTCGGTTTGGTTTTAAGATAGAAAAGATGACTCACATTGTAAGAGGTCTGCTCTGGTCTGAGGTTCTGTCAATAAATCATCTGTTTGACAACACACACACACACACACACACACACACACACACAAATTAGGAGTCTTATTGATAAATAGAGCTTTATGTTACCATTTTAAAAAAAAACGTATCTCAGAAGAAAACATGGGAGTGCTAGTATGTAGGCTAGAGCAGTGCTTCTCAAACTTTTTTCAGTAATGTACCCCCTTTGAAACATTTTCTCAGCCAAGTACCTCCTGACCGATCCCGAACATTTTTGATCGAAAAAGCCTATATAAATAATTACAATATAGTGATGTTCCCTCAGTGTGTGATATATTAACTCCTTCGTGGTATGCATTACAACAAACTAAGGATATTTTCATTTTATGCATGAAAAATATAACACTTTTATAAAACAGATTTTTCCAAGGAGTTTTTCAATTTAAGTAATATGTTATTGTGAAAAACTATAAAATACAATACACACATTTGATTTATATGAGGACCCCCTTGGTGGTTTTAGGAATGTTTTATATAAAATGGTGTTTTCTATTTAACTTATTTTACTTAGATTATTTTTTTAATTAACCTTTTCTTTTTTTAAATCTCACGTACCCCCTGCAGTACCCCAACGTACCCCCAGGTGTCTGCGTACCCCCATTTGAGAATCACTGGGCTAGAGTGTAAATCATTCACACTCTATTAATACGGATATGTTTAAATGTATCACATAAATGGCAGATGTAAAAAATAACAAAAAAGCAATGAAAATGCGATTGATTCAAACTAAAAACTGATTCAATATATTAATAAATGTAGTAACAATTTCCTCAAAACCATTCACATTGAAAACCTAACATAATTAGATCAAATTACTGTATAGCTGTAATGAAATCAGATAAATGATAACAGTAATATGTTGTATGGAACAAAGTCCAGTCATGTGTGCTGAAGGTTGGTGTGCTATGTACCAGGAGCAGGCGTGGACACGGGAGAGGAGGGTGGAACTTGCTGGTCTTGTGCAGAGATTTCCTTTAGAAAGATAGAATACAAGAAACTGTGATAAACTGTGTGATTAAACCTGAGGACTGAACACTTCTCCTCATATACTTGTCTGTATTCCCAGTAAAAACAGTGATAAAACTATGTATTTTGAAGACACTCGAAGTATTTAAAAAAACACTGCACAACAAAACATCAAGGTTTGATATTGAACTACTTGTATGCTTGAGGTAGTCACAACAGTCTATGGTCACAACGAACAGCTGTTAAGATTGGGTACAAAGAGTAATACTTGCAGCTTGTACAGAGGAAACAGGTGCACTGAAATTCAGTTGGGAGCCAAAACAACAAAGACTATATTTTCTAAAAACAAAGACAGGAAATATAGCAGCACTCCGAAGGTCAAATCCAGCGAAATAATCTTATAATGTGTGGATCATTTGGATACGTTCATTTCCAATCAATAGGCTGAACATGTGTGATTGTTCTTTTTTTCTACCTCTGGAATGTCAAAGGTTTCTTGACTTTGTTTTTTGCAAATACTACTCGTAGTGCCATAGCCAGGATTTTAGAAAGAGTCCAACATTAACAGCCACACCCTTTAATACGTATTCAAATAATCCTCTGCACAGTATTCAATGTTGACAGTGAAGTAATGATCCATTAAATTGTACTTTTGCCTGACTCACTTTACTTAACGATATTGACCCCAAACTTTGGAGGCTCAGACAATCAGACATTCTGTTATTTTGATTTTCCAATTCAGATCATTTTGAATTGTGAATCGTGATATGTATTGTCTGTTACATATGGTTACAGTTTAGAGCTGACCTTTTATGTGGGAGACTAAATAATACATAATAAAGTTTTTCAATTACATACATATTAACTAGTAAAAGCATTTATATTATGAGTGTGTAATGAATTGCATAATATTAAAGTTGAATCTATGTTACCATTGACGCTGGTGGTGGTGTAGCTCCGTCTCTCTCTTCTAATGATGTAACGCTGGTAAAACGTATCCAGGATGTCTGTAACGACTATGAAACATTGTCTGAAATTATTCAGACCAGTCTTTAAATGAGTTTAATAAGCCTTGCTCAACCAGCTCAACATGTCATGAGGAAGGGACGCTAAAGTCAACTTTATGACCAGCTGAGGGGAGGGGCGTAGACCACATGTGAAGTCAATGGCTCAGACATACTAATCAATCACTGATGTCGTTGATCGAAGTGGGAAATCCAATCCAGTGTAGATTAAGGTTTTTCCTACTATCTACACTACCCATAATTAAACAATGTGATATTTACAATGTTTAAACTCAAAGACTGTCCTTGCTGATTCATTTCAAGGACAAAATTGCTAGACGAGTAGTTTATCCTCGTTCTACTATATCTATTAATCGGGTCTGGGCTAGTGTTTGTCATTGAAGCATCGTGGTGCACTCAGGCAACATGACAGAAGATACGCAGCTTAGTTTGCTTTTTTAAAGCAACGGTAATTATATTGTAGTTAGCTGTATAAAATCGGTCAAAAATGTTAACATCTGTCGTCTGCTCTTGCATTCGAAACGGGAAAAGAGTCTCGGCCCGTTTAGCAAAGTTGTCCCCGTTTTTAACGGAAAGCAGCTCGACCCAGACCGTGAATCTGAAGGGTGGACACCGGTCATCAGGACTCCTCTCACCGGCTCCCTGGCACCTGCTATCCGCCAGATCGGTGTCCCTGTCAGCCGCTTCACATGGAGCTACAAAGCCTCTGGACTCCCCTTTAGCTCCAGCCGAGGACGACCCCACGAAACGGGAGAAGTTCGGCGCCTTCTCCACCGACATATCCTCCAGGAGGTCGTTCAGGAAAACCAGCCCTGACCTGCAGGATCTGAAGCATCAAGAGGCGGAGGACTACCCGGAGGTGGGGAAACCCTACCCGAGGACCGCCAGGAGAAACACACCGTACTGGTACTTCTTAGAGTGCAAGAAGCTGATCAAAGTAAACAAGGTGAGTTCATTTAACCTGGACTGTCTGCAAAATGTGATTCAAAAATACATCCTGTAATTCAGTCCGAGAAATCTTGTTAAAATGATGGCGTAGAATTGCAAAATAAGATTAAAGATTCAAAGGTTCAGTGTAGTTAAGGCAATGCATTAAGTCGAATGCTCCTCCAACAATGCAACATAAAGATATATAAGATACAACACTAAAAATAATAATAAGAACAATAGTGCAAAAAGAACCAGAGGATAAATAAAATAGTCCAAGAGAATGTTGCAAGACCAATGTGTAAATCATGAAGAAGAAGAAAACTATATACATGTTTAGTGTACTAACATAGAATAAGATAAACAAACATCCTGTACAGTGGAATGTATACTGCAGTAACTCAAACTCAAAATAAGAACGTTTTTAAAATGATGACATACTATCTAAAAAAGCAAAGACAATTGCTCAAACTATTGACTCGATCAAAACAATGACTTTCTAATACAAAACAATGACTTATCTCGAATTACCGACTAAGTTTCTAAAAAATAATGACTTATGGAGATGTATCACTGTTTTTGAGATACTAAGTTAATATTTGCTAGATGCTTAGTATAATGAATTGCAGGATCTTTTTGCCTTACATCAGCTTGGCGATAATTGGCTATCACAGTCTTCTCACCTTCTTCTGTGTGTAAACATTATTTTCCCTGTCACAGCTGCAGGAGGCTATAGATCTTTTCAGCGGAGACATGCTGAAGGGAGAGAGGCTGCAGCCGGAGGAATTCAACTACACCATCCTGATCGGAGGCTGTGGGCGAGCTGGACAACTCAAGAGGGCCTTCAGACTCTACAATGATGTAGGGATCATTTATTTATACCTTTTGATCAACATGCCAAATGACACTCCAGGTCATAAAGTTGTGTTCAACCTGAGTATATTATGTTATTTGAACAAAAGCAAGCACATATTATCAAGAGTCAATATGATACAACTACAATATAACCCTCAAGTTGTATTTTAAACCTACAGTAACAAGCTTAGACAAACACACACTTCTTATGTATGGATTGATATTATGTGTGTGTTCTCCAGATGAAGAAGCGAGGTCTGGTTCCTAATGATGCCACCTACACTGCACTGTTCAATGCCTGCGCTGAGACGCCATACAAAAAAATGGGGCTCCAGCAAGCGTTGATGTTGGAGCAAGAACTCCGTCGCATAAACGTCCCCCTCAGCACCATCACGTACCACGCGCTTCTCAAGACGCACGCCATCTCAAACAACCTTCAAGCTTGTATTCAAACAATCAGGGTACGAGATGGGCCTACTACGTTTTTATTCATTTTGAAGGAGGATGAGTTCACTGAATCTTGTTTTTACTTGTTTTATAGGAGATGCTACAAAACGGCCATGTTGTAACTCAGGAGACGTTTCACTACCTGCTGATGGGATGCTTGAAGGACAAAGAAACTGGATTCAGACTGGCTTTACAGGTAGATACAAGATACAAGTGTTATAGAGTGCCACAGTGACGCATCCTAAAACCCGGAAGCAAGCTGCGCATGGGTTCCTTCGACAAAAAAGCAATGCAATTTCTCCATAGGATTTTGGAAAATAGCTTGAAATAAGGTCTGTGGTTGACACAGATTCAAGAGACGGATCACGTTTTGTTCAGTCGGATAATCTCCACATGTCTACCCTACTTTTATAATTTTCGATAGATTTATGATTATAAAAGTAGGGTAGACATGTGGAGATTATCCGACTGAACCAAACGTGATCCGTCTCTTGAATGTGTGTCAACCACAGACCTTATTTAAATTAAATTGCCAGCTAACCACATTAGTACATAACATGTTTAAAAGTTAAGGCTCCTTTACTATGACACAGATTGCAACTGCAAAATAGAGTCAGGGTTTCTTTGCCTTAGTTGGATAGACAAATCCTTAAACCCAAATCAGATGAAATCGGTACTACTTTGGTCCTCTTTGGAAACCCAGACTATATTTGTAGTTAGTATAAACATTAAATCTTGTAACTAATGCTTTTTCATTTATTTATTTTTGATTTCCATTTGAAATGTTCTCATCGAGGGGTAATTGTTTTTGGCAAAAGTACTACAAACAGCTGCATTCAACTTAAAACATGTCATAGCCAAAGCCAGGATGTAAATTGACTCGGTAAATATTGTGTTTCAGGTTTGGCGCCAGATGCTGAGATCAGGGCTTCTTCCGAAAACATACAACTATAACCTGCTGCTGCGAACTGCAAGGGATTGTGGGATTGGCGATCCTGCCCAGACCTCTGCCGTGCTGCTGAAGCCCGACCAGGGGCACGAGGAGAAACGTTTGTCAAAGTTACAATCCACAGAAAAGTTGCTCCTAAACATTGACCTCCTGGAGAGGCAGCTGTGTTTCCAGCCTGATGCTCGCAGTGACAGTCAGCAGGACGGCAGAGGCAGCGAAGAAGAGTCTAACATAAAACAAGACTCAAGCCATTTGGTGCCAGTCAGACAAATAGAAATGTCCCCACTGCCTGTGGACTTAGCAGCAGACTCTACACCCCCTAACCTACTGGACCTTTTTGAGGGTAAGAGGCTTGCTGTGGTCTCCCTCGGCACCGTAGCTGGAGCAGCAGATAGGCTCGCCCTCATCGGAGGAGCTAAAGGTTTCCTGGAGAAGATGGAAGCTAAGAGCCTCAGTCCGGACCTGAAGACCCTGTCGCTGCTGGCCGACACCATGGAGCCGGGATATGAGTCCCTGCAGATGCTCCTGAGGGTCGCCAAGAAGCACAAAGTGAAGCTCGACGTTGCGTTCTTTAACTCTGTGATTCGCAGATCAGCCAGAACAGGTGACCTGGAGGAGGCGAAGGTACAAACACACTGACTGCAGTCAAATCGTCTTTTTGCTAAGGAAGGTTCCTGACTCGGTAAAATGACCTGAACGTTTTCAATTGGCAACACAAATAAGAGCTGATCTGAATCTAAATGCTAAGAAAGGATCATCAATGCTTCCTTACTTATTTTTTTACATTTTTAACTTGTAACAGAGCAATTTTATTTTACACTGTTTCTGCTACTTCTACTTTGGTAAAGACTGTGAGTACTTATTACCCCACTTCTGTTATTAACACTCTGACTTCGCTGTGAACAGTTTTCACAAGAACTACATTCTATTGAAGAAATCGTCCCTATGAAAACTGTTGACAGTGAGGTGCTGTGAGAAATGAAGCAGACCCCATCTTCCTCACTCTACAGAGGAACAAATACATACCATTACTTGGTGATTGAACTGAAGGGACCCTTTTGAAGTGTGTGTGCATATTTGTGATTCATTTCTTTCTCTTTCCAGGGTGTGTTAAGTGTGATGCGACAGCGTAATGTAAGTGTGGATGTGCAGACCTTTGGGAGTCTAGCGTTGGGCTGTGAGCGACAGGAGGACGGGCTGCAGCTGCTGAAAGACATGGAGGTGAGTCATGTTTCTATAATCAAGGATAGAAAATCTATGTTTATTTATATTTAATTGTATTACTTGTGTTTACGGACAACACCTTCCACACATGTAGAAACATATTTGAAATTGTTCATATATTTAGAAAATATAAAACAAATCCGCAAAAATACGAACAAGTTCAACAAATAAATAAAACATAGCTGTGAATAGATGACTCTATATCAGCAGTAATTGTATTGAGCTGTACTAGTAATACTAATTGTTTTTGTTCATATTTACATGTCTGATCTTTGCAGGAAGCAGGGTTCAAACCTAATGTCCAGGTGTTCTCTGCTCTGATTGGCCGAGCAAGTCGGAGACTGGATTACGTTTACCTCAAAACATTGCTCAAAAGCATGACAAGCATGGGGGTGGCCCCTAATAAAGTCATCATCAAACAGCTGGAGTTTGCCTCACAATATCCTCCCAACTATAACCAGGTAAATATCTGCACAGTACATCAGGGAGGTCCACCAAGTATTCAGTACACACCTGAGCTAAACACACATCTGTGTGGATGAGTAGAGGCGTAGTTTGTTCTCAACAAAACATCTTCAAGACTCTACTGTTTAGTCTTCATGGCACAATCATTTTTAATTGACAAAAGTCAAGAATAATATGTTCACAGGGTGATAATATGTCAGTGTTGCGTTTTTAGCTTATTATATTGGCCTCAAGTGGCCAAAAAATATGCACAACATGATGATTAAAGTCAGTTGTGTTTCTTGAAGGATTCCATTCTACATTTTGTCAGTATAGTTCGGCAGATTTGGTTGAATTGGCCTAGGTTTCGATTTTGCGTTTCTGGCACTTGCGTCATTACACTTTAATTTTCTTTCCCCAACAATCCCAGTACAAGTCCAGAAACAACTACCTGGTGCATATCGAGGGTTTCCGTGGTTTCTACCAGCAGTGGCTGAGATTCATGCCTGGTCAGAGCGCTGAGGAGGAGCTGCAGCCTGAGGCGGAGGATGAGGAGCCTAACACAGACGCTGCAGATGGACTGACGAAGAGCCAGAGTAATCAGAAAGCAGCAGGCAGGAGATATGGCTCTCGTAACAAGGACAAGACGCACAGCGATGCTCTGTAACAGCACTCTCTGAAAATGTCTCTTCATCTCCTCGGTGGGTTTGCCTTCAGCTGTGTAACCCTGGATGGACTTCGGGTTAATGTTGTAGCTCATGGACCCATTGTCAGTTGATGTAAAGCAAAAGCGTTTTCCTCCAAAGTGTGATGTTATTGAAATTTATATTGCAATTTAAATAAATAGTTTGAGAAATGTAGCATTATCTTGGTTGTGAATTACATTATATTAAAATTGTTTAACATTTTGTAAGGTCTTTTTTGGAGCAAACTATGGCATTCACTGGCCTTTGTGCAGTGCAATGCAAAATACTATTAAAGAATATTTATATTTTGTTTTCTATTCAAGAAGATATATACAGTATGTACATCAAACACAATATACAAACAAAACATGGACATCAGGGGTACATAGGCACATATACAGAGTAAAATAGATAATATGAAGAAATAGTGATAAAGACAAAAGGTAACATTTCAATTAAAAATGTTATCGAACAAACATTTGGTTTTAATATATAATAAATGTAGCTGCCACATTGTTGTAATTCTAATTAAAATGTGCAATATTTGGTTTAAAGTCAGTCTTTATCCCTAAAAATAAGATTAGTTGTATAAAAAAAAACAGTATTGCTTTAGCCTTGTTCTCCACACTGCAGCCCAGTAGGTGGCGGTAATCCTACTTCAAGCCTGTTTGCCATCCACCAATAAAGCCAGCGAAGAAGAAAAGGAAACGTCACATCCGGTGACGCTGAGCGTAGGAATCGCCGAGCGCCAAAGTAAATGTACTCATTTGTTGATTGATTAAACAAACAACTAAGGTAAGATTACTGTATCTAAAATCAAAACATCAATGTCAACTTATTTAATATCTATATGTTGCAGTAAAGAAATGCACTTTTAATGTTGACATAATGTTGGACTGTTTTTACACGTATTTAACTTTCGGTTTCCTGCCTTGAGGAACGCTAACTAGCATCTTTTAAAAGTAGGAGAATAATAACGTGGTTTAGTGAAACTGTGAAGCAAAGTGAAAGCTAGCAAAGCAGGCATTGTTTCCGACAAAGACTTAACATGTACAGTGGTATCGGTATCGACCTATCGACTCTCTTTCCAAAGTCCTAACAAACCAGTATGTAAACTTTAACAGTTTCGGAGTGAAAGCAAAGTTGTTATTGGACATTGTAGTTCGTTATTGAGGGTTTCCATTTCTTTCTGAAACTTCATACTTACTATTGCACTGAATTTCAGAGGAAACTATGCACATCATCAAGAGTTTTAGTTACTTTTTAGCCATGATGACTTTATAGAATATGATGCAATGCTATGAAACGACCCAACCAAATACAAAGGGGTTACAATCAGCAGTAAAAAACTACATTAAAAGGAATGTATCAAGTTTTATTAATCTAAAAACAACAACAAAGTACTCAAAGGAAACATTTTACTGAAAGAATTGTACTTTTGATTTGCTATGGTTTTATGAGCTGGGCTTGAATTTATTGTATTGTGAAAAACATTTTAATTCAGTAATTGTAATAATGTATTTAATCAAAGGATCTGAATCCTCCTTCCACCACTGCCTAAAAACTAGACCAACATCTTATGCATAGTATTCATTCTTGAGTTAATGAATGCCTTTTCTTTATCCAGTTTTCCGATGGGTACGACTGGAGAAATTATCATCCTCAGTGATGATGACGACTGTGAAGACGTATCACCCAATGAACTCTCGGTTTTCATTGTGGAGGTGGAGGATGTGAAGAAAAGTGGTAACAGCTGTTTACTCACCAGCAGTCTGTATGTGAGGGTGTTCATGTTATAAAGAGTTAACTATAGCTGCTCCTCTTCTGTGTTTCAGAGTGTGCTGTACCTCCCACCGCTCTGGATGAAGACCTGGTCATCACCTTCTCCCGCAGCGCTGAGGTCCTTCCTCACGCACGCTACGACTGTCCCATACATCCCTTCACGTGAGTAAATTACCACACACACACACACTCTCTTTGGTGGTTTAACGGTAAACAGAAGTCACGGTTCGGTTTATACCTTGCTTTGAAAGTCACAGTTCAGTTGAGCAGAAAAAAGCATCCAAATGCACAAGGATATCTTTCTTTTGATTTGTGTTCCCATACTTTGTGAATATTGTCCTTCTTCTTTTTTTTACTTTTTTTTTTACCTCTATTCAGTTATTGACCCTTCCTCTCTTCTGTACTTTTCAGGGCTACAGATTGTGAGGTCTCTGTTCCTGTTCCCAATAACCACCTCATGTGTGATCAGTGCTTCTGCTACATCTGCGACAAGCTGGCCTCATCGGTATGTGGTGACTTACCGTCTGAAATAGTTAAATATATTCAGAATGACCTTAAATTAAAGTTTTTTTTGCATTTGTTGTTGAAAGAAAAGTGCCTCACAGCTGCATTAATGTTGTCCTGTGTGTGTGTGTGTGTGTGTGTAGTGTAAGTGGTGGTGTTACAGCGGTTTGTGTCACTGCAACAGCCACAAGAAGAGTGACTTTTGGAACAACCACAGAAACTGTGCGCTGCTGGGAGGACTGAAGACTTTTAACCTCACTTTGTCTGAAGTAGACTCTCACCTCCGAAATGCAGGTAGACGCTCTCACAAACACATCTGGAAATCTCAGTGACATTTGGTAAACCACAGACTTGAATTACATGTAATCTAACTGCCACTGGATGTCTCTTCCTCTTGTCCAGAGACGATGCTGCAGAGCTTCAGACAGGAGCTCTCCACACTGTACCATGTCTTCTTGAAGGGAAGAGTGCTGGAGGAGTGCGGTCCGAGCCAATCACGCAAGAATTGCCGCATCTTTGAGTGAGTGACGTACTAGAGCTGTAATACATATATATATATATATCAGGGGTTATTCTTTTTGCGTGAAAGTCTGTATGTTTGTACCAAACTTTGTCATTCCAACAACCCAAACAACAGTGTAGCATATAAGGGTCACTTAACAGTTTTTCACATAAAGTTCACGATATTAAACGTCTTTAGGTGTAAGAGAAGAAGCTGTTATTGAAGGGGGGAAATATTCTGATTAGGGATGCTCCGATCGATCGGTCACCGATCGATATCGGCCGATACTCACTCTCTACCGATCGATCGGTGCTCTCTAAACATGCCGATCGCGAGAGCCGATCGCATGACGTAAAATACATGACACTTTTCTCTGTGCGCGGCAAAACAAGCTCGCCAACATGGCTTCACCGGTCTGGCATTATTTTAAGGTGTCTGAAAAAGACAGTAAAATAACGGTATGCAACGTGTGTGAAGCAGAAATCCTGCAGCTCCGCCCGCCGGACAGGTGAGCGCAGCGAAACACACACACAGGGAGAACCAGACCGCAGTTCATTTCCTCATATTCCAAACGAGAAATTACGGTAGCAAATCACCCGGTTCTTTACGACCAGAACTATTAACGGGATACAAACCGGAGGAACCAGGCATGGAGGGAGGTGGCAGAGACAGTGGGTGAAACTGGTAAGTTTTCGCCTGTTTGGGGAGTTTATATATATATATATATATATATATATATATTGCTCGCATAAAATCCCCGGGGTTTTTTGCTTTGTATGTCGGGGGCGGGAGATTCATGTGATTGGTTGTTGGTCGCGTTGCTCGCAAAAAATCCCCAAGCTTTCAGACACGCCCAGCTCCAAGATTTTTGAAAAGCTGCTGTGTGGACGTACCGTAAGAGTTAGACCTAACACACTTAGCTATTTTATCTACCTCTGGAACAAGCTAAACTAGTTATTATAAATATATTTATTCTTCATTGTCGGGTCACTCATTACTGGATCAGTGAGCTGCATGAGATAGACTACTGTCAGGAGAGGGAGAGAGGGGGGAGAGAGAGAAGGAGAGAGGAAAAGAGAGCGCTTCCGCTCATTTCTCCCGTGTTATTATCCAAAGTGAATGTACACTTGAATAATGTACATCATTTGAATGTAATAATTAAGTTGATTGTTGTTTGTGGAAGCTCCAGTGAATGAGCATTAACTGAGTTTAAACATCACTTTAAATGGAAGATTTAAAGTGATGTTTAAATCTTCCATTTAGGCCCCGCCCACTCGATCGGATCGGCGATCGGTATCGGCCGATACTGATTCCGGCGATCGGTGATCGGCGATCGGCCCCGAAATTGGCGATCGGAGCATCCCTAATTCTGGTCATTATTAAACTCAGATTTTCCTACCTAGACTGCCTCGGTAATCAAGGTGAAACACTGAAGGCTATAAAATGACTGATCCGTACATGATTATCAACCTGAGTGAATGCGATGAGATTACGAGTCGAGTGTCAAGTCAGTGTGTGAGACTCGAGACGCAACCAAAAACCATACCATGAAAAACAATCCAAATTGAACAAAAGTATGTGGACATCTACATGCAGTGAATACAAAATAGACCAAAGGCTTGTTGTATAGCATGGCTACAAAAACACCATTATGTCACATTAGAGCACTGACATTATCAACAAGTTGTAAATGACTGTATTTTTTGTTGTTTTTTTGCAGTTACACTCCTGTGTACGAGTATGTGTCATCCTTCCTGAACAAAGCAGATCAACAGGACAGCCGAGCTGCTGCCATCATGATGCTAGGAGCCACTGAGGACTTTATTAGACATTTTCAAGTCTCAGGGTACACACACACCATTTAGCATTTCCTGTTCTAGCTTCAATGGTTATTTTCACAACTTTTATGTTTTTTGTGTATTAATTTCCTCCGGGATTATATGATTCTTTACAGGACTTTCCTTTTACAGTCTCCCACTGCTGATGCTGCTAAAGCCAGACTACTGTTATTGCAGCGGTAAACACGCACACACACGCGCGCTTACATTACATTTAGCTGACGCTTTTATCCAAAGCGACTTACAATAAGTGCCTTCGACCAACAAGATACAAACTTGAGGAAAACAGAATCATATAAGTACATCAGGTTTCATAGAGCAAAAACATTTCAAGTGCTACTCAACTGGCTTTAGATAAGCCAGTCCTTTATTAGTATAAAAGTGCTTTGTTAGTAATTCTATTGCTCAAAGTGGAGTCGAAAGAGATGAGTTTTCAGTCTGCGCCGGAAGGTGTGTAAGCTATCTGCTGTCCTGATGCCAATGGGGAGCTCATTCCACCATTTAGGAGCCAGGACAGCAAACCCACGTGTTTTTGCTGATGGGAACTTGGGTCCCCTTCGCAGTGCGGGTGCAGCGAGCTGTTTGGCTGATGCAGAGCGGAGTGCACGTGCTGGGGTGTACGGTTTAACCATGTCCTGGATGTAGGAAGGGCCAGTTCCATTCGCAGCATGGTATGCAAGTACCATTGTCTTGAAGTGGATTCTAGCAATTACCGGAAGCCAGTGAAGGGAGCGGAGGAGCGGAGTGGTGTGGGAACATTTTGGAAGGTTGAAGACCAGACGAGTCGCTGCATTCTGGATGAGCTGCAGAGGTCGGATGGCACATGCAGGTAGACCAGCCAGGAGGGAGTTGCAGTAGTCTAGGCGTGAGATGACGAGAGCCTGGACCAGAACCTGAGTCGCTTTCTGAGTCAGCTGGGGACGTATCTTCCTGATGTTGTAAAGCGTGTATCTGCAGCAATGGGTTGTAGCAGCGATGTTTGCAGTGAAGGACAGGTTGTTATCTAGGGTCACACCCAGATTCCTTGCAGTCTGAGTCGGGGAAACAACAGAGGTGCCGATGTTGATTGTCAGGTCAAGAGTGGGACAATCTTTTCCCGGAAGGAAAAGCAGTTCAGTCTTGTTGAGCTTGAGGTGATGATCAGACATCCACTGAGAGATGTCATCTAGACAAGCAGAGATGCGTGCAACGACCTGGGTCTCTGAGCGGGGAAAGGACAGAATTAATTGGGTGTCGTCAGCGTAGCAATGGTATGAAAAACCATGCGGTCTAATGACAGATCCGAGCGAGTTTGTGTACAGGGAGAAGAGGAGGGGACCAAGAACAGAGCCCTGAGGGACCCCTGTAGTTAATTGACAAGGGTCGGACTCGGACCCTCTCCAAGTTACCCTGTAGGTGCGGTCTTTGAGGTATGAGGTGATGAGGGAAAGTGCAGAGCCTGAAACTCCAAGTTCTTGGAGAGTGCGAAGGAGGATCTGATGATTCACTGTGTCGAATGCAGCAGACAGGTCCAAAAGGATGATGACAGAGGAGAGGGAGGCTGCTTTAGCAGTGTGCAGTTCCACACACACACACACATTCACACCGTGTGTTGCATCCTGTCTGTTCATTCATTTGTTTATGAATATCTAACGTCTTCTTCCCTGCATGTGTTGGGGTTTTTCAGGGTCATAATGGCTATGCAGAGACAGATGGTGATGGCTGATTTCCCGACAGGGTTCCAAAACAAACTGCACGATTTTTACAAGCGGCTGTATTTCCCCACTGAGCTGAAGAGCGTGAAAAACAGGTGTGTGTGTGTGTGTGTGTGTGTGTGTGTGTGTGTGTGTGTGTGTGTGTGTGTGTGTGTGTGTGTGTGTGTGTGTGTGTGTGTGTGTGTGTGTGTGTGTGTGTGTGTGTGTGTGTGTGTGTGTGTGTGTGTGTGTGTGTGTGTGTGTGTGTGTGTGTGTGTGTGTGTGTGTGTGTGTGTGTGTGTGTGTGTGTGTGTGTGTGTGTGTGTGTGTGTGTGTGTGTGTGTTCAAATGTGTCTCTGAGGCATCAGTTCACAACCGTGTTTGTTGTTTTTGATCCACAAGGTTTCACATTATAACTTTGTGAGTGTATGTGCTTCAGTCTGAATGTCCGTCCTTGGGATGATGTCCTGCTGGTGTCTGTGCTGAAGGGGCAGAACGTGACGGGTTTCCGCAAAGACAAAGGCAAGAAGGACTTCCTAGTTGAACAGATTTCTGTAGTTCTACTGAGAACAGAACTACTACAGCGACAGCACAGGTACAAAACACACGCTCACACCCTCTCTCTTTCACAGTATAATTGATTCCACAGTCTTTTGTCCTATGCGCAGCTAAAGCGTAGTGGTTGGCAATCTTCACTTTTCGCTCCTTTAACAGTGACAGTATACAGTATAAGCCATAAAGATATTGCAGGAGAGAAGACGTAGCAGCCATCCACGCTTTAGCTGTCCTGCCACACTCTTCAGCTTTTCTTCTACTAATGAAATGAAACTTGTCTGGTATTTCTGTCTACAGATACAAAGAATTGTGCCGCTACCTACGCGTTGTCGAGACGGACAATCCCGTACTGTACGTCTTAAAACTAAACCTGCTTGACTGAAGCAGAACTGTGTTTTGAGTATAATTTCATTGTGTATTTAACAAGTAACAAGTGTCTTTTGATGGTCTTTTAACTCCAGGTATGTGAGATTGAACCCTTTGTGTTTCACTTTGAAAATCTTGCTCTTATATCTTTAGTCAATCTTATCTATTCATATTATATTCCACCTATACTGAGTCCAATCTTTAAACCAACTTTAGTTTTGATCATTACTACCAAATATTCATTCATTTGAACAATTTAACCTTTTTCAAATGATTTTACACAATCCCACTGTTGTTTTGAGCAAAATAAATAAAATACTTTCTTTATACTAAAGGCTAGGAGATGAAGCGTTCTCATTCATAATACTCCGTTCGATGTCTCACTATGGGATGCGCCTCATCGCGGAGCAAACAGAAGCATCAATCTCATTACGCCAATCCTGATTGGCTGGTGATCTTGACGTCAGCGTCAGGGAATTCACCCCCTATAAGTAACTTGCGCCACGACGCATGCGTCATTCAAACACCTCTTCTCGCTTCAGAGCACATCTCTATAGTAGCCGGACAAGCTTAACGGTCCACAGACTGAACCCAAATATAACCATTTCGGTCGACGGGCGCTCGCCGGCTACTCCTTCTGCTTCGCAAGAAGACGGTAATACTAACGCCAGTTAGTATTAAAATCGACCTCGCCGTTTCTTTCCCCGGAAAGTAAGGTAAGGTTTTGATTTTTTGCAAGCTAGCTACGCACCTGTTGCTAGCTAGCTTCCCCTTACTACCGACACCACGGTAGCGAGGACGCTTTTCTTTTTCTCTCTCACGGAGGAGAAAAGGATTAGAAGTATATTGACACACCAGTCAATATTCTTTGAGAACAAAGGACCCACACCGTCCCTTTTTCTCTGTATTAAGGACGGGTTGGTAACACTTTTTCTCTCAACGACGTACCTGTTACGAGCGGGTCCTCTCCACGCCACGAGGCGAACAAGATGGACGCCTCTCCCTCTCACACCAGAGGAGTCAGGGACTCGGAGGCTCGGTCATGCGGCTGCGGGTTGAAGATAGCAGGCACAGACTCACACCAGGTCTGCTCGTCCTGCCTCGGGCTGGAACACGCCCAGGAGGCTATCGACAACCCCGGCTCGTGCGGGCATTGTGCCCGTTTCACCCGAAAGAGCCTCCACCAACGGCTAGCACACCAAGCTAGCTTGTTGGAACAGGACTCCCTCATGTCCACTGATTCGCCGTTAGGCAATCAAAACACGGGGGCGTCCGCCGCAGAGACTGAGCCCCTCACTGTGGAACCGGGATCCCACGCCGTGTCAGGCCGGGACCCGGTGGCGGCAAGAGACGCGGGAACGGAGCCCCACGCCTCACCAGGCGGGAGCTCCCGGCGAGACCTCACCATGGTCTCGCCCGCAGAGGCTCGGCCTGCTCCGCATACCGCCGATGGAACTGCTGGTGGCAGCCCACCTCCTACCGAGGATGGGCCCGTCACCAAGCAGGAACCCCACGCTGCCAGCGAAGCTGGACCGTTTCCAGTCGACCATGACTGAACGGTCCTACAGAGCCGCAGCGTTGTCCGCCAGGGCTCTGAACGTTTCCTCACTGCTAACCGCATACCAAGCGGAGCTCTGTGAGGATATGTTGAGTAATCCTGGACCGGCCGTTCTGGATGAGTTGGCCGCGGTCACAGACATTTGTCTCCGTGTCCAACGCTGCGCCGTCCAGGCCACGGGCAAAACAATGGGGATCATGGTGGTGCAGGAAAGAGCTAGATGGCTCAACCTCACCAACCTCCCAGACCGGGAAAAGGAGGATGTGCTTGACATGCCCATCGTTCCCGAGGGGATTTTCGGCTCCGCTCCTGCCTCCATGCAGAGGAGATGCGAGTCGAAAAAGAAGGAGGACGAGGCCCTCCACCTCTGCCTCCCTCGAAGGGCCCAGCCGCTGCCTTCGCAGCGGCAGCCCTTCGTCCAAGCTGCTCTGAACCCTGCTCGGTTCAAAATACCGAAAACGCAGAGGTCGCAGTCCGCCCCGAGTCCCCAGCCCAGGCAGGGGACGAAGGCGAGCTGGCCTAGAAAATCTCCGGTTCCGGCTGCAGCCCAGGCGCAGCCAACCCAGAATTTCGGCCAGCAGTCGAGGAAGAAGAAGCGAGCGGCGTGACAGCCCCTCCTTCTCCCCTCTGTGACAGAGCTGGAAGTCTACGGTTCCCCAGCTCTAAATGTGTTCCTGCCGCCTCGAGAGATGCCTCAACACCATCCTCAAGTCTGCATAAACACATGTCACACACTTATTGATTTTTCTGTCATAAAACATTTTCCGCTGACGCATCCAGGCTTTGAGCCAAGGGCGCAGCTCAAAAAAATGAAAAGAAAAACAATAAAAACAATAAACAGTCCGTCAACTGTTCCACTTCTGAGAGCAGCTACGGCCTCTCTCAAAGGGCGGACAATTGACAGGTCTGTGAAGGCACCACCGTCACGCGCATGCGCAGTGCCGGCTGGACCTGTAAAGGCACCACCGTCACGCGCATGCGCAGTGCCGGCTGGAGCTGTAAAGGCACCACCGTCACGCGCATGCGCAGTGCCGGCTGGAGCTGTAAAGGCACCACCGTCACGCGCATGCGCAGTGCAGGCTGGAGCTGTAAGGCACCACCGTCACGCGCATGCGCAGTGCCGGCTGGAGCTGTAAAGGCACCACCGTCACGCGCATGCGCAAGTGCCGGCTGGAACTGTAAAGGCACCACCGTCACGCGCATGCGCAGTGCCGGCTGGAGCTGTAAAGGCACCACCGTCACGCGCATGCGCAGTGCCGGCTGGAGCTGTAAAGGCACCACCGTCACGCGCATGCGCAGTGCCGGCTGGAGCTGTAAAGGCACCACCGTCACGCGCATGCGCAGTGCCGGCTGGAGCTGTAAAGGCACCACCGTCACGCGCATGCGCAGTGCCGCTGGAGCTGTAAAGGCACCACCGTCACGCGCATGCGCAGTGCCGGCTGGAGCTTGTAAAGGCACCACCGTCACGCGCAGTGCCGGCTGGGGTTGTGAAGGCACCACCGTCACGCGCATGCGCAGTGCCGGCTGGGGTTGTGAAGGCACCACCGTCACGCGCATGCGCAGTGCCGGCTGGGGTTGTGAAGGCACCACCGTCACGCGCATGCGCAGTGCCGGCTGGGGTTGTGAAGGCACCACCGCCACGCGCATGCGCTGTGTCGGTGGGGATTGTCGAAATGGGGCACCACAGTGCTCAGACACTGGAGGGCCCCATAACACAACAAATAGAGACTCAGAGGGGAAGAGACGTGACATCTCAGCTGGCTCTAAGGAGCATACAGCGGGAGATGCTCACGACATCTGCTTGGGTTTCTCAAGACAGTTACACGGAGCTACAGACTCCAAGTCACCGTCACCCCCCCCTCGCTTCTCGGGCATTCTGCATTCGCAGGCCCGAGGAGAGTCAGCCCATATTCTGGAGAGAGAGATTCTCTCACTCCTAGAAAAGAGGGCTATATCTATTGTACCCGCCGAGCAGAGTCAGGGCGGCTTCTATTCCAAGTACTTCCTCGTTCCCAAACGGGGAGGGAACGGAATTCGGCCAATACTTGATTTGAGGGCTCTGAACAAATATCTAAAAAGATATAAGTTCAGAATGCTCACTCACACATCTCTGCTGCGGCTCGTGCGACAAGACGACTGGTTTACATCAGTCGACCTGAAAGATGCGTACATCCCAGTATATTACCCACACAGGAAATATCTGAGATTCGCATTTCAGGGGATCTGTTATGAATACAGAGTACTCCCCTTCGGTCTGTCTCTCAGTCCAAGGGTGTTTGTACGATGTACGGAAGCCGCGATAGCCCCGTTAAGACAACAGGGTATTCGCCTGGCGACCTACCTGGACGACTGGCTGCTTCTCGCACAGTCGGAGCAGGAGGCTGTTACGCAGACAAATGTCCTCGTAAAGCACCTGCTCAACTGGGTTTCATAATAAACACAGAGAAGAACATGTTGTGCCCCGCACAGACTATACTCTTCCTGGGTATACGCCTGAACTCGGTGCCCTTTTCAGCTCGCTTGTCAGCGGAAAGAGTGAAAGCTTTCAGAGCTTGTCTCGCTCTTTTCCAGCTGCGCAAACATGTTCTCTTCTGATCATGCCTGCGATCGCTGGGGCTCATGGCGTCAGCCATCCTGGTCGTACGACTGGGACGCTTACACATGAGGGAGTTTCAGCGGCGCGGAGAGTTATGGTTGAAATGCGTAATGGCACTGCGCCACTGGCTGCACCCGACTTCTAGTACGAGGTGTGCCTATGGGTGCTGTCCTTTCACGGAAAGTGGTCACCACGGACGCATGTCTGACAGGTTGGGGAGGTATTTATGAAGGTCGCCCGGTGAGGGGTCTCTGGAGCAGAGACCTCCAGCGGGCACACATAAATTACCTGGAGCTTTTAGCGGTGTTTCTCACCCTAAAACGCTTTCTGCCTTTCCTCAGGGGACATCACGTCTTCGTGAGGACAGACAATACGACCACAATATCGTATATTAACCGCCAAGGGGGTTTGCGTTCTCTCCAGTTACACACACTGGCGCGCAAACTGATCCTATGGAGCGGTAGACGTCTCCTCTCTCTGAGAGCGACGCACGTACCGGGAGTGATGAACCTCGGGGCAGATCTACTGTACAGAGGTATACCACTTTATGCAGACTGGACTCTACATCCAAGGATTGTGAGCCAGCTGTGGGTGCGTTACGGCAGAGCCACGGTGGATCTGTTCGCATCGAAAGACAACGCTCAGTGTCAGCTGTTCTTTTCGATGCGCGATCTAAATGCACCGTTAGGCGTGGATGCACTCGCGCACGATTGGCCCCCGGGCCTTCTGTACGCGTTGCCACCCCTGGCTCTGATACCCCCAACTCTGGCCAGAGTGAGAGAGCAACGCCACACACTTATCCTGATAGCTCCGCACTGGCCAGCTATGTACTGGCCAGCGGAGATATATCAGCTTCTGTGCGGGCAGCCATGGCAGCTCCCACTACGCAGGGACATACTGTCCCAAGCGGGGGGGGGCAATCTTTCACCCACACCCAGAGCGCTTGGCTCTATGGGCCTGGCCCGTGAGTGGTACAATCTGAATACAGTGTGACATGAAGCTGACCCTGGCAGCTGCCAAGCGAGCCAGTGGCACTCATGCGCTATCTGTACAGTCTTCATGCACTCAGTTCGCCCCAGGGCAAACAGAGTGTGGTTGAAGCCCAACCCTACCTTTATCTTAAGGCGGTTGGTTCAGGTACCACATTTGACATTGAGGCATCCTCCCCGCCACTGTATTCCTCCGGGGAACAGCAGCCGGATTTGCCGTGTTCAGCCCGTGCTTTACGCACGTACAGGGACAGATCAAGGGTGCTTCGTCATAATGACCAACCCCTTGTGTCCTGGGCTAACCCTTATAAGGGCAAGCCTGTTACTAAGCAACGGCTCTCCCACTGGTTTGTGGAAGCAATTGCTTTGGGGCTCATACGAGTCAGAGTTCGCAGGCACCCTCGGGTCCCGAGCTCTTTCGACTCAGGGTCTGGCTGCATCCTGGGCTCTGTCCAGGATGTCTCCCATCCAAGACATTGGTGCAGCGGCGAGCTGGTCCTCGCCGCTCACTTTTGTCCGCCTCTTAACAGGCTGGACATTCTGCTCCCAGTGTGACTCAAGCAGTGCTGGGCACCTGGTTGAGTCAGAGCTCTACCTGTTAAGTTCTGGTTGGTTTGGTGATTTTCGAGATAAGCTCGTCTGACAATACGGGAGCTACAATTTCCCATAGTGAGACATCGAACGGAGTGTTATGAATGAGAACTATAGGTTCCTTACGTAACCCCAGTTCTCAGAGTAACATGAAGTGAGATGTCTCACCAGACGGCCCTCCTTGCTATGGTGAAGCGAGAAGAGGTGCTTATTTTGAATGACGCATGCGTCGTGGCGCAAGCTACTTATAGGGGGTGAATTCCCTGACGCTGACGTCAAGATCACCAGCCAATCAGGATTGGCGTAATCAGATTGATGCTTCTGTTTGCTCCGCGATGAGGCGCATCCCATAGTGAGACATCTCACTTCATGTTACTCTGAGAACTGGGGTTACGTAAGTAACCTATAGTTTTTGTACTGTCTGGAATACATTACAATTATTTGTATTAGGGCTGCACGATATTGGAAAAAACTGACATTGCGATTTTTTTCCCCCCTGTGATATATATTGCTATATGAAAACATACAGGAATTGAAGAAAATACCGTTTTTTTTCCCCGCAAACCATCCTTTCTTGAACTTTAATGCTATACAATTGGTATTTTTATACCACTATATTTAACCGGATGAAGGATTTTAGTCATGGACGTCTGGATCTTAAGTTATCAGAGCAACAAGCTGAGCTAGCTCGGTTAGCATCGCCGAACTGCCCTGGAGAAACACATGAAACTACTTTATTCAGTGTTTTTACCTTTAATCACGGGGTCCGTTTGCTTTGGAGATTTGATTGTGATTGGTGGTTTGCTGTGCATGCAGAGCCTGCATGTCACTCACTCAAGTACCCCTGACATGAGAGCCGCGCACGTTTTCCTTTTATAGCAAGCAGCAAAATAATTGTAACATGACGTGTTTGAGTTAATTTGCCTACTTAATTTCACACGTCCTAAAAAATTAAAATTAAAGAAATCACACGTCCTGCGATGTGAATATCGCGCATTCGCATTTCGCGATTATCTTCACGACACGATATATCGTGCAGCCCTAATTTGTATGCATTTTTCTATTTTCTGTGCAGTGTCAGATAACCAATACCTTAGACGACAAAAATGTCCTCTATGCCTACAATTGGTAGAAAATAGCAAATGTACATATTATATTTCACTACTAGTGTAGTGTCCTGATTATCCCCCCAAAAACGACATCTTAATAATTGTATCCTTTATTATGTTCTGTGTGCTAAATACTAAGGAATATTTATTGACAGTCTGGGAAATGTCCGACAACATTAATGCATAGATGTCCATTTTTTTTCAGACGTGACATCAAGTTGTTGACTTGCTGCATTTGTTTTGCTTCTCGGTAGCTTCCAACAGGTGCAGGACCTCATCCCGTTCTTCATGTGCATGATGGGGGACTTGCCGTCCGCTCTGGGCAGTTTGCTCCCCACAGTGAACCCCCCCGCCTCCCGCTTCACGCCACAACTCTTCCTCTTCTATCTTCTCGTCTTTCAAACGGCAACGGCACCAAAGCTGGTGGTCCTTCAGTCATCAAAGCTCTCCTTTGATACAGCGTGGGAGCCGATTAAAGGTCAGATGTAGATAAATTACTTGTATAACAGCTTTTTATTTGAATAAAAAGAAGAGTTTCTCATAAGTCTCCACTCTGCAGATGCTGTGCCGCTGACTTGTGTCACTCTGGTCAGGTTTGCTCTCAGGGTTCATAGATGCTGCCCTGCTGTCTACGCTGATGTAAGTCTGCTAACACTGCTCAGTTTCACAATTAATCAACACATAAGAACAACAGCTCTTTTAAAACATCACATTATTTGAGTTATTCAGGCTTTTGTAGACTCTGAAACAGTTATATGAAGTGAGAATCTGGAGGCAACAGGACTTTGGTATCGGAAGATTGCTGGTTTTGATTTGGAGTCCAAGTGGTATTGACCAAAAAGCTTTGGCTCAATCGTGTTTTTAGAGCCCAAAAAAGTTCTACGTTGATGCGCTCCAAGTCGCTGAAATAGTGGTGTGTGTGTGTGTGTGTGTGTGTGTGTGTGTGTGTGTGTGTGTGTGTGTGTGTGTGTGTGTGTGTGTGTGTGTGTGTGTGTGTGTGTGTGTGTGTGTGTGTGTGTGTGTGTGTGTGTGTGTGTGTGTGTGTGTGTGTGTGTGTGTGTGTGTGTGTGTGTGTGTGTGTGTGTGTGTGTGTGTGTGTGTGTGTGTGTGTGTGTGTGTGTGTGTGTGTGTGTGTGTGTGTGTGTGTGTCCAACTTAAGATCCATATTCAAAACTACAGATTCAAAATTGTACAAGTTGAAGCTTTTGTTTGAAGAGGAGACAGGTACTTGCTTTCAAGCAGAACAGGGCAAACTAACTTAGCGGCAATGTTTACGTGTTCGGTGTAATGACGTACAACGTCCTCGACAACTTCTGTAGTCCTATTATTCAGCCACTTGTTAACAACCATCGTTTTTCAGACACGTAAACTCTTCAAAAATCCCCAGTGGGGTCACTGCTGATGTATTTAATGTCGTAGAACAAAACGTGATCCGTCTTTTACATTTGTGTTAACCACAGACCTTATTTCCAACTATTTTCCAAAATCCTATGGAGAAATCCTATTGACTCTGAGACGAGGGAACCGGTAGTGGTAAAATGCTGACTCACGTCCGGGTTTTAGGACTCGTCACTGCTCCACTCTGTAGAGCATGTGCACAGACTGCAGTGCTTTTTAAAAGGGAAAAAAACAGTTTGTTTTGAAAAGTGTATTGACCTAAAGTTCTCTAATGTGTGTGAATTTGTAGTAGAAATACATGTATGACGAGCCCAGCATGTTGCAATGTGTGATTGTACTTCTGATATCTTTCTGATCCAGCCTCAGTGTTGGGCCAGTTTAATCAATGTCGCTAACACGCCTAAAGCTCTGCAAGGACCGAGCCCAAAGTTTCTTCTCGTAAGTGTTTCTTATTTATATACAGTTCCGGTTTGAAATGGTTAGACAATTCTCAATCTTTAATTTTTTTTGGAGTAATTCAGTATTTGTTCTCTGTCATGTCTGGACTTCAGGAAGCGATGGGTTTTGTGAGCTCAACCCTTCAGGACGAGTACGGGTCAAACATACAGATCCCACGATTCTTTATGGAGGTTCGTACATAAGATCACAAATACACTCGAACCAATGGATGTTACACGTGGCTAATATACTTTTAATATATCTGTACCAAATGTTTCTCTTTTATGTGCAAAGGCTCAATTAGTGTTTGTTTAAGCTTCAAAATGTCTAGTTGGGATATTTCGTGATTAGAATTAATGATGGTTTAAACTGAATTAATTGACATAAATTAAGTTTAGGACTATTCATTACAGCCCTACTTAATATATGTGTGTTTGTGTTTACAGGAGTACCCAGATCAGGCCCTGTTGCTGTTGGTAACGGGAGCTTTGTGTTTGAGAATCCTCGATGCTCCTCTGAATCCGGCCTTCCCGGTGCTCAACGCGTTTAAGGTAATCTCCTGTTCCTGTTGAGAGATAAACAGTTTGATGACTCTCTCACAGCGTCCATGTTCCTCAACACCATGAATCTGAGTGATGTTTCTGTGTCTCAGGAGAACGTGTGGGCTCTCAGCTGGCTGTGGGGCACTTTGTCCTCCAGCCCCGAACGCTTCAACTCCTTCCTGCTGGAGTTCTCCGAGGAGACGGAAAACTTGACAGGTGTGCGGGCATCTTTTTAGTCCTTCCTTGTTATAAATTCATCACTAAACCCACAATGTCCTGATTATCTGGAGGTTGAAAAAGGGGCAGGAGTATCAGTTTGACAGAACTCAGGTTATGTTATTAATCCATGATTTTGGTTACTTTTTTAAACTAAATAAGCTTTCCACATAGTTTACAGCAAAACACTGAAAATGATTGTTTTCCAAGTAAAACGCCACATCACCTACATTATACCTTTCACTGTAGTGTCATTAGCTGTATAATATTTAAGAGAAATAATGTATTTGTATACTTTGGTGTCACCTAGTGGCAGTAATTAAGAATTGCAGCAACACCAGTGTTCCCTCTGTATTCTTTCAATGAAACAGAGTTGATGTGTCGGCTTAAAGAAAAAAACTAACTTCTAAGAAAGATGGCTGAACCATGCCAAGTCTTTTTTTATAAAAAAACAATTTCAATTATCAAAGAGCTGAGGTTATTATCAGCAGTGATCTTTTTATCCAGTCAGCAGGGCTTTGCATCACACTGATGAGACACGAACACAATGACACGATCATCGAAGCATTACTATACAGAGCCACTAGTGGGGGAAGCTGTTCACTGTTTCTGTGCACGAAGAAACCAAACTGCCTTCAGGTGCCACAGAAAAGCATGTCTGTGCTTCTGTTTCTGTCAGATGGGGATACTTTATTACCCCTTCTTCCTGCCGCTGCACACTCAGTCGTTTCAAGTGAGGACCAGTGAGCACCACAACCCTTTGAGTCAGTGAACTATTCTATTTTCCTCTTATTAAAAAAAAAAAGTATTAAAAGGCTTTGGATCTGATCTGTTGCCTCCTTCACATGTGGTGAGGCTTCACGTGGTGTATCATTACATTACATTTAGCTGACGCTTTTATCCAAAGCGACTTACAATAAGTACATTCGACCAGGAAGACGCAACCTTGAAGAAAACAGAATCATATTGTTGTGATGTTGATGTAACCATGTAGGCGGTCCAGTGGACCTGAAACTAGCTAAGTGAAGGCTCTGTGTCCGCTGTAAGTCCCTCTACTCTCATCAGCTGTTCCTTCCTCCGGCTCTTTTTGTTTGTTCAAGAACCCGCTGTTAAAGGGAAAGTCTGCAGTGTCCATTTCTCTTTTGGTGGTGTGTAATGTATAGTAAAGTTGAGTCGACTCCCTGTTTTGTTGGTCTGCTATACAAGCAGGTTTTTGCAAATTTAAAAATAAGTTTATGTATTAAAAAGGTTTTCATTTTTTGTGTGCTTTTGACACGTTGGACCGCCTCATTAAAACAGCCACTCCTTTTATTTTCACATATGACCCCTTTACCACGGTTAGTTTCATATAATGACACATTGCGCTTTTATGTATATATGTATTCCTCTCTTTTGAAGTGAAAGAGCTCTTAACAAAGTAACAATGCTTTAAACAAAGGTCATAGCAGAGTAACCATTAAAAGATCTGTAAAATCCGCTTCGCTAAGAAACAAGCCTTACCTAGTCTGTTGCAGGTCACATTTTGGCTACACAATGGCTCAAAAAGTGACATTGACAACGTTTCCTTTAAATGATATCATGAAGTAAGGGACGATACAAAGGGAATTGATCTGTAACACTTGTATTCTCTGCAATGCTAACTGGAGGGAGCCTGGAGGGCATTTTAGTGAGATTGAAATCTTCTATGCACCTGGACTGATGTGCTCTCTGGGGGACCTTCTTCAGTTTTAATAAAGACCTTGAAATAAAATAGTCTGAGTGGATATGACATAATGGTATTTATTTCCCCCCCAGGCTTATCCTCCGATCACTGGTTCCATTTGCGCATAGATCAACCAGACTGTAAGTGTTACCAGAAGTATTTGATGTAAAGCCTCCTTCCTACAGCTGATGAATGTCGGAATAACCCGTTTGTATCCCTCCGGTTTTTGCAGCCTGATTCCTCGCTGATGTTTCTGTCCAACACAAACTCCCGGTGCCTGGCCCTCGGCACAGTGGTGAGGGAGGAGCCACAGGAAAATGTGTCTGAAGTTTTATACAGACGCTACAATGTGTCTGACGAAGAGACTCTTAACAGATCCTCAGTGTTATTCAGCATTAATACGACTTTAAAGACACTTTATGTTGACTACTTCGGATCACAGTTCCGTTTGCTAAATGGTTTTGAATTTAATTCTGCACTAAAGGATTTTTTTCCTTTCAAGTGAGTGATGCTTATTTTCATGACTTTGTGGAACTACTCGAATATATTCACTTTTGTTACAAATGCCCCAAAGAGGTCATTATGTTGGAAAATAAATGGAAAATATGACTTTTTTAAAAAGGTGTTTTTATTGCTTTATGTTGCTTGATATTGAATCCCAATGTAAAATATACGATGTTTATCTTCAGAGTAAATGCACACAACCTTAAATCGGCTCATATTTGCAACAGTAAAATAACACAAATAAAAGTACAGTGTTAAACAAGGCTTTGTCATTAGCTTCAGTTCAGAGTTTAAAGGAGCATTTCGTATTTAATGAAGTGGGGTTTTATGAGGCACTTGTCCATAGTCAGTATCTAACCTACAGTAGTTGGCGATCTGCAGTTAAGAAGGAGCACAAGCACTCGAGCAAAGCATGTTCTGATCTCGAGGACAGCGTAAAAACATGTATTAGCCACCTAAAAAAATTACTCAAGACAATTTAAGGGTAGGCTATATTAAGGATATTATCATTGCAATACCTTGACATCACCCTTTTCTGTAAGTAGCTGAAGATGTTATCTATGTTCTCTTCAAAACCACCATTGACAAAAAGAGTAATTTTAGGAGTTGCTGGTCTATTCTGCCTTGGTGCGTTTGTGTTGTGTGACTTTGGTATTGTAAAGGGTAAGTTCTGATTCAACAAAGTGACAGCAACACAAAAAAACGAACTGATTGATGCAGAATAAACCAGCAACTTTAGTTTTTTTGTCAATTAACTGGTGATCTTGAAGACAGCATACATTACAGCTTTAGTTCCTGCTAGGAAAAAGACTGGCAGCAGGCTGAAGCTGTTAAACCATTCTAAATACAGCACACACTCAGACCGTTACTGATTTTTAGGTGGCTAAAATAGGTTGTGCTGCTGCCTCTAGCTGGTACACCGATCTGTTTCTTCAGACTGGGATGTGCCACCACTGACTGCATATGTTTCTCGTGCATACCCACTCCAAACAATCTGAAATGTCCCTTTAAATTACACATTGTTTAAATGCGGCTCAATTCAACGAGTTCACATGTCATTCAGTAATAAGCCTTCAGTTTAAAAACGCACTCCAATAAAAGTTGATACTTCATGTGTGGAGGCTGCCAGCATCAGTAAAAGTCTTTGGTGCCAGAGGGGCACTGGTGCATTTGTGTCCAGTAACCTAAAGATACATGACCAACACCATCATGGAGTAAAAATCATGCATACACACAAACTTTCATCACTGCAGATAAAAACATAAAAGCCTGATTCTTCGGTGTCAGATAACACAACTTAGATTAGACGAATCAGCGCACTGCTGTAGGTATTATTATAGACTATCTTCATGACTAGTCTTTTATTTCTGTCCTTCATTTGTTTATGCTGTATATGTATTCTTATGCAAGTGCATTGAATTGTAAGAGAATCTTAAAACCGGTGGTCCACGTCCTGCGTGGCGCTGTTTGATGAGGTCACACAGGAAGTTCATCACTTTCAAATCATTGTCACTGGTGCACAATCCCCGCATCAACAGGAAGTTATTTTCCTCTGCGCCATCGTTCCCTCCAGCTTTGTGTGGACGTAGTAACGCAGGATTAAAGGTGCACAGCAGCGCCTGGTTGGCCAGTGCAGTCAGGCAGCTCTCCAGGTGCAGCAGGTAGGTGATTCCTCGGCTGATGCCAGAGTGAGGGTCAGCCAGTCGACCAATCAGAGAGCCGGAGTACGACGGACATTGCAGCGTCCTCTGGTCCAGGTCCAACAGCGCCAAGTAACGACTGTAGCGAGTCAGAGAGTGAAGGATGCTGGCCAGAGAGCTGGAGGCGGATCTGGTTAAAGAGAGAAGAAGAGTATGTCACTTTTATACGTTTTTAATTGTTTTCATTTTCACATTGAAACATCACTATTCTTTTGCATTATGCATGAAACATACATGAACATCCACCAATCGATTTTTAAATCATACCCAAAGTCAAGATCAAACATTAAAAACATCAACAATCAACATCTCCATTTAACTGCATATGAGCAAATTAACAATAACGGTATTATGGTGCATTGAGCTTTTGTATTACAGTAAACATTAACAAAGATTAACATGTATTGATTAAAAATGAAACCTGATTAGCTTTGTTATGCAAACAAGAGGCTCTGACTAAAAGGTATTAGCAAAAGCTTTTTTGTGGCACAAATATTACAGGCTTTAACAAACTGGCATTTACTGGATGGCTTTTTAAGTGTGACGTACATCTGGTATTCTGTCGGTACACTAATGTATGGACAGTTTACAAAAGGTCTGACCAAATGAAAGAAAGCAACCAGGAAAAGACTACAGGGCATCTCAGCATAAACATTAACTAAGTGAGGAAAGGGCTAAGACACAAAACAAATGGTAATATAATAATGTCATATATCAACATCTAACAATTGTTGTACCTGTGTATTCCTATCAGTCTCCAGGTGAGCAGGTCGGTCAGCTGCAGCGCTGCGGTCAGAGACGCCTTCACAGCGCTCCCATCAGGACCGAGAGCCGGCAGGAAGAGACTCAGAGCGTCCACCAGCTTCCTGACCAAACTCTCGTCGCCTCCGATGACGACCAGCGGCCGGCCGCTCAGGAGACAAAACAAGGCATGCTGGGAGAAGGAGTTCTGTTTGAGGAACCTGAGGGCTCTCAGTCCGGCTTTCCTCCTCCGATGGGAGCGGGAGCGGCTGTGGACGTTCTGAGTTGGAGACGGCGGTTCGGTGGAGCCGGTGATGCTGGTGCAGTCGGACGCCTCGTCCACGCTCAGCAGCCGGAGAGGAGAGCAGGGCGGAGACCAGCGGTCGACCTCTGCCAGAGCTACAGCAGGGGCGAAGTTCACATGAAGGTCAAGCACCGACCGCACCGTCCGATGGACTACAGACAAGCGAGGCTTCGACTCCACCGTTACTTCATCTAAAAAAGAACAGTTTATTTCATGTTAATGCCTATTTCTGGTTTATTAAACTCTGTCGTATTTTCATAGTTTTGTTTAACTATTGTGTGCTTGTCTGTTTATTTCTGCGTCCACAGCTAATCTTTTATACTGCTGGACTACTTGTCATAATAAAGTTTATTCTCATTTTGAACTGGAGCAGATTATTTCCATATCGATATATTTTGATCCAGTGAAATCAAGCAGAATAAAATAGAGGTTTTGACAAACTTATGTTTTTAATATTAGCCAAATAATTGTTATTGTATACTTAAATGGTGCTTGAGACATAAATATTGTAGCAGATGTTTTACCTGGCATTGGTTTGGACATCTTCTCAGGACCGTTGACTTCATGGACATGATTGCTCGTCAAACATTCAACGACCTTCTCCTCTTTCATTATAACCTCACCACTAACAGTTTTTTGCTTTGAGGTCTCTTCTCCGTCAGCACGACCGTCATATTCCTGAGCATGCTCCTCGTTTTCATCCTCAGAAACTGAAGTACTTGCTTTGAATGTCTTCCTCTTCTTGAGGACATCGCCAGATTCACACTCTGCCAGTATTTCCTCCTCTTTCTCAAAGCCGTTAGTAAGAGCTTGTTGATCCGACTCTTCCTCGGTGATGGCGGTGAGGTCGTCAGGAAAGATGGACTCGGTGGTGCTCAGAACCTCGATGCTGTCTTCACTGTTGGCTCGTCTGGCGTACACTCTGCCGCGCCTGATGCCTGAATCTACTGCGGCTCGCCTGTAAGAGGAGTCCGTCATCCCGACTGAGGTTTCTGTTGAAGAGAGGGAACCGTGTCAGAGGGGCCAAATACTGCAATATGCATTCCTTCTAAAGTACACACATCAACCTCGTAAATAAAAGATATTCACTGTAAGCAATCAGCTAATTGTCTTTCAGTACCTCTGCTGTCAGAGCCATGCTGGGTCTGATAAGACTTCTCCGTCCCGAGCACTTCGATGCTGTCGCTGCTGCTCACACTCCCCGTCATCTCCATGGCAACGCTGGGGTCAGGGGTCATTGTCCTGTCATCTCCTGCCTCCATTTTGATGGGGATCTCCTCCACGCAGGAGCAGAACGACTCCATGTTCATTGGTTCGGATTGAAAGGCCTCGACGCCGCTCTTATTCCCCGTCGCCCTCTGCAGCTCGGCCTCAGCGCTCTCTCGCTCCTCCTCAGATCCCTCCTCTGGCCTCCAAAGCTCAAACAGGAAGTTGGTGAGCGTGAGCCTCCTGGACAACGACTGTATGGTGCTTGTCGTCCGCAGCACACTCCTGTCCCCACGTAGATGGCGCTCTGTGTCAGCGAGCTGCTCCTTCATCAGAGACAGGAAGTAGGAGTTGCAAAGCTCCTGGAGAGGCTTCAGACGGCGCTCAGACCTGCAGGAGGAGGAGAAGGAGAAGGAGGAGGAGGGACCGGGCTCAGGAGGCAGTAACGCTGTTGGATCAGTGAGGGAGTCGGCTGGGTCGTAAGGCAGGAAGTCAGGATGTTTCAGCTTCCTGTTTGGGTAGGAAGTGACCTGGCGCAGGAGCTCTCTATGATTTAGGATTGAACGCTCTACAGCTTCAATCTCATCTGCTTTCTCTCCCTGCTTTGCGTTTACCTTTCTTGGAGGAGGATCAGTCTCCTGATGCAGGGTCAACCGTGTGTACCTGAAACAGTCAGAAAGAGTTGATTTATTCAGCAGCCTTGGAGAGTAACTTAAAACTGGAGTGCAGGGCTTTTACATATGCATGAACGTCTGTAGCATTCAAGCCCTTGCCAAAGGAGTTCACACAATGGGACTCATTCTATCGCCGCCAGGGAAAAGCTCTTTATATTTCACAGAATACCAAAGTTGTGGTGTCCAAAAAAAGTTTCTGGAGTAGAAAAAGAAAAAGAAACTGCATTTTGAGGAAAGATTGTTCAAACTAGATGAACTGCAGCCCGGCTATAACCTTCTGTCAACTAGTCAAGTTGTCTGTTTCTCCAAAATTGCATCATTTGACTTTGTGTTTAATTTTCATAATTACCATCTTACCATGGCCAAAAACATGTTTTGTAAAGGTGAGAGTGAACTTTGACCATCCTTGAGTCCAAATGGGCTTTTGTGCCAAATTTGATGAAATTCCCTGAAGGCCCTAAACTTTGTGTTCTCAATGATTTTTGTTCCCCAGCTAAACCTTCTCCTATTATGTCAAACCTTAAAATAAAAGGTTTTATTTTCTCAAAAATGTATATTTCCCAGGGGCAATATGTTGAGATTAAAGCATACTAATGTTATGTTGATTTTAGATGTCGCCTATGATATCTCCACACAGACCGAAGGGGAATTGTTTTGTTTGTTCTTCCTACATTCATTTGCAATTCCAACTGTGAAGACAGCCCTTCTCAATCTCTTACAATGTTGGTTTGTATCAGGACTAACACTCTGGGCTGTGTGAAACTTGAAGTGTATCAGGTGATGTATTGGCCAATATGGAAATGTATTTCCGTCTCTAAAGATGTATATTAATATTTCATCGAAGTAAATACTAATCTTACTCAAGCTCTTGTAATTTTCTCTGCAGCTCCATAGAGAACGCCTGTCTGTTCCCCGTCTTGAGGCTGTCGGAGGCCTGAGAGAAGCCTGTCGACAGCTCAGATAAGTTCTCCATCAGCTTCCTCTGGTCGGAACAAATGTACGCCACGCAGAAAGGACGCACCATGCCCCGAGCCTCAAGGTCATACAGGGTCATGTGGTGCACATAGGCAAATGCATCGTCCGCTGAATCCCCAAGAATCACTTTGGAGTCCTCGCTGAAGTTGAGGCGGGGGCCAGGGGATGCGGGAGGGGTGTGGCCCGGGCCGGACGCCTGGTAGTCCACAGACATGATGCGCACAGAGAAGTGGTTCAGGTCGAACAATCCGATGACCCTGGGGTCGTCCGGTATCGTCAGCACAGGTTTGGGTCCAACCTGTGAACACACAGCAGAGGTTTGAAGAGCTGCAGTACAACATACAATAGATATTTACCTGGAGTCACAATTACAATTATTTTTGAATATCACTAAAGACTTCACTTACCACTGAGATACATTAAAAGGTCTGATGTTGTTCTAAAAATAACAGTCATTTGACTACAAAAGTGAATCGCCCACTACATTCAGATAATCTATATTTTGTAATTGTACTTGCTTTGTAAGCCAAAGCACCATAACAATCTCTGGTAGCAGCTTCTCCAGAGTACATTCTGCTTTTTGCTCTTTATAATAGGGTTTTCAGTCTGTTTATTTAAAACAAACAAGACATTTGTAAACTTCACCTCAGGATCTGGGAAATGTTGATGGAGTCATCAATTAATAAGGGAACAAAGGTACTGATTTGATTGAGGGATTGAGTTTTATAAATATTGGAGTTCTCTGTTTTGAGTTTGTAATTGTAAATAAAATATATCTTTGAAAATGTCAAACTGGGTTAAGGAAGTTGTGATGAGCTATTTCTCAGTATTTTCTAAAATGATGTTGAGTGTAAACTATCAATTGATTAAATGAAAAATATAGAACATATATTTGTATATTTCATTGTTGTACATTTCTTAACATTCATAATAGAGAATTGGCTAGAATTACACAACAAAAACATGTACAGAATACTACCAGGCATTGTTGTATTTGTTGTTGTTGTACTAAAAGTGCAGATGGTCCTAGTTTTTACTTTTAGTTTCTACTGAGAATCTTTAATGTTGTGTGATTTATTTGTCTACTGAGATTCACACAATTTTCAATCATATGTCATCATTATTTCAGCAAGGGTTGGATGAAGAAATCAGCATCACTTTACTTTCAGTTTCAAAACTGGTTTGTGTGCAATGGCTGCTTTGTGTGACTGACTGCTCGTATTTTGAAGAGTATACGTAATTTAATCTCTCTTACATAAGAGATGCTGATCTCATTGAGACTTCCTGGATACATTTAATTACACTCACTTTCAATGGACACACCATAATCGTAAAAGAGAAATAAAAGCAACACAACCACAATTTTTATTTAAAGAATATATCAAATAATTAAATAACTCGTTTTTCTTTTGTTGAAGAACTTTCGTTATTCTTTCAAATTGATTAACTAATAAAACAATGAAATTTTCCAATATATCATTATTATTATTCAACACCTTATGTCACATAGTTATTATATACTATTATATTATCTACATTGTGAAAATATCAAGGATAACAAAAGGAAATGCACTATTTGTTTAAGTCTTGGTTTCTTTATTATTTGCAACAGTAGTACACTTACAGCACATTTATGTAAACTGACCTCAGGTATTGAATTGTATAGAGCAGGGTTTACTAGCAGAACTATGGAGGACTTAATGTTTTAAACATCTGTATATAGTCTGTCTTACCTGCTGCTGTCATATTTTGTATTTCCCTAGGAGATCAATAAAGTGATGACTTCTCAAGTAGAAGTAAAAGTCCTGAATCAATGAACTATTGCTTCATTTCCACAGCAAGTTCATGCAATGCTGATTTGAATCACTTTATAAAGATGGTTGTGTAGCTTAAACCATACATATGTATCAGAATGTGTTTATATTTGGTTTTGATAATCCAAATCTGCAAAGTAACATAAACTGACAGAAAATTGTTGACGAGTACAAAGTCCAATATTTGACTCCAAAATGAAGTGGAGTAAAAGTATAAGGTAGCATAGAGAGGAAATACTCAAGTATAGTAAAAGTACATCAAAAGTATTTGCTACTTACTAACTGAAATGTATTTTATCCTTATTGTATTCTAATTGTACCTATTTATTTCTGTTTTATTCAGTCCTGCGTTGGTATTAAGTGATCTTTTAATCACAGTACTCTGGTTATACCTGGGAAGGGGGAGATAGATTAGTATTTTAAAATGTGTTTGGTTTGAGAAGCACTTTGAGTTACCTTTGAATATAAAAGGTGTTATATCAATAAAGTTTAACTTCATTTGATGTAGAAGTATAGCACTTTATTACATTTACTTATTTACATATCAACACAGAAAACAAAGGTTAAAGTCAAAGTATGTGTCTTGTTTATTGAACCCTTTCTCACCCAGTATGACAGCAGGAACAGATTATTATCCAAAAACAAACACACACCTGTTCTGAGAATTCAGCCACCAGTATGAAGTCTCTGTTGAACTGGGCGGTGGAGCTCCAGGGGTTTGGTGGAGGCAAGAGGGGGACAGAGAGCTCATCGGGCAGACCCTGCTCCTCCTCTCCCTCCCCGAACCCCTCGGTGCCGGTGAAGGCCAGCAGGTCCGGAGACCCGATCATCGTCACAGCGGGCCGGGTCCCATGAGACGGGCCGGACTTCCGTCGGTGAGTCAGCTGTTCACACGGGACTCCAAAACAACAACCCGGGGGGTTGAAGACTTGTTACGCAGTTGTCTACAACCACGATGGAAATGAACGGAATAAAAACTTAAAGGAGTTTTATTTCCGCATTAACAACTGTCACGTAAACAAGCTGCGTTTTCAGGAACAGCTGTGGAGAGAAAACTTAACGGAGAAGCGAAACTCCCTGCGGGCGGCAGTCACACGGTTAGATATACTCAGTACCGGGATTCGTGTTCCTGTTTCTCGTAATAAGTGTGCGTACTTTCAGTCTGAAACTACTTGTGGCTCGGTGACCGCCAGAAAACCGAAAACCCTTCACCCATATTGAGCCATGTGACAGACGCCGTGCCGGTGCCGCTCACTGCTGTTGCGAAAGCGGTGCTTCATGGAAAACCAGGCTGGACCTCAATGACTTCCGGTCACCGGTGTCAAAAATAAAACACTGTAAATAAAAACACCCGCTGGAAATACATTCACTTTCAGATATACCAGGACCGGCCCTAACATGGATTTGGTGTGGGTGCAGAGGATGGGTAGTAGGCTACTCAGATCTTGTAGCCACTTGAGTAAAAAGTACCAGAGTGTAGGAATACTCTGTTAAAAGTTCTTCATTCAAAATGTTACTCAAATAAAAGTAGAAGAGTATAAGCATCACAATATACTTAAAGTATAGTAGGCTACTCATTATGAAAATGTGTCCATTTCAGAATAATATATAACATGTTTTGATTATAATTATTGATGCATTAATGTGTTTATCAAAGCTGGTGCATGCTGCAGGTGAGCTTGAATGTTACTCCATGTGATATAAAGTCTTATTTAAGTGTCTATATTTCACATCATTGTTCCTAATCTGTAGAGTAACTAAATAAATGTAGTGGAGTAAAGTACACGATTTACCTCTGAATTGTAGTGGAGTAGAAGTACAAAGTAGTAAAACATTTAAATACTCAAGTAAAGTAGCCTAATAGTTCCTCAACATTTACAGTACTTGAGTAAATGTTCAGTTACTTCCCACCTCTGTTTATGTGCTTCCCCTCTCTTAACATGCTCGCACTAAACCAACATGTGTGTGTTAAATAGGGTTATCAGTGTAAACACAGATTATGTACTGTATAAACAGGGTTTCATAAAACCAGGATTACATTATAAATGTAATACAAATTAATTATAACTTGGCAGGATTATAAAATATATAATATATTAATTGCCATTCCAGGACAACATGGATTCAGGGAGGGCCTTTGTGCAGTAAAACCTTTACCAAATCATAAAAACCTTGACAAAACCATTAAAGCTTGTGTAAATCCGTTAAATACAGTAAATCCACTACATTTGTCTACACTCTACACTGCAGACTTAACAACGCTGCCACCTGCAGAAGTTCTCGGACGACTCTGCCATCGTCGGCCTCATCTCTAACGAGGACGACAGGGAGTCCTGACCAGAGATGGGGTCGTTACTAAAAAAAAGTAATATATTACATATTACATATTACTTTTAAAAAAAAAGTAATATATTACACTACTTCGTTACTCTCTACATAAAGTAACTCGTTACTTTACTCGTTACTTTACTCTCAGGGCCGGCCCGCCCCTCCCTGCAGGCAGATCACGCAGACTGCTAAAGTTTCAAATGTTCTCTTTAGTTCAGTTTCCATTGTCGCATTAGACTGATCCAGATAGCTCCTGAATGTGTTCCTATCTGACCATGGCTGTCCTCTGTCTCCTGCTATCTGTATTTTGCGCAGTCTATCTCTGCTCACGCTGTTGCGTCGGCGTGTTCTCCTGCGTGTTGGCCATGTGTTGCACTGGAACACACCGCCAAGACTTCAGCCGAGCACGTACGAACTGCGCATGCGTGAGTGGCAATAACTCTCCTTACCAGCAGGCGGCGGTAGTGTGTATTCGTCATTCAAAACAGGCAACAACCGGAAAACAAAGCAGAAGAACAGACTACGGCCCAATCCCAAACCACTCCCTCGACCCTCCCCTCCGTGACGGAGTGAACTCCGTCTGTAGGCACACTCACAGCTGAATGAAGTTCCCTCCATTATGGGTTAAGGGTAAAAATACAGCGGCAAACTTTGGGACGGCCTCCCCTCTCTCCGCAGGAAACGGAAACGGACGTCATGGTGTCCAACTCACATCTCCATCTGTCGGCTGCATTGACCTGCGTTGCTATCCGTCGCCTGTTAGCGGGTGCAATGGCAAGATCCAACAGAAGGCGCAGAAGGTTGAGGCGCATTTTAGCGATGTGCCAGTGGCAGGTAAACATTTAAATATTGCTAATACAACAATTATCTTCACTTTATTTCTTATATAGTAGCCTATGAACTTTGTATGTGTAATACAAATAGATATTTAGATATATTGTGATATACATTCATTTATTCTTTCCTTATAAGCTATACGTGTATATCTGTATAGTGTATGTAGAATTCCAACACAGAGAAATGTTGTCAGTAGTTTATAGAATAAAAAAGGAAAGGTTCATTTGACTTGGTCTCAGAAGTGTGTGTGTGTGTGTGTGTGTGTGTGTGTGTGTGTGTGTGTGTGTGTGTGTGTGTTTGTGTGTGTGTGTGTGTGTGTGTGTGTTTGTGTGTGTGTGTGTGTGTGTGTGTGTGTGTGTTCAAAGCGCTGGAGGTCAGTCCAAGCTTTGCCCCTGACATCATTGCATGTTGTGCATTTCTGTGCATAGACATGAACGATGTCCTTGAGGATGCTGAAGCCTTCCCCCCTGAAGATGGGGACCAGAGTCCTCCCCCTGCCGCAGCATGTGGACAGGAAAGTCCTGGACACCACCTAAGGAACAGGATTGCTGCACAACTCTCTGCTCCTGTCCAAATGGCACCACACCAGAGAGCACGATTACATCGAATGAACTTTGTTTTTTTTTTGGAAAAACGTGGTTGTCTGTTAACTTGTGTTTTTGAAATGATGTGCACACATACCTGATTAATTTTGTTTGTTTTAGTGAGCTCCACTTCTCACTTTAGAGAAAAGAGGTGAAATAAAATAAACCTGTGCACCGTTGATTTCAAACTTGGTTTTCCTGAATTGTCTTTCTGCATAATCCCAAATTGGAGACAAATGTCCTTACCTCTTGGATCATTCAATCACGAGCACAGAGCAAAGGTTCAGAAAATGAACACAGGTCTTCTAATACAATCACTTTTGTTTTTGAGTGAAACTCTGCAAATGGTTTGACATGAGCAATTAAGACCGTAAATGTCATGTATATTTTAATGCCTTATACCTATGAAGCGCACAGACATATCTTTATTTAAAATGCTGATATTCAGGGTTAATCTTCAGACTTTGGAAAAAACACTTTAGTTCCGTGCACAACATTACTTTGTGCAAAACTTTTCCTTCTACATTATGAAACCCACACAGAACAATGTAGCCATCTAACAATCAAGCAAACGCAATGTCACCTTCATCACCCGTCTACCTGTATTTACTATAGAATATTGAAGACATGAAGGACAGTACGTTAAATTAGGTTTATTGTCTTCCAAATAAATAATACAAGCGAACAAAAACAAGTCTTGTAAGTAACATCAATAATCAAACATAGAAATGGCCAATGGTGGGGGGAAAAAAATAAATCACATTTTGTCGACCATTTTTTCGAACAGGGTTAGAAATTTCTCTGAGTGCTGCATTATTTGTCTGTGGCGTTCGTCCTCTTTTTCTGCCTCGCGTTCTAGGCACTCCAGCACTCCCATAGCACCTTTTCTTTTTTTGGGGGGGGGCTGCTGGGTGGTTCCAGCCTGAGACAGTGATGAGGGTGGTGAGGGGTCTGGATCATCAGCCACATTTGGGGGGGGAAGGAAGAGGAGCAGGAAGCAGCCTTCGGATCGAAGAGGATTGTGGGGTTTGCCAAGGCTGAGGCAACAAGGACAGGAGGACTAATTGAAGGCCTTGCACCTATGGCCTCATCCATGGCCATGAAGAAGGGCCATGTTGCAGGGGTTTCTTCCCCCTGATCAGTCCCTGTTCCAGTCCTTGGCCTTTTAAGTTCCTATTGCAAACAAATGCATGTTAGAAATCTTTGTTCAGCTTTTTCAAAAACAAACATGTTTTACAATAACAATACACCATTTACCTTGTATTTCTTTTTTAGGTTCTCCCATTTCTTGGAGGCCTGTTTGTGAGACACATGTTGCCCAAGGTCCAATTCCTTAATGATTGACCTGTTATCATAGAATATTTAAACAATATATATTGGTGTTAAGTCAATGACCCACAGTGCACATTCATTACTTTCATTGCACAAAATATGAATTGAGTGCATAACTCACTCCCATGCTTCTTTGGCAGCATTGCGTTTTTTGCAAAACAGGTCGTCCTTGTCCATCCTTAATGCAATAAGTGCCTTGGTTTTTACCACAGTCCCTGAAATTACAAATCACATTTAAGTTTAAACCGATTTCGTAAGTGAATGGATACATGAATTGACACGTGTGTTGTTAGTTTGATTCCAATTTAGATTTGTACATCTTCAAAATAAAAATCTAATGTAATCTTGGCAAATCAAATTAACACGTGTAGATTTATAAATACATGTTCACAAAGGCATGTTTTAGTTAAGGCAACGTATTATTTATCGTTTAAAAAAATAACCACATGGAACTCACATTTGTATGACGTTGTTTCCTCCATGCCCGAAAAACGGTTGCACACCTGTGGAGTGAGATTATCAAGCCTGCATCCATGAAAACTCGCTGTCGGAGGCTTTTATAACCCACTACGCCTCCGCCCTGATTGCTTTGGACCAGCCCTCAATATGGCGGACCCTTCGCGTGAACGCGCAAACGGAGGGGTAGGGTGTAGGGGGCGGTTTGGGAATGGGCCTGAGTAATATTCTTTCACACACAGTGACGTCACAGCTACCCACAATGCAACGCGTGCCATATATTCTTTATAAAGACGCCATTTTTCTGGAGGTGCAAAAATCCTGGCAATGCTAATATAAACAGCTAGTTTATGTTGCCAGGCAGAGCGCACTAGGTTTTTTTTCTGAATTAACGACCGAAGAAATCGCTGCATGTCTTCGGATTACATCTCTGGACTTGAGGGGTGTGCTCTAGGTCGTTACCAGCGTAAACTAGAGCTGTGTGGGTTGTTGGATGTACAATGTATGGAATTACGACCCTCAAAAGTGGCCTTCGGTCGATTTTGGCTGCATCTACGTCTATCTTCTGGAAACACCAGATGAATACCCCACTTGTCACAATAATATTATCATGCCAATGCATATATGTGGTATTTTAGAGTTGACTATATTGATTAAGGCAATCGACTATGATATTCTGTATGCACCTCGCGTGAAATGGTTGATACCGGAAGTACGGTGTCGCCCTCGGCCCAAAACCCGTATGTGTGTGTGAAAGAATAAGGATATAAACAAACAAAAAATAGCTGTGCGTTAGCTTCACCTTAGCATGTGTTCTTTGCAGGTGTTTGTTGAGGTTTGATTATGACTGATTTTAGTAAGTAACGAAGTAACGCGTGTCGGGGCAATGTTAGTAACTGTAGTGTGATTACTGAATTATAAAAGTAGCGCGTTACTAGCGCGTAGCTCTGTTTACCTCCAGTTCGGAGGCAGCAGGTCCCGCCTCGGCTCCGCCTCTTTGCCCTTATTTGGAGCAGGCGGGATTAGACTCTGACGTTGCTGTCAAGCCGTTAGTGGCCGACTCCGCCTACTAAGGGCTTCTCGGCAACTCTGCAGAATCCTATGGGTGACGTGACGGACACTAAGTCCATTTATATATACAGTCTATGGTCCCGACCAATCAGAGCACACTGTGCTCACAGGGAGGGTGGGGGCTGGACCTTATTATACAACATCCATGCGATCCTTGCGGACGCCGCGGCGCAGCCACAACGCGCCCCGCGCCGCAGACGGACCCAGTGGAAACTAGGGGGGTCTGCTGCAGTCCTGCTGAGGCTGAGTTCCAACGCTTTGTAACATCACACGGAACACAATGTCGGAAGGTGAGGGAATGTGTTTCCATGGCAACCAGGAAAACTGTATTAAAATCAGTAAAGCATCACAACTACAACAACTTAATGAATGATTTAAGAATTGTTAAATTAATTAAAAGCATGATACAACTTCAACTTAAAAGTCCATTAATGTCTGATACATTTCTGCACATTAGGTTGTATTTAAAACAATCTTCACAATGTCCATATGGTGAAATTAAAACACTGCTCCATGGTGGCTTTAAATATATCACTTATCTATGCTATTGTGATAGGAAACACTACGTACAGTTCATATTCTACGGTATCTAAACATACACATTATATCACCGCCACATCTTAAGAGCATTATAAATATAATTATAAGTACTTATGTTCATTATGCTTCATAAAGATAATCATAACAAAAATAACTTATAAAGTCAAGTATCATACTTTCTCCTATTTGCTGACACTACAAAGGGAACGTTTTAACATTCAACAACGGGCACCTGCTCTTTGTAATGCTTGATTTTTTTTGTTGGAAAATAAACATTCAGGGCAACTTTGTGAGAATATAAACAAATGATTTCATTTTTATTTGCAGTTTCACTGTTCAATCACAGAACAATCTATTATCTCTCACTCAGCAAGAAAAAATATAACTGAAGAAATGGCCAGAAACATTCATACGGTGTTTAAAAGCAACTACATAACATTATTAGGCGATTTTTCTCATAACTTAAAGGGTCATCACCCAAGCGAGATTGGCAACAGACTGAACAATAAACAAGACAAACAAATACTGCACACCTCAACCTGCAGGATAATAAAATATACACTTTAAGTCCAACACAGACGGACTGAATGATTTAATAAGTGCATTAAAACCTGTATTTTTAGCAGGTCATTATTACTTAGAATATATTAGATAATTAGGAAACTAATGCAGAGCACACTTCATGAGTTAGAGGTTAGAAAGATGCACTTAAGCATAACATGTCCTCTGTTGCTTATTTGTATAATGAGCTGTTCATGGCCAATCACTGACTCACTGTAAAATAATAATAATACCACAAACTCAAATGCATGTGCGTGTTGTTATGATCAGGCACACCCTGCGTTTCCATCCATCTGTTTTCATAAGCAATTTCTATTGACGCTTAAAAACCTGAGAGGAAACAAAGAGAATTCCAAAAAAAAATCCTGAAGTATTGCAAAAAAGTTTTTACTGTTGGCTGAGATGGAAAAGTTGGAGCAAACTCAGACAAAGTGCGATAGAAACAGACTTAGAGAATAAATGATGATGTTCATGAAGTATGAAGTCCACTGATGCTTTTGCTCGGCTGAAGAAAGGATTTATTGCGGCCGATTAAAACAGGCTTCACCGATCTGATGTATCGTCCTCACATAGATACATGAAATGAAAATAAATGTCATATTTCCATTGACTTCCTGCTCAGGTCGGACTGGCGCCATTTCCATTGTCCTGCCATCTTGTTGCGCCCTCTTCTTCTGCAACAGTATAATTGTTTTGAATTGGCTTATCTCTCTGAACCAACTCCTGAATATCAGTAGTGGACAAAAGGAAACACGGACTTGGGTTTTTCTTTTGATGATTTTCTTGAAATTCGTTTAGGATTTGCGATACATTTGGATGAAAGCCTGGCAACAGTTTCAAACATTCTGATAAACACTTCCTCTGCTCCTTTTTCTTGGCACGTCTCCTTTCCTCGGAGTGGTTTGTTCAGCTTTACTATCACTTTCACATCCGTCTTCATGTAGATTCTCCTCCTCTAACAGGCGGGCCATTTTCCAACTGTACCCCGTTGGTTTGCGTCAAAGCAGGACGGAGGAACAACGTGAGTAGGCAGAGGGAATAACACAACATTTTGGATGATTTCTCCTCTGATCTGTGTGTGTCAGAGAGGTGTAAAGTGCTGTATGGGCAGACAGTTATATGAGCAGTATTTCGGGCTCTGTGACGGCGCAGTAGAGCATGAAGCCCATCTGGTCCACCTGGTCCTCTGACAGGCCGCTCAGCAGGTTGACCGCTGGCTTGAAGTAAC